GCATTCGTTGGCGATAGCTCAAAGAACTCAAAGTTCAAGCTGTTCGAAGAATGGCTGACCAGAATTCCGGCATTCTGTTCTTTGATCTCGAGCGGTACGGCGCCAGTAGTATCGTTTGCAACCTTGGTGAGAACTTCTCGTACTTGGAGTTCGCTATTATTGCCGTGATGGTCGCGACAGGTTCGGAGGTTCTCGACTGTTGCAATAGCAGCCGTGATAGACCCGACGTGTTCGTGTTTGACGTGGTGCCTCAGAGATTCGAGTGCCTGAATGACAATTTTGAGCAGAGCCAGTTCGTGCTCGGTGTTACGGTCATCTTGTTGCGGTAGCTTCGGTGGAAGTACAACATGATGAATGGCGTAGGATGTAGCCATCGCCGATATCATGGTGTAGAGGTCCTTCTTGAGCAAGTTCTGTGGCAGAACAGTTAGCGTACACGGTCTTGCTGTACACAAACCAAGACTATGGCACATTCAGTGCTCATCGTACTTATGTGGAGGATATATCAGAAAGTGGAGATCACGTACCGTACGATACCAGCTATTCTGAGCCTCTATCGAGGATACTGATGACTATCAATGTAGTCGTCTTGATAGCAAAGATAGTGGCGCAACGAGCGCAACCAACGTGATGTGCAAAAGATGTGTTGCCAAGGCGAGTACAAGGAGAGAAGAAGATAAAGCCAGCGGATGAAAACTTTGCAGGTAGTAAGACTATGTGTGTGTGTGTGTGTGTGTGTGTGTGTGGAAGAGTAGAAATTTGGTTCTGCACGTTGTGGTCATATAAGAAAGGCAAACAGACCTGTTCATCCTCACCTTCACTTGGAGCACTATGCGACGATTGTCCACCGCCTCATCACCTCGCCGCAACCTGTGGCTCACAGGCTGCAACTCAACAAGGCTGAGCATGTCACGATGCCCAAGCCACAGATGAATGTGTGCTCAAATTCATGCGATCCAAGACTCCACGTCGTTCCGGTAACTTCATGTCGAACCGATTGGCCGTGTGGCGCGCGCGTAGCATAAGGCCAGGATGTGCAAGGCAACAGCTCCAGATTGATTCAGCTCGGGATTTGGTTTCTCGCAGGCTTCCGTCATTCCTTATCTGTGGCACAGTCGACCATCCTTCTCTTGTGGGTCAACAATACCTGAGAGACACATGCGTTCGCAAGGCTGCGACGCTACGGATCGCGAAGCCGCCGGGGCGCTCGAGGCAAGGCAGTCACCATCTACGCGTAACAGCATATCGTATGATCTTTGTAATGGGCTGTAGTTCGACATCGCAAAGATGGATGTTTGACGCGAAGAGCGAACTGGCGCTGTGAAGTCGGAAGTACCTAGGTAGTACCCTTGGGTGGAAGGGCGTCATTGGATATGCGCTAACCATTTCTGCCCAGATTTCCCATAACCGCTAGCTGTGTATCTCCTATCCTTCTAGGTAGTATTCGCGCTCAAATTCTCATTGGAAAACATGCCTTTCGCATTCCGTGTTGAGCTAAACATTGCGAACGTTGTCTCATCATAATCCCAGTCATTTAGAGTTAGGGAGTAACTGTCTATGCAGGTGGTCCTGTGCAAGCGAAGTGCATTCGTCCTTCATCCCAATAAAACCCGCGACATGTATATAGTTGAACCCTAAGCCAGCCTCTGAACATGGTCGCAATAGCTTTCTTCTAGCCTCGTCTTTATAGCATGTCATGCTACTGACGAACATTCTTTTTCTCTCTAATTTCTACCCCCACTAAAATGTATTTTAAAGGAATTCCCAGATTTCTCTATTTTTGCTTTGATCGAAAAGTAACATTGTCTGCCCCCTTAGGGGAGGCATCTGTAGGATAGAGAACTTGGTGAAAACGAGTTCCTTCGTGGCCGCGAACGCGGGCAGCACATCTGTTCTACAGCCGTCTGATCCAAACCATTGTATCACATGACTTGCAAGCACCCCTTCCCTAGACCCTACCGCCATGCCCCCCCAACAACGCAGCAAGATCCAACAGAAATCAAATCTCGATCCCGATTCAATGACTTTCGCACTCGCGGGACCCAACAAACAAAGACTAAGCATCCAAGCCGTTCGCGCACATGCCAAGGTACGAGTCAAAAGCGGACTGCTAGATGACATCATCGGAACGACCGAACCGCGGATGTCCGGGAGTTCCGGTGCCGGCCAGCCAGCTCAACGCGTGGCCCAGTGATCTAGCAGGGAATAATCACCGGTGATAATACGATGTTTGAAGATACGAGTTGAGAGGGAGTATGATGATTAGGATTCGTGATTGTGATGAGTGTTGCGTTGGGATCTATAGAACGCGTGGTGTGACGGATTCGTCAAATCTCGTTTTCTTCGTGACACCGAACATCCCAATCTCCATGCGATCCTACATGAGGTTATGCAGTACAGAAAAGACACCAAGTCCTAAACGCCCCTATGCCCGGTGCGGTATCCAACGTTGTCCCGAAGCTCAAGCAATGGCTCTTCGGTGCTGGATCCCCACAATTCATTAATTGTCCTTTACATGTATCACCGCGCCTCCACGGGCGCCTCCGTTGACGGCTTTGGCATAGGCTTGAGCTCTGAGCCTGCCCCGCTCTCAGCCCTCTTCCGGCCTGTCAAAGAGAAGTGATGGCTCGAGCCGGGTCGCTCTTCAGTCTTCTCATTGGCATGGTTGTTGTCGCCGAAGCGCGAGAAGATGCTGCGCTTCTTCGGCTGGGGCTTCGGCTCGTCGTTCAGGCCCACGTCTTCAAAACCCTCCTCAGGCACTTGCTCGTGGCTTTCACTATGGCGGGGTTGTTGCATTGACGAGCGGGGTGTGGCGCGCGAACGGCGGACATCGAGAGAGCGTCTAGTGTCTACGGAGCGGCGCGCATCGAGCGACTGACGAGGGTAGGTTTCGTGGACATTGTCTGTTATTGGGGAGCGCGCAGAGATATCCTGTGTCTCGTTAACGGGGTCTTGTTTGCCACTGATCGCAATACGTACAAACGACCTCCTGTACGAGTCGAAGCTCTCGCGCGAAATGCTAAACGGCTCGGTTTCGCTGAGCAGACTTCGGTGATTTGAGGAAGTGGTGGAGACGTTGGACTTGGAGTGCCAGAAGGTAGGCTTCTCGTGCTGTGGGGATGGCTGTCGCAACGTCAACCAAGGTCTCACAGCGTGCCATTTGCGCGTGTCGCTCTACATGCACCGTCACACTGGCTTGACATTTCTTACCGGTAGGTAGACGCCGCTATCGTTTATTTCTATCACATTGTAAGCGCCCATTCATCCGATGCGCTGATGCAGCCGCGGGAGCATGTTTTGACAGGAACATGCTTGTGCTCAGGTGCATTTTGGGAAATCTCACCACTCAATTTGTATTCTACAGGGTCCTTGACCTGCAGGGGCGTTGCGCCCGAGACAGCTGTGCTCTTGAAACCGTTCTCCGGCGCGCTCCGCTGGGCCTCATCGGCGGCCTCAGGCACACCCGCGCGGCGAAAGGGATTGCGAATAGGCATGGTAATAGGACACTAAGAGTCAAACAAGGCGGTACGAGAACAGAGTGGAGTGTTTCAGTAGGCTGGTGTAAGATGGACGCAGTGAGCAAAGAGGAACTGCTGGATCGGGTCTAACAATCATGACTTCCTCGACCAACCAATCGGGCAGTAACCAAAGAACTAGCCGGTGCCCATGTTGCCCGATCAATCTTCTCGTGCGAGAGCAGGGCAGAACGAAAGACGTCATGTCGCAGACGTATCCAGACTTGATTGACCGTTCTAAGCAGGACTGATTCTTCCTTGCGGCATGTCGAACGCTGAGCGGGTGCTGGGGTGCAGATCAAACAGGTCCAGAAGAAGGCCTTTCGGTGAACCCTGCATATGCCTCCAGGAACCAAATCCCTATGTAAGCGGAGCTTCAGCTCACCACCGTCGCGCCTCAAAACAGCTTGTTTGTACCTCACACAACTCGACCTGCATTGTCGCGACTAGAGAACTGTTGATCGGCTGGGCTTTCTTCGTCTGCGCTGGCTGCGCGCTCGCGCTATAATACCTAGTATTAGCCTGAGATGCGATGTCGGTAATGATCTCGGGAAGCAATCTGAATCGTGTTACTACTGTACGGGAAGGATTGCGCCTCATATTCGAAACATTCAAGGATGTCTGGGGGTTCCCATCGCTAAATCAGCACTGCGACGAAACATGAGCTGCGGTAAAGACGTTTCTCTGCCTCAGTAGTGATGCCCCCACAATCTGGAGATCGCACAGGCCGAGACTGGTAGAGATGCAGCAACTCCACTTCTGTCAAACGAGCCCCTCCTTTGCCCGATTAGTGACAAGGGTATCTCTGTGCGGAATCTGAGGCTGTGTCCAGGTAAGCATGGTTGGCAACGGTCGAGCTTCCCGACCGAAGTTACATGAGATATTTTGAGTATAGACACCGCAGGCGATCCATGTTATGCGCGGGGTAGTCATGAAGCCTCGAGACGGACCTACCACGGTGAGTAGGGCCTGATTTGCGTTCAATCTCCCTGGTAACACTCTGTGTGTTTTGTGATGCCGTTTGCCTACTACAGTTCTACTAGTAGCTGCATAGAAAGAAGAAAATCAGCTTACATGAACCACTCTTTGGGTGCAGTAGTCCGCAACGCGGGGTCGAAAGACAAATCTAATGGTAGCCGGGCCAACTGACTGGCCTTCAGCGAGGTGTAAGAATTGTAGTCTGCGTGTCGCAATTTCTTACGCCTTTTGTTCAACAGGATCGCACTAGACGTGGACAAGCAATGACAGCTGCAAGATGGTCAGTGACCCAGTAGACTGAGTTGTCTACATGCCCGAGATAGGGCTGTCTCTACGAGGCTGGACTGCTGCAAAGCTTCCACGCATGCAGCTGTGAGTGTCCCCGCACATGATGCATGAAGAGGTGCAGAGGTGCATGCAGCCGTGAATGTCAAATGCCAATCGATTGGCAGTCCCCGCTGCGAACTAGTCGTAGCCCGAAACTCATTCACTTGTGCTGGTCTGGTGAAGAGCATCCCAATCTTATACGATGATGCGCGTTTAATCTGCCCGAAAACTGGAAAGCGCCGACGCATAATTCGAAGTTTTCCGATCATGCCATGGCATGGGTACGAGAAGATGTGCGGATACGAGCACTAGGACGAGTCAATAATTTCTGCTTACCTTGCAGGACTAACTCGCCTTGTCCATCCTTGGCCCAGGCTGGAGCCCGAGACCGAATCAACATCATCATCTCGTCACGTTCTAGGAGCAATCCGGTTATCCAGGTGAAGGCGAAGTGGCTTCCGAAGTTACTCCAAACGGATCGCGATACTGCTGTGGCTGGTGGGGTCTGCAAGCCGCCTATGGTCGCAGCAACTGGTTCAAAATTAAGCCGGCCTCAACTGAGATGGTCTAATTGTTTACACATTTACCATGGCAAGAGCTTTAGTTGGGTAATTGGTATGCATTGTATGGTGCTTTTTTGGCTCTGGTATGAGAAAAGAACATCTGGTATGATTAATGATGGTACGGGTAAGGGTGCATGTTAGTGCGCGCTCGGAAGTGGTAGGAGATTCCACCCACGTGCAGGCAATCGATAGCCCGGCTAGGCTGGACTCGGGGGATGCACTACCGACACGGTGGCGAGGTACGAGATGTTCCAAATCGGTAGGCGGAAGAGAAGGCCTTGAGACGAGAAGCGGTGTGTGCTGGGAGTAGCCGTTACACAGATGCGGTGCGCTGTGGCATCAATATCGCTCACCCCATGTTGCGCGCTCCGCTCAAGGGCAGAAGCAAGGACAGGCCCCCGCTCCCATCGAATCTTGGAAGGCCTGTGCCTGGGCATTCCATCATGGTGGAGCAACGTGCAAAACCCATCGCTGTGGTGGAGCCCTTGCGGAAAATGAACCTTGAAGAGTGGCATGTGGCACCAAATGGCGTAGGGCCTTAGGTAAGAAAGACGAAACAGCGCCTCAACGAACTACAGACGGCACGTCGACGCCGTGAGCCTGCCCCGAAATTGGACGCCTATTCACAATCTGTGGAGAAGAAGCGCTTTCAAGAAGGGCGCTATTGAGTGGTGCTGGCCTTTGTGACGGCCTCGTGTCTCGAAACCTGAGCACAGCAGAGCCTGAGTAAGACGCTTTCGCGTGCTATATCAAGTCGAAGACGCAATAATCAACGTGAGAAGAATCACGACGTGTTCTGATAACTCGAAACACAACAATGTCGGAAGAGGTTCCCTTCGGGGCGATTCGTCACTGGCGCCATCCACTCAGAGGCGGCCATGGCTGCCCCTGCCGAGAGGTGAGAAAAGCCACGTCCCCGCCCGGGGGGCGCCTTCCTTGTTAGCCTACCAGCATGGCTCGAACCAGCGGCTGTAGAAAACGACTGCAACATGCTCGATACTCGTCGTCCCCAGGCCAGCGGCGCCTGAGACGGCGTCGACAAGTCACACTGCAGACCCCGACGGCCCCAAATGTATGCGGCGTCGAGCCTCCCGACAAGCTCGCGTTGATTATTGGGCTCTGCCGCAGGTGCTCGTATAGCTTGCCGATCCAACGCTCCAAACACTCGCGCATCGTCGCTTACTATTTTGAGTATGCACCTGCCGTCCGCCTCTAGCCACCCATGACGCCCGCGCATGGGTGGCTCCTGGTCAACGCTTCCCAGCAAGCCGCCCAGTAGCATGGATGCCTTGCGTGGTCTGTTCTTGGGAGCACCAACTTTTCCCTCCTCATCGCACCGTAGGCCCGTTGTTTTCGTGGGTCCGTGACGGCGATCGACCGACGACCCAAGCCGCTGCATGCAATAATATAACTCGTCTCCCCATGCCCTCTTTGCGCTCGCTGTGCCCTACTCCCAGACAAGCAAGCCACACTGGACCGCCTGTGACTGACTCTTCACCACCTTGCGTGTATGACCAAACGTCTGCTTCACTAGTGACACCCGTCCCTATCGACGTTCCACACTCGCTTCAAAACCCCCGCCATTTCACGCCTGAGACCTCTGTCCGACCCTTTCGCTCGCTCACCTCTCCGTCTTTGTCACGGGATCTGTACCCTATCGATACCAATCTAATCAGGAACATTCCATTCGCCGTTTCCTTGTCCCATCTGCACCTTCCTCCTTGACCGGCTACCTGACGTCCTTACATCCCAACCAGGCGTCGCCCCGCCTGTTATTCTTACCTGGATCTAAACCTCGTCTCACTCCATCGCAAACATGGGCTTCGGATCATCCGACGGCAATGAGTTCTTCCAGAGCTGGGCCTTGTGGCAGAAGATGACTTTCGTAAGAAGTCCCACTGGCTGCTGATAACGTCCCTGCTAACGCTGCCCAGGTACTGGCTTGCGCAATTGTCCTCACCATCTTTCTTGGCCTGCTCAAACTATGGTATGACAAGAACAAGGTCCGCAAGTACAGCAAGGTCGAGAAGGGCAAACGCGCGGCGACTCCCGAGATGCTCGAGGCGCAGCCAGTAACCCATGTCCAAGAAGAGACCAAGGATGAGATTCCCTTTGGTATTCGCGCCATTCAAAGCGGTATCGAGGTTGACGGTGTCTGGATCTCTCGCACCAACACTCCTGTTGGCAGTAGCCGTGCTTCCATCATGAGCGAACAGCTGCCCCGTAGCTTCAACAACTCTCAGCTCGAGTTGCCCCAGCCAGTTGCCCAGGGTTCCAGCCGCAACAGCTCTCGTGCCCCAAGCTCCTTTGACCGCGCCGTTTCCGCTGAGCCTCTCCCAAGCCATGACTCCCGCGCCTCCTCCCCTGGCCGTGGACACAACCACGAAGGTCCCCGCTGCAGCAACTGCAACCACCACGTCTCCCGCAACACTGCTACCCTCAACGCCTTGGAATCTCCCGCTTCTACTCGCAACTCTGCTGCTCCTTCTCGTAAGTGTAGACTTGCGCACTTGATTGAGACATACTAACATCTCACAGCTCCCCTCAACGCCAAACACGGCCAGTCTTCAAGCTCCTCAAGCAAACGCTCCAGCGATGAGTCCGACTACATGCAAATGGGTCAAGATGTCCGCGCATACGAGACTGCATACTTCAGGCCCAACCAACCCATTGACCCCAAGACCGACCTCGAACTCCTCCGCAGCCACCGTCTTTCCCACGTCGCTGAAACTGGACAGCTCACTCCCAGAGTGCGCAAGCCAGGTAATAGCGGAGAGTGGGCCAGCGTGGCGGACAACCAAGTTTCTTCGGTCAACGGTGTTAACTATTTCATGCCCCAGAAGTCACCCTCTCCTCCGCTAGCCACTGTTGCCGACCAGTACGAAGACGTTGCTCTATCAGCCTCTGCAGGTCCCAGTCACGACGGCAGCGCAGCGAACCAGGCTAGGCAGGCAGTTCCCTTGACCGAGTCTTACGCACCTGGCGCGCCATACTACCCAGACACCTACGAACCTCGTGGCCCTCAACACCAGTACAGCTACGATCAAGTGCCGTACGAGGTGAACACGGAGCAGAACCAGGATCGCGATGACCATGTCTTGCGCAGCGTCAACTCTGGCTTCCAAGTCCTAAAGCCAGGCACCTTCCAGCCGCCCACACCCGAGGAGGTTGACCTTGCTGAGCGGAGAACTTCCAAGAAGCTCCAGAAGAAGAGGAGAACATCCGGTGACTCGCGCAAGTCAGCATTCACCGAACAGGTCTAATTCTTCATCGCGATAACTTCACCACGGCATTTATCCTTATCGCCTTTTCCTCGCGTCCACGCCGTCACCTGTTCTCCCATCACAACCACGTGCTGGCACCAACAACTGCATTGAAAGTTTTACAGCGTTTAATTTTGTATCATCTGGCAATCTTTGGGGCTTCTTTTGGGCAGCATGACACTGGGCACTTTGCATGTATGTTTTGGAGCATGGACAGACCCACGTACTGTTGTTTTTTCATAATTACTCTCTCCGCCGCAACAGGTTGCTTGGCACCAGGAATGCGAGCGGCGTTGTAGTAAATCATCATAATCGGGCGTTATAGACACAAAAATGGGCACACCTAACGATCACCACGTAGCATGAGTACCGGGGATTACTGGCTCATTGCATAGCATATAGTACAATCATGAACTTTTATCCGCATCGCATTCCCTGTCTGTTCACTTTCGTGCCGCTTCTCATTCATAGTTCCGGTCTAACCATTGACAATAGCTTTGTGCAATGAGCTTGACTTGGTACTCGCTCCAATCTACTCATTACAGACTACGGCTATAGTACTTTCCGTCAAACCTCACGACAACGAGAAGCGGGACGAAGGATTAGAGTTCTTACCCCCTGGACGCCCACAGGTCGTGGCTTTAATCTGACGAACACGAAAGCCAAGCCGTAGTTGCCGTCCGTCAGCAAATTGCCACCAACTGCAGTGCTGACACTGAGAAAGACAGCCACGCCCAGCGTCACAACTCTTTGATTGGACAGATGTCCGGCATATGCAAGAGTAGGTTGGAGAAACAGAAAAACCAAGTGTTTCTTACATGTACTGTGCAGTAAGGCTGTCTTGCGCTAAGCTACCTAGGTTAATATACAGTAGTACACGTACGCCACGGGGACAGGCGGGTTGTGCAGCCGGCGGAAGCTTAGAAAGGTTCGGGTTAGGTAAGTATTCAGCCTTGAATGTCGACATTGCCAACTATTGCATGGTAGCTTTGACCGCTAGAGATGAACACATGTTTGCTTTTCGTGCGCTCAGCTAGGGACAGAAACAGGAGGGTTTGAAGACAGGAGGAGATCACACATCATATCCAATCACACCATGACCGATTTAGGGGTGGTGAGCTGGAATGTATGACATGTTTTAAGAGCCGGTCCAGTTAAGAAAGGACTACGCTCCACGCACCCGCTCGCCCACTTGCTCTCAAGGCAAGCTCAACTGCAATAGGGAAATGGGATGGAAGAAAACCCGGTTCCTGGACCGGCAAACTCGGCTTATAGTTACTGGTTCAACTACCGTGCCGTACTAGCCAGTTGCCGCTACCGAGCCGTGTCCCTGTTCCCTTGATTCCTTTCTCTTCTTCTTTTCTTCGCGTTAGGCGTGCTGCGTGCATTTTTTTCCTGTGGCTTGTTGAGGCTTGGTGTACATATTGCTTATGTGCCTCCAAGCGCACATCCATTGGTCAAGACCATGCGTTTGGCGAGTGCTTTTAGTCCCGCAGGCTTTGATGAGAGAAATTGAAGGTTGAGTTGCGCAATTTGACACGATATGAGTTAGAAAGCATAGACTGTAGAAGAGGCTGCGGAAGACAAAGTCAAGTGATGTTGAGCTGGCGTATAGTATAGGCCATTTTGTTAAGAGCTAGAACAACTGGGGTCATGCTCGTCGATTGTAGGCAAACAGCCTGGTGCTTGCATAGCAAAATCACGTCTTACATGCTTGTCGTCGACGGGCGAAGACTGGGGTGTTCATCGCCAAGACCTCGGCTTTCTTTGACCAAGGTCGTCACTTCCGCCTTCTCACATTCCAGAACGTCTTTTCCATTTTTTTCGCTCACAGGCAGCTGCACTCGTTCACCGGTCACGTCACGCCTTGCATACATGTCTCCATAGCTCAACTACTCGCCGCGCGCTACCAGAATTCCAATGCCGAATATAGGTCATCAAGCCGTGTGGCTTGCATAAATGGCCGCGGGTGGCTTTTTGACGTTGTTCGCAATCGATAGGTGCGTGTAGCGAGAGGCGGGGTCGAGCGGCTGTCTGCCCGATAACCTGATTTGCAAGATGAGGGTCTTGAGAAGCCTCACCGTCATTCACGACAACGGTGTTGGCTTGTCTTGGCTTATTGATTCGCTGCACATTGCTTATGACGACGGGTGGAGATAGAGGTTAGTTTGACTTCAAGACCCAAGAGAGAGGCGGAGGCTTGGTGATGTGCTGGCCTTTAGGCGAGATGTCCAAGGAAGGAGACCATGGGTACTGGTCCTCACAGGTGCAAAGGACCTCGATCTGTAACCCATCACTGGAGTACGAAATCGGTATCTGATGCATTGGTGCAGGACCTGTGTACTCCAATCAATGTGACATCTCGACAGATGATCCTAGGTTGTAATCAGTACGGCTTACCATACACCGGGTCTTTGTTCCTTGATCTTCCCAGCTATACGTCCGGCGTCTACATTGCCCTGTTTGAGACCTGTCGATCAAGCATTGCAGATCTATAGACTGCCTTCTAGACGCGATCGTCCTTCGTTCGTACCGAGTACGACACTTTTGAGTCTGACGGGCGAAAGCGGGTCCGTCAGCCTTGCAGGCACACGCATATTGAGTAAGAGTGAGATTTCCCACGAATCTTGTGAGACGGCTCCGGTATGCAACATGAAGGGACAGAACACTGCATTCAGTGGTGGCAAATATCAAGGCAAGCTTAAGAGCTGACCCAGTGGAAAGGTGGGGAAGATTGAAGGACGACGGGCTGAGATGCACAGCCACTTGAGGCTTGCATGACTGACGGTGTGGACGGTCCGCTCCGATTCTAGAGCGTTTGTTGGCCACTTATTGGATGTCGAATGTAGTGTAGAGATTGAAGAAAAGGCAACCATGAAGGGCCATCACTTGCAAGATTTGGTGGAGAGCATGCATGAGACAACATTCACACAGCTTAACGCCACACTGCATCCCATTTGCATGCATACCAATTACAACGATGTGCTTCAATATGAAGCGGCTGTGGATCTGATCAATGCAGCGACTACTTCGCAGCAGCAGGACTGTAGGGCCATCCCTCAAGCCCAACCGTCATCATCGAACTCCCCTTGATTTTGTCCTGGCGCGCTTCCAACTCCTCCACATCCCAGTTCGCCCAAACCATCTTACCGCTCAGGAACTTAGTCTTTGGCTGCGATAGCCAAACAAGAAAGTTCGCGCTTAGATCCACTGTGCGACAAATCAGTACACTTCTTTACTAGTTCTTGTTACCACTCACCAGAGTCCATAGGTAGCTGTGACGGATCCGCGCCAGAGCCTCGGAAGATACCTGTATCCACCATTCCAGGATGTACGGCGCATGCAAAGAGATCTGGGTTCTCAGCGGCAAGAAACTCGACGATCTTTGTCTGCGCGGTCTTTGATACGAGGTAACCCGATAGTCCGGGTGTGTATGCTGGCGGCAGAGCAGCTGCGCCAGCAGCGAGCGTATACAAAGCAGCACCAGGCTTTGCACTTGGGATGAAAGCTTGTGAAGCGATTATGATGGATTTGACATTCGTCTCATAGTCCGCCCACCAATCTTGCAGAGAAGCCTCGACGATCTTGGACGGCGAGGAAATGTGTGCTGCGGCAAGAACGAGGACATCCCAGGCGCCGACCTGTTTAGCGATGTCATGCATCGCAGTCTCATCAGTCGCTGAGACAGGGTAGACTGCACATTCTGATTTACTCCCTGCGAGAAGCTTTTTGGTCTCTTCGAGGGTCGATTCGGTGCGTCCAATTAGGATCAGGCGTGCTGCGTCTGCTTTCGCGAAAGCTAGAGCTGTAGCACGGCCTATGCCGCTGCCGGCTCCTGTGATGATTACTGTCTTCCCTGCTTGGCTGAGGCCTGCATTCGATGGGTTGATAGCATCATAAGATTCGTTATGCCAGGTGGCCGTTGGTGATGGAAATGGAGGTTGCATGACCGCAGAGTATAGAGTGATCAAGATGGAATCAGGAAGGACACCAATTCAGGGAAGCCCATAGCACTATAAGTGAGTAAGTGGGTCAGGGCGGAATGTGGCATGATGACTGAACGTTGCTGGAATTCAGTATGTATCCCCACATCCGTTCGTACGTGCTGACCGGCAAAGGTACTGGATGTGATAACGCATTGAGAAGGCAGAGTGGGTAATAAGCGCTAGTACCGAACAGCCGAAGCGCTGACCTTGGAAGGCCTGATCTTGAGTAGTTCACACTTCGCCCACTCTTGCCTTTGTATATGCTGTTTGTACAGTTGGATATCGAAACAATAATCTCACAAGGTTGCGGGTAGCTTTTATCCACCTCTCAGAGTCATGATAGTATCCCACCGCTCGTTCACTCTCTGCGTTCTCATTGAGCCTCTGCCATACTCATGTATTTGGTGCTTGGTAGGCAAAATCTGGTGGATGAGTGTCTGGAATCTGGCTCATTCCGATATCTGCACCACCGCCGAGATCCCACCAGTCGGTTTGCCAGTTCCGCGCAACGAAATCGTTTTCTATCGCCCTAAAAAATCCCACAGATTGGAAGTCACCGTCCATATTCGGAGTGTAGTCGGGCATCGATGAGAAGTTTGACATATCGATGTCTGGAAGTTCGCTAGCCATCAGGTTCTGGATTGTATCGAAATTGGTCGGAGGCAGGTCCGTTTCTTGCGCAACATGCTCTCTAGTCTCGATCAACATCGATTCTTTTCGCCTCTCTTCCTGTAGAGATCGTGAAACGCGGTTCAGAGCGTTGATCGTCCTTTCGAATGGGACCAAATCTCGACGTTGTGTACCGCTTTGAGCCATAGCAGCTCCGATGTTCTCAAGGATTTGTATATCACTTTCGCAATCCTCAGGTTTGCTGCAAGCTAGTATGTGCTCGTATAGTGTAAATACGACACAGAAAGGATACAATGTTATGAAACTGACGCCAGGTTAGTGGCTGCATTGAGGAAATACATGGAACGGATAGGGCATTAACGAGCGAAGCTTACTGATCTGTTATGCTCGTGAACTTGATGTTCAGACTGGGCGTATTGTAGAAGTCAAGGATGGTATTTAGGACACGGCGAGCGGCTCGGAGGGCGATGTCCTTTGACCCAGGTCTTGCTTGGTGATGACGTACCAATCTTTGCAACCCGATTATCGTCGCATAAATGTTCACTACGCAAGGTTAGCTGATGGTTGCTCCTCCTTCAAATTCAATATACTGGGTCCACTCACTGATGTGATCTGCGACAAGACAGCGAACTTCTTCTGAAGTATCCGCCGCGTTCATCATTTCATGTAACTTCCACTCGTCCATAAGTGCCTCCATCTGTAAGCAAGTTTCGTCGATTTTCTGGGAGACTGTTTCATCCTGATCCGGTGTTTGGTGACTATCGACGTAGCTGATCATTTCTACAGTCAGGAGTGTGTACCTTATCCATACGGCGCTCATTATGACGTTCAGAGCTGAGGGGTGCATGTTGTCGGAACGAAAGAGTAGTGGTGGCCGAACCTTGTTTGGTACGTACTGCAAGACTGTCGGCTTATCATAGAACAGACGGAAGAAGGTGTCAATAGACAGGATGTACCAGTATGTATAGCGGTCGGTATCTTTCCTGCTTTCTTCTTCGAAGGATTTTGCCGGTATGACATCCAGCTGATCTATCCCGTTTGATTTGACATGCTGGCAGGACTTGCAGTGAAACTTCCATGCTAACTGGTAGTCATGGCAGGTCATCGCTGTCCATGCCGAAAGGGCTGCGGTATGAATGTCCATGCTTGTGTCACTCGGAGATTCGAGCCATGCAGGCACGCTCTCTAATACCTTCATATATGCCTTCTTGATCCGGTCTCCTCCTGGGGCCTCCGTCAACTGTAATCCATAAAACATGGCGTTGTAACTTGACGTTGATATCAGTTAGGTTCGACTCCCATACAGCTTGAGCAGGAGCCACTCACTACAGCACACGCATACTAGGATCCACATTGACGAAAGGAGAGTCAATTATTTCGGGTAACGCGCGAAGTAAGCCGATATCCAAAATGGAGTTCGTGAATGCGTCCGGTACAAGCATTGAGGACATGACGGTGACAAATCCGTCGATACATGATCGTGCCTCTGTTATGGAGATTTTGAAGTCTACACTCAATGCCCCAGTGCGCACCCTCAATTTTCCAAGGTCTTCGATGGCCTCGTTGAGCGCCGACATTGCATTATCGATATTTGACGTTGGTGTCGCGACTGGAGTAGCCTTGTCTTGGAAGCTGCGTCGAGTATCAGTCGCAAGCCGGTAGATCTACAAAGGTTAGCTATTATGATCCGACAGGACTTTGAAGGGCGCTCGTATCCTCTGAGCAGTATCCTTGAATGCTTTTTGGCACACGTTTGCATATGGATGCAGATCATAGATGATTGAGCAGGCAGCAAACATTCTATGGTACGTTCAACTCACTCAAGGCCTAACTCAGCGAACACGAACTCCTTCGGTATCGGTTTCATTACCCATGACTCCTGACCATCAGCCACAGTCAGCGAGGCCTCTGGAGACGGCACGGGTGTGCTCTTTCTTATCGATTCGCGTCTCGGTGCCAGATCTGACACAGATGATGAACGATCATCGGCAGCATCACTGATTTGCTTCTCGAGCATCTCTAGTCGCTGGCTCAGATGCTGGACGACAGCTTTTTGTTGGGCGTGGCGCGGCCTTTGTCGTCGTTCTACATACTGACATTCTTCTTTGGCAGCGATGCATTGGTGGCAAACTGGCTCCGCTTTGTCGCATTTGATCTTTTTACGCTTGCACCGAAGACACTTCAAGGGACATTTAGCAATCTCCGCTCTCCGATCAGTGTAGATGATGGGTACCTACGGCAAGCTTCATCGTCATTTTATGGCTGCAGCGACTTCTTGGACGCACCTCCGGGTTCCGGAAAGGTGTTCGCGCGCGAAAGCGGTCTGGTCGACTAGCGAATCACCAAATGTTCTGCAAAATTGCGCATCGAGAGGAAGACGTAGATGAGGAAAGGGCAAGGAGCCCGCGGACATTCGGGAAAGCGCGGTGTCCGGTTAATTACGTACTGCCGAGAATCACGAACACCACCCATAACACTCGGACCAGGATCGCCAAGTCTGCCGACTGACCTGTGTTGGACATAGTTGCGAAGATATGACCGTTCAGCATCATGGTTCATTCAATAAAAGGAATGTCGACGGACAGTACTTTCGAGCTGTTTCGATATCGCTATCTGATATCTTCCCTTGCCTATACTGGGCCAGCACTGTTCGATCCGCACAAGAACTCCCTACTGTAAGTGCATTCATTCATACATTCATGCGATAGACTCACGAACCCCGACTGACAGTACTGCTAGTGCTATCCTTGACCAATAGCATTTCTAGTAATATATCCACATCCTGGTCGCGGTTTCGTCGAAGTTCCTTGAACGCGCATCTCTATTTGAGCATGTCAGCTGGACTAGGCTTCACTGAGACACAAGCGGTCAAAGAAGAAGCCCACGTTGACCGCTTGAAGTTGGAGTCAGACGCTAGCTCCAACTCTACAGGACCTGACGACAAGACCGAAGATCAACAAGAAGCGCAGCGTGAAGGAGATGTTCATGAGCTTGTGCGCAAATTTACAACACATTCAGAACAGCAAAATGTTGGCTCACCCTTTGCCGACGATGTGCACCACCGACTTGACCCCAAGAGCGACCAATTTCGTGCCAAAGATTGGGCCCGATCATTTTACGACTTGCGTTACAGTAGTGAAGAAACAATTCCCCGTGTTGCCGGCGTCGCATTCAGAGGCTTGAATGTTTGGGGCAAAGGCTCACCAACAGACTTCCAGTCGACTGTGGGGAATACCATCCTCAAATTGCCTGCTTTATTTGGAAGAGGAACACAGAAAATCGAGATATTACGGGATCTGGATGGACTGCTCCTTCCGGGAGAGCAATTATGTGTCCTCGGACCCCCTGGGTATGTTCAAGTATTGTCGAATACTGCTATATGATCTAACACTCAGTAGATCGGGATGTTCAACACTGTTGAAGACTATCGCCGGCGAGACCCATGGTTTCCAAGTCAGCCCCGACTCATACTTAAACTACCAGGGTGTGCCAGCAAAAGATATGAACTCAGTGTTCCGTGGAGAAGCAATTTACACCGCAGAGGTTGATGCGCACTTTCCTCAGTTGAGTGTGGGTGACACGTTGTACTTCGCTGCTCTAGCCCGAGCACCCCGTACCATACCCGGTGGTATCAGTCGCCAACGCTACGCTGAACATCTACGAGATGTGAGCATACATACTCGAGCTCAAATGAACTGATCACTGACTTCTAGTAGGTCGTCATGGCTATGTACGGTATCTCGCACACGTCAAACACACGCGTAGGCAATGATTATGTCCGTGGAGTTTCCGGGGGTGAGCGCAAGCGGGTAACGATTGCTGAGGCCTCTCTCAGCTTTGCACCTCTCCAGCTGTGGGACAACTCGACTCGTGGTTTAGACTCAGCGAATGCGGTGGAGTTCTGTAAGACGCTGAGGACTCAGTGTGACGTCTTTGGTGCAGCTTGCGTAATCGCCATCTATCAAGCTCCACAAGCCGCATACGAGGTTAGTTTCCAGTAAGATGCGACCAGAGAATGGTTTGGCTAACTCCTACAGGTTTTCGACAAAGTCACTGTACTGTACGAAGGCCGTCAGATCTACTTCGGACCGTCGAACGAGGCGCGCGTATATTTTGAACGTCTTGGCTTCGAATGCCCAGCCTCCCAGACCACGCCCGATTTCCTCACCTCAATGACATCCGCATCTGAGCGCCGCATCCGGAAGGGCTTCGAGAACACCACGCCCCGTACCTCTGACGACTTCGCTCGATGCTGGAAGGAGAGTCCCGAACGTCAACGGTTATTGAAAGAGATAGAAGAATACAACAACACCTATCCTCTCAAGGGTGAGCAGCATGAACGCTTTGCGCTTTCTAGGACAATGGAGAAATCCAAGAAGCAACGACAGAAGTCGCCATATACTCTTTCATATTGGAGGCAGATCCGTCTCTGCATGTGGAGAGATGTGCAGAGACTCAAAAATGACCCGAGCGTTCTTCTGACTATGCTCATCGTCAACTTCTTCGAGGCACTCATCATATCGAGTATCTTTTACAACCTACCTCAGTCGACCGCGTCCTTCTTCAAGCGTGGCGGAGTTTTGTTCATGGTCGTGCTGCTCAATGCTTTCGGATCGATGTTGGAGATTATGAATCTCTACGCAAAGCGTACTATCATTGAGAAACACAATCGCTATGCCCTGTATCATCCTTCGGCGGAAGCATTGTCGTCGATGATCGTGGACCTGCCGTACAAGATCACTAATAGTCTTTTGGTCAACACGACATTGTACTTCATGTCCAATTTACGTCGAGAGCCCGGCCCGTATTTTTACTTCCTGCTCGTTGGGTTTACCACAGGTCTCTCCATGAGCATGTTCTTCCGGCTGTTCGCTTCGATGACGAAAACCCTCGCCCAAGCGCTCGCTCCTAGCTCTCTCATCCTGATCATGCTCGTACTATACACCGGGTTTGCTATCCCGGTCCAGTATATGCAAGGATGGGCGGGCTGGTTCCGATGGATTAATCCGGTTGCGTACGGCTTCGAAAATGTCATGGTCAACGAGTTCCACAATCGAACATTTGCTTGTTCGTCCTTCGTACCCTCTGGACCATCGTATGAGAACGTTGCGCCTGAACAGCGAACATGTGCTGTGCAAGGCTCCCAACCAGGTCTAGACTACGTCAGCGGTACTGCATACGTCGAGACTGCCTTCAAGTATAACTACAGTGAACGATGGTCCAACTATGGTATCATCATAGCCATTACAGTCATTCTCTTCCTTGCTCACTTGGTCATGAGCGAGTTGGTTGCTTCCGAGCGCTCTAAGGGCGAAGTGCTTGTGTTCCGACGTTCCAAGATGCAGAAGACGGCGAAGAAGAACGGTGCTGACGAGGAAGCCGGTGGAGCAACTGCCCACGAGGGTGAGAAGATCAGCCATAACACAGAACTGGAACCCACAATGCAAAAGCAGGTGTCTATCTTTCACTGGGAGAAGGTTACATACGAAGTCCAGATCAAGGGGGAAACCCGTACTATCCTGGATGGTGTAGACGGATACATCAGGCCGGGCACCCTGACAGCTCTCATGGTATGGTAACCGGACTGCTTCTTTGTACTCAAGCTAACAGTCCTGCAGGGTGTGTCAGGTGCAGGTAAGACTACACTCCTCGATGTTCTCGCGAGTCGAACGACCATGGGCGTCATTGGTGGTAACATGCTTGTGGACGGCCGTCAAAGAGACGAGTCTTTCCAACGACAGACCGGCTACTGCATGCAACAAGACATACATCTGGATACATCCACTGTACGAGAGGCTCTGGAGTTCTCTGCATTGCTCAGACAGCCACCGGAGTATGGACGCGAGGAGCGGCTCGCATATGTTGATCATGTCATTCGTCTTTTGGATATGGAAGAGTATGCAGATGCTGTCGTTGGTATTCCCGGATCTGGACTCAATGTTGAGCGTAATTATCCCCATGCTTCCGGCCATGACCCACGAGCTTCACTAACTTGATTCAGAACGTAAGCGCCTCACCATTGGCGTCGAGCTCGCCGCCCGTCCCAAGTTGCTACTCTTCCTCGACGAACCCACTTCTGGTCTCGACAGTCAGACTTCATGGTCCATCTGTGATTTGATGGAGAAGCTCACCCGAGACGGCCAGGCGATCCTCTGTACGGTTCATCAGCCTTCATCCCTTCTCTTTCAGCGCTTCAACCGACTCCTTCTACTCGCCAAAGGTGGAAGGACTGTATACTTTGGTGAGATCGGTCGCGACTCCAAGACCCTCCTCGATTACTTCACTCGCAACGGAGCGCCAGCATGCCCTGCCGGTACCAACCCTGCCGAGTATATGCTTGCAGCAATCGGTGCCGCACCCGGTGCGCGAACCGAGATTGATTGGCCTGCTGTCTGGAAGTCCAGCAAGGAGTACGCGAATGTTCAAACTGAACTAGCTAGTCTTAGGGAACTCGCCAACCGGCCCTCTGCTGTCATGGACTCAGCCGACGCCAGTCACCAGGCCTTTGCAGCCTCTTTCAAGGACCAACTACGCGCTGTAGCCATGCGGTGCGCACAACAATACTGGAGGACGCCGTCATACATCTACGCAAAGGCTATCTTGACTATTGGTTGTTCTATCCTGATCGGATTCTCGTTCTTTGACAGCAACAACACCATGCAGGGCCTGCAGAACCAGATGTTTGGCGTCTTCATCTTCTTATTCGTGGTCATCCAACTCATCTACCAGATCATGCCGATGTGGATTTCGCAACGGACTCTGTACGAAGCGCGGGAGCGACAGTCGAAGACCTATGCTTGGCAAGCATTCGTCCTCTCCAACATTTTCATCGAGTTGGCTTGGAATGCTTTCATGGCTGTCTTTTGCTTCCTCGTGTGGTACTATCCTGCCGGCTTGTACCGCAACGCAGAAGCTACGGATGCAGTTAACATTCGTGGTTTCCACGCTCTTCTCATTGTCGTGGCCGTCTTCGTCTTCGCAAGCACCCTCGCACATCTGCTCATTGCCGGCTCGCCTAACGAAGAGATTGCCGGTGCTATTGCCACTTTAATAACCATCATGCTATACGCCTTCTGTGGTATTCTCGCTGGACCCAACGATTTGCCTGGTTTCTGGATCTTCATGTATCGCGTCAATCCTTTTACCTACCTGGTGTCGAGCTTCATGTCGACCACACTAGGTCAAGCGCCCGCTTATTGCGCCGACTCTGAGTTCCAAACTTTCTTCCCACCACAGGGTCAAACTTGCGGCGAATACATGTCCAAGTATATTGACATGGCTGGTGGCTATCTTCGAGACGCGCAGGCGACCGGACAATGCGGGTTTTGTCAGATGGACTCCACGGACCAGTTTCTTACGCGTATTCACGCGGATTGGGACACGCGCTGGAGAGATTTTGGTCTACTATGGGTATACATCGCGTTCAACATGGCGGCGGCGATCTTCCTGTATTGGCTCTGTCGCGTCCCGAGGACGAAGAAGGGGAAGAAGAGCTCGTAAGCGGCAGACGCGCTCTGTCGTAGGGACGCGTCGACGAGTCGTGACGCGTTGATGTTGCGATCATTGCATTTACGGTGTTCTAGGGGTTTGGCGTGCAGTCATTGATCCCTTCTTTCTCTGCGATCGCCTTCCGGAGAAGGTAATTTCGTTACTTAATAGCGCGCCCGGCAGGGTCGGGACCACGGTTCCGTGATGTCACAAGCAACCACCTATTTCCGCTGACATCACGAAAGCCGTGGTCTCTTTGTTTTTACCCTTAGATCGAATAGTTTGGTTTAGGATAATACATAGAGGTTTCACTTCATGATGTTGGCTTTAGAAAGCTTAGTTGTCGTTACGCTGCACGCGAATCTGGGGTAACCGCATCCTTCACACCTGCCGCGCGCCATGTCAACCAATGGAAGGAGCAGCTCGGGACAACAACACCAACGTCAAGAACGAGATGGCGTCATACCGAAACGTGAGCCAGGATGGTCAATTGCGATCAAAAACTTCAGTCCACAATGGTATTTCCATCGTAGCAAGAAAAACCATGGCCGCCACTAATCATGAAGCAGGTTCACGGTATCCATGGACACGGGCGTCCTGTCAATAATAATGAATCTTCTTCCCTGGCAATTCCGCGGCCTAGGCATCCTCGCAACGATCATGTTCGTCTTCAACCTCGTCTTGTTCACGGTCTTTACCCTCATCTCGCTGCTACGCCTCGCGAAATTCCCACGCCACGTCAAAACGCAGACACTCTCCCACGAAGAAGAGCTTTCGTACCTTGGCGCACCAGCCATTGCGTACTTGACACTGGTAGCGCAGGTAACGCTCACATGTTCCACGGCTTGGGGGTATAACTGGACCGTCTTTGCCTACGTGTTGTGGTGGATTGGTCTCGTGTGGACAGTGACACTGTGTAGTTTCCAAGTCATTGTGCTTGCGAAGCGGGATATCACTGTTGATCGTCAGCTCAGTCCTACGATTCTGCTTCCGCTCATCTCTGTCATGACGCTTGGTACGACGGGCGGTTTGATTGCGAATTACTCGGTTGGACTGAGTGCTAGCATGGCCGTTCCTATCATCGTCACAGGATACATGTGCATCGGCTACGCCTTCTTCCTTGCGCTCCTCTACTATGCGTTCATTGCGCATAAACTCATCGCTGTGGGTCTGCCTCCACCGATGAAGATTCCCAGTCTTGTCATCACAGTGGGACCTGTTGGTCAATTCGCCACGGCAATCCAGACGCTGAGTTCGGCTGCGAGTACGAGAGGGATGTTTGGAAGTTACAACCAAGGGACATGGTTGCAATCCAGTGCAGCGAGCAGTGTGAGTGCAGCAGCGATATTAATCGCGTTGTTAGCATTGGGCTTCGGGTTCATGTGGATTACCATGTCATGGTATATCGTGGTTGAGGCTCTTGTCAAGAGGCAGCTGCCATTCAGCTTGGCGTGGTGGAGCCTTATCTTCCCAATGGGTGAGTCCTTCTCTCGACACTAATCGTACACTGAACTGACCAAGACTTCTTAGGTGTTTATACCACCGGCCTCCTCAACCTTTCGATCTCTCTCAATTCGACCGCTTTCCGTGGCTTCACTACCGCCCTCCTCATATTCATGTTCATAATCTATTTTGTCAACTGGGGTGGCACTTTGTACCGGATCTATACCAAGCAGGCGTTAGGGGTGCCTCAGCAACGAGAGGAAGAGGATGAACAAGCAAAAGAGAAGAAAGAAACAATGGATCGATATGTCGTAAGGAATGGAGGGAACACAGTGTAGCTGAGGTCGGGCTAGAATGATGTTAGCAATTTAATCTTAATGCTTTTCACATATGCCAAGCACTAAAAACTGCCACATGATAGTCAATGAATGTGGCCATGGAGTATTGCCAGAGCAAACATTGGAAGAATGGTAACTCTAGTAGTTCATACAGACAAGGTTTGACCGTTCGAACAGTATATTGTTCAGACCGCAAAACTGCGTAGCTACTATGACACTCACTCCAGCAACTCAACAGATTGTACCCTCATAGTAAATTGTTGATTTGTCCAACGCACTCATGTACTTGCTATCGCATGCGAAATACCCTCAAGGTGTTTCTTTGCGAGTTACACATACACCTTGATTTCAGCGATCCTCCCTAAACATCTACAACATACCATAAAGGCACCAAACCCCATTAACGCCAAGGCTAAACTTCAATATCTATTCCTAAACCGCTCTGGCCAGCAGCAATGCAACAAATCGCCCAGAAGAACCTTTTTACGGAATTCGCTCATTCGAACGCGCTCAAATCCAATGGCACACTGCTGCCTCGTCCAGCGCGGTATCTTTTTTGTCCGCCAGTGAATTCTCTCGGTCGTGGAAACTGTGATTCGTCTTGGAATCTCCACCTCAAATCGTGAATTGGCCTGACCCTACCCTTCTCCCTTCCACCTCCGGAATGAGAGCTCGTCGGACTCTTTATGCTTGATCCGCCGTTTGTCAAGGTGTACGAGCTCGGATCCATCATCGATCGCAGGGGTGTCTGAGACGCAGGCCGGCTGATTGGGGCACTGGGTGGGGGAGAAGGCGCGGGTGCACTGGGCGGCGCTGCTTGAGGTGGAGGAGGCGGTGGCGCAGCAGGCGATGTGCGACTGTAAGCATTGCGCGCGGCGGTTTCAGCCAGAGAGGGCGTGTGTCCGTTCGATGGAGGCGGTGGTGGTGGCGGGGCGGGCGGGGCGGATGGCGCGCGACTATCGTATTTGTACGGGTCGTATTCGTCGTCATCGTCCTGTGCGCTCGCTGGGGGAGGCACGGACGGCGGAGGAGGAGGAGGAGGAGGGGGGGTGGATCTCGAAGGCGGTAATGGCGGTGGTGGAGGAACAGCAGTTGGTCTAGGGGATGTAGAAGTTGGTGGCAATGGTGGTGGTGCCTAAAAGCCGGTACACAAAGTCAGCATGTGTTTCATGCGCAGTTTGTACAGGAGCATTTCTTACCGGAGGAAGCGAAGGGGGAGCTGGGGATGCTCGAGCGGCAAGATTGGACGGTTTGCGAGATGAGGGAGGGGGAATAGGTGGTTTTTTCCCTAAAGGTAACGGAGGTTTGGGCTTGCCGCTTATACTTGAGGCTACCGAGTTGGGTCTTGAGTCTTGGCCCCGAAGAGCGTTGAGTTGCGGTCTGGTGTTCATAGCTGGTGGTGCGGGAGGTAATGATGAAGGTGGTTTGGGTGCTCCCGAGCCTCTATTCGACTCAGGATCTGAAGCATAGGACGGAGCTTCTGCGCCGGTCTTGACACCGCCTAAAAGATGCGAATACAAAGTCAGCGCATGTCTCACATGCAGTTGGTAAATGGGAGTTGTTACCTGACTTTCTTAGCTTCGGCATTCCTCCTGCGAACAGTCCCCCCAGCTGCGGGGGCGCAGCAGGCGCGTCTCCAGTATCACTGTTGCTTCTTGCTCGGTTCCCTGGCGGCGCAAGACCTGGGACTGCCGGTGCCTTGCCCATTGTCGGAATTGCAGGTGCGCCCATGGCGACTGGAGCGGGCCCGTCGCTCACTTTGCCAACGATAGGCGCGGATCGATCGTTGACCACTGTGACTTTCTTCAATCGTGCGCCCTTTGTAATGTCGCCCAGGAGTGCGCCCTGTGATATGTTAGTCATGACTGCGCGCAGTGCCAATCTCTCGCGAGGATGCGACATACTCGTCCTGCACCTGAAGCAGGTGCTTTAGCCCCAGGTGCCTTGCCAGGCGGCGGCGGCATACCTCTACCAGCTCCCCTTCCCATACCTGGGGCTAAATACACAAAGTCAATACGTGTCTTAGCAGTTCCAACAGGGACAACTTACGTGGAGGCGGCGGAGGCGGCGGTGGGGGCGGCATTTTGATCGTTTATCTCGCGCGTCGATGGTAGATTTTCAAGCTTTGCTGTTGACGTGTTGGAAGACTATATGCAGCTTTGCTGCCTGGTCGTGTGCGTAGGCATGCAAAGGGTGGAGTGGAGTGTCCAAGTAAGATGATCGATCCTCTTGGGCGTCGTCACTGCTTGGCACTCAATCCTCGCCGTTCCGCCTTACGTCAGCAACAGCTACGCGTGTCGATACTTCCTTCTCGCCGCTTCCATTACTTCTATATCATCTTTGCTTCCAAAGTGCAACCTCAGCGATTATTTGCTATTTCCGGCTAATTGCGATACCTTGGGGTTTGTAAGGTCTGGCCATTCCTACTATTCAAAATCTAACGGTTCAAAATTTCCTATTCTCTCTCTCGTTTTTTACGTATCCTCTCTTGCCAGGCCTTTTCAAGATCTTACCTTTCCAATCTTATTTCCGTAGTTCACTTCTTGACTACTGTACTCCTCGCACTACCTAATCTCTCTAACGCTGTCTGCTTCATGGTGCCTATCCAATTCTGCACCCTCACACCCGCCATTCCATTGTTAGCTCCATGATGTGCACTCGCTATAATCCCAGAAACAGTTCCGGGTTATGTTGGCACCATTTTCGCCTTATCTGCTCTCATATGAGCACATGTGTGGAGTTGTCGAAACAGGGGTTCTATAATGCTAGCGCGATTGATGCCTTAAGCTTGCAGACCCTGCTTGGGCAGTGATAGTATAATAGTGATCGTAGTTGGGCAGATGTCATACGTTCTTTCCTAGATCATCGCAGTCGTACTGGGATAGCCTGTCAGTCGTCGGCTTGAAACGCGCTCAAAATTGCGTTGACAGCGTTGATTCGGATTGCGAGGCACGTGCAAAGGAGGGTAAGACCAGTCCAGGGAACTGGTAAATGCTCTCTCTCTTCCCATCGCTGAGGATGTACCGTTGTTTGCTGCTCATGCGCTTTAGCGAAAATCGCATACAGCAAATCTTCATCCTCAGCCCTTTCTGCTCTGTACCACGACCAACATCTTAACCCCCCGAGGTCGTGATCAGTTAGGCCATTTGCTCAGTAATGCAAACTGACTGCAGGAAAAATTGCACCCTTTCCCCTCCTTTGCTCCTCGCGGAGCAGATGAGGTTTCCTCTTCGCTATTTGTCAGCTCCTAGCGGAGACGTCAGGCTCATCCCCGTTGCCATAGCTCTTAATTGAGTTGAGTGACAAACCCGCTGCCCTTCCTCCTTAGAAAGATCTGTCCCTGGCGAGTCTTCAAAGGTGTTTAGTCGTGGCTACTATAGTTGGGTCTCTTCATCTAAATTCTTTTGTCTTCATCGCAGTTGCCGAAGCAAAATGATCTTATAAAGGGAAATGGATCTTCGCCGCTCTGGGATCCAATACTGTCGGGCAATTGGGCTTTTGTGCAACCTTCAGACATATGCAGCAAGAGGCCCTTGTTTACAGCGCTGCTTCGGCATCTATCGGTTGACAGTGACTGCGACAAGCTCTTGATAGCACGTAAGCAAATGACCTGGCGCCCTATACAGAGAGAAGAATAAAGAGGAGCCAAGCCGGTAAGCCTTCTCGCGATCCACAATAGCATGGAACAACAAAACTTACAAAACTCCCAACTTTACAGACTTCCAAGTTGTCTATTTATGGACGTAACATTCCGGTAACTCTGTCGTGGTAAGCTGAAAAGAAGAGCTTGCGTCATTGCGCCAGCCCCTCCAAATCATCACACACGAAGTGGGGCAGGTGTGGCTGCGTCATTTTGCACAGCCGCTTATCCGTAATCGTAGACAGCTGACTGAACAGCAGGGAAATAGTTATTCGCAGGCTCTTACTGCGCTTCTCTACGATACCATCTTACTCCTAGTTCCACTCTTGTAATATCGCAACCATGGGAATTTCTTCACAGCACGTCCTGCTCATCGCTATTGCGATCCTCGTGCTACTACCCGCCGGCGCTGATGCCTTCGGCGCGGGCAACATCGCGAGTATCTCAAAGATTGAAGGCAAAAACTGGCGACATGGCGACATTGAAGACATGCTCGCGACGGTCGCGTGCTTGAAAGGACATAAGTGGAAGAGCAACATGATCAAGGTATATCCAAATGGCAACGTTACAGTGACTATCACGACTGACCTTCTGTGTAGCGTGTGTACTTTGGCAACTGGCTACGCGATTACTCACAGGTGATTCCAACAGACTGCGCGACGCAAGACTGCGCTGACTGATTCAGGCTGTTGATGTGGGCACGTTGGCCAAAGTTCAAGTACGTGTTACGGCAGGATTTTTTTCAATCGGTCAACAAGCTTACGATTAGTAGGGCGAAACCATTCGCGTCCTAGTCTGGGTCTTGTCTTTCATGTCTTTTGGCTATGCAACTGGAGAATTCGAGGTTACAGCCGAGAGACTAGGTGTTTATAGGCCCGAAGAGCATATCGGTAAGCGAACTTGAACCTCTCCTACTTGCTCGTACTAATGGTAGTTCAGACAATCCTGTAAGCAACCTCAGTTTGCACATACATGTGTGTTTTGATACTAACATCCTCAAAGAAAGACTATGCCGATAATGAAGACGCAAGAAAATACGACCCTCGTCTTCGAGGACCAGTATCAGAAGCTGAGCTCGCGGTGGATCCAAACACCGGTATGAAAAACTACATCGCCAATGAACATGGCAACTGGGCTACATCAAGCGGATATGTAAAGTACTCATTTGCGCGCGCCATCCACTTCGGCCGCCTTTATACCCACGGATCATCAGGTCAACGCGGACGAGACGAGGATCTATCGGAAGCGCTTCGCTGTCTGGGTCAAGGACTGCACTGCCTCGAAGATTTTGGAGCGCATACTAACTATACCGAACTTGTGCTACGCGAGCTTGGTTATCACAACGTTTTCCCTCATGTGGGCGTACAAGCTGGCATTAACCTCCACGGAAAGCATACATATCCGCTCGTAACTGGCACATTTGGAGGTGTTGATTTCTTCCATTCCGTGCTTGGAGAAGCCAATGACCACATCACTCAGACTGAGATCGATGAAGTGAACACTGCTCTCGTAGATGCAGTGTCTGGTGGACCTGGTGGACAGAGAAGCGGACCTGGAGGCCAGTCGAATGCTTGTGGGGGGTTGATCGACGTTCTTAGTAAAGTGCCTGGTACTGGGGATCTCATCAGACAAGCACAGGATCTGCAGGCCTCTTCAGACGCACAGGCTGCAGAAAACGCACGCGGAGGTTACGGCGACTACAGCTCTTCCAGAGCTGGACCTAACACCTTCGATGCACCACCTGGATCTATGGGCGGTAAGAACTGTTCCTGCACGAACTGCATATGAGACATGAACTAACTTGGTATGCGCACATTTTAGGACCCCCAGGACCGGATATCCCAGGCACGAACACGGATCCAGCCACCATTATCCCCAAGATCTATCCTATCCTGGGTAAGAAAACTTTGAAACGTAAACCCAGAGACGCGAGCTAACCCGTCAAAGTATTCCGCGACAACGTTGTCCGCAGCATCTCAGCCATCATCTCCAAGATCCCTGGATTAGAGAAACTGATCGAGACCATCACCGAGCGCGTCACTCTATTCGTGCTCTCTCTGCTGGCACCTTTCATTCTACCAATCATCAAGACAGCATCATCACAGCTGAAGAGCGGCTCCTCTGCTGTCATCGACTCAGCAGCCAAACATCAGTTTGAGGTCTGGAACGACCCTTCCTCTACCAACCCAACCCACAGCATGTTATCCAAAGATCACTTCTCGAACGTCTTGAACCCGCCAGCCGGTCAAGTCGCTGTAGCGATCCTGCAGTACGTCGCACCTCGCGTGATCTACGCTTGGGACCACCCAGACGTTCCTGTCGACGAAGTTCTAAACGACTGCATGCGCGTTTTCCATCACCCAGCACTTCGAGACCCGCACTGCGAAGTACACAACGAAATGTTCAAGGTCGTTGAGAAATGGGCCCGCAACTACCACGGCAAAGATTTAAACCAGGTTCTGTCTTCGGAATCCGTCAAGGCCGGGCACAATCACAGTGGCGGGAACGATCACTCTACAGGCCACAGCCATGGGGCAGTGAATATGTCGAGCTTTGGAGGTCACAGCCATGGCAGTGGAGGTAATCACGGCGGTGGCTATCCTGGCCAACAACAGTCCAGCGGATCTAACGACCTTCTTGGTTCCTTGACCAGCAAACTTCCTGGTCCCCTTGGTGGTATGCTCGGCAGCCTTGGCGGCAGCTCTGGAAAAACTCGCGACATGGACGACAACTTCTCTGCTTCCTCTTCATCAGCACCAGCACCATACCAGCCGTCACCGTCACCGCAACCTAACCAGTGGGCTGGTTTCCAACCCTACCAGTCATCCTACTCGGGTGAAGCCTACCAACCGCCCGCCGAGTACAGCAACGCGGTACCTTCTGGCGGATACGGATGGGGTCAGGGCCAGTACTCGGGAGGCCAAGGTGTGGAGCCTAGCTATACTGTTCCTACAAATTACCAGCAGGGGTACGAGAATTACAACACCGGGCCAGGAGGCTTTGCTCAACCACCAGCTCAACAGCCACCTCCGGGATCTTATGGGGCGTATGGACAGGGCGGTGCATATAACCAAGGTCCGTCAGAGGGTAGTGCAAGGCAGTGGGGCAGCGGCGGGAACTCTGGATGGTAATCGCCAGTGCAGATATTCGAGTGTCGACTAGGGCCAGCGTGCTTAAAGTCCTCGGAGGTTCCATAGATTCATGAATAATGCAAACACGACCTTTCGATCTTGTCATTACGGCAAAGGCAATAGAGTAGAGATTCTTGTTTCAATGTTTCTTCCCCACATTCCTTCAGCAACCTCATATCTTTGAATTCCGACGTCTTGTAAATACATGCATCGAAGAATCGCTTTCCAAAACAGATTTCCCCAAGCCAGATGATATGCCAAATGAACGCCGGCCGTTATGCTAGCGTCTCGCGTTTCGTGAATCTTTGGGTAGTATTGATACAAGATAAAGGATGCAGTCGTTCCGTCACTTTTATGGCAGATTATGACTGTAACCCAATTTACTCGTTGATCTTAGCCAGGAGCCTAGACATCAAACGTTAGTCGCTATCCCATAATATGCAGTCGCATCCGCATGTATGATGTAAACGTACTCGTGGTCCCGGAAAAGGCTCAACTCCTCTTCGCCGACCTTGATGGGGCTTCCGCCGAATTGCGGGATCAAGACCTTGTCGCCAGGTTGTACGCTGGGGGTGACGCGCTTTCCATCTTTGTCGAGCATGCCGGGGCCGACGGCGAGGACCTTGGCCTCGTTGAGCTCCTTGACGGCAGTCTCGGGGAGGAAGATGCCGGTTGCGGTCTTGGCTTCGGGCTTGATGCGCTGGACGAGGATGCGGTCGAGGAGAGGCGCGATGCTGCGGATGGACTTGATTGCGGACTATGAGGAAGATTGGTCAGCTTGGAGTTGCGCGTGCATGTGCATGTGCAAAGCGTGTAGTGGGGTGAAAGTGGTCGTCATGCTCGATGCTCGTATAGACTGCATGAGAGACGCATTGGAGCACAGTTAGAACGTACCATCTTGACGGATTAAAGTAGCCGGATATTACGAAGAAGCGAGAGAGACTAGAGTTGCGCTGGCTTGTAGAGTAGAAAGATGTCGATGAGAGCTAAACACGAAGATGAAGATGTTGTGCTTTGCCCTTCCAGAAAATTCCATGTCCGTGCACTTACCTCGGAACAGGCTGCGGAACGCTTCGCATCTCGCGCATTACCAGAACCAGTAACTTTTTGCTTCGGCTCTCACTCTCTTTTTATCGCCAGTGCATCAGCCTTGAGTGCTTCATATGTGGAGAAGCAATGCCCTCAGATGCGGGCATTGTTACCATACTGCGAGACGGAGCCATGTAGCTAGGATATTCCGACGAACAAATTCAACAACAAGCTTGCCAATTGGCAACGATGAGTTCATGCTGGCTCTGCGAGACGGTGTCTTGAAGGAGGAACAGAGCCATCATGTAGCCAAAAAGCATCGTTCGGGCAAGTGCTACCTAGATCTTCTGCAAGCATAGTTGACTGATGGAACGCAGGTGGAATAGGTATTGCTATTAGTGGGGGTGTCGACTCAATGGCACTTGCCGCGCTGTATACACAGTCCCGGAGAAAGAACACTGAGCTACCCAGTGCTCATGGATTCATCGTGGATCACCGAGTGAGACCCGAGAGCACCGAGGAAGCCGAATGGGTTGCATGGCAGTTACGCTTGAAGTGTGAGATACAGCACATGGTCTTTGCCATGTAACACTAACACTGTCTAGTTGACATGGACTCCACCATTCTTCCGCTCACATGGCCCGACGGCTTCAACCTCAAGGACGTGAGGCGATTCGAAACCGAAGCGCGCACACTTCGCTACCAAGCACTAGGCCGAGCATGTAGAAGCATGAAGATCGCACGTCTCATGGTGGCGCATCATGCAGACGACCAAGCGGAGACGGTCATGATGAGGTTGGCGAATAACAGACTGCGGTCGGGGCTCCAAGCAATGCAGCATCAAGAGTGGATACCAGAGTGCGAGGGCATGTATGGTGTGTACCACAGTGGTGAATACCAGAAGCCAAATCGCAAGCTAGACATACCGTTCCCCGTCGAGCGTGGAGGCATACATATTTTCCGGCCACTGTTGACATTTGAGAAGACAAGACTTATCGCAACGTGTGAAGAGATGGGTGTGGCTTGGGCAGAGGACAAAACGAACCAGATAAGAACGCTTACATCCCGCAACGCTATACGGCATATCTACAAGAACTACAAACTCCCAGAGGCTCTGAGCGTCAAGTCGCTGGTTGATGTTTCGCAACATATGCAAGAGCGCATTAAGCGACATAAAGCCCTCGCCAACGAACTCTTCGACAGGTGCCTGATAAAGCTCGACATACAGACAGGCTGCCTTGTGGTCCGATTCCCTCCTTTTTCCGACCTACTGCCCCAGCGAGGCTATACCGAAGCCGACCAGACCGATAAGACCTACGCGAAGAACACAGCATATTGCCTACTAGAACGTGTGGCAGAATTGGTCACGCCCAGCTCCAAGACGCCTCTGGGGCCACTCGCTGCAACCGTTCATCGCATCTATCCCGAACTTGAGGACTTGGAGGAAGACGAGCAGATTGGGCACTGGAATGGGGTGCGAAAGAAGAACTACTGCGTCTACAATCTGTGGTGGCGTTTTTGGGACCAAACTTCGCCATTTGACAAGCATGAGCACCAAGAAGCAGGCATCGATTCGTCTTTACCTCATCCACGAGAATGGCTGCTCACGCGGCAACCCCTCGATGCACACGAGATAACAGATACTCAGAATCAGATCGTCTATCCCCCGCGGACGTCGCCGAGAGCCGAGAGACACAGACTGGTCGATGGCCGTTACTGGATCCAACTGAATAACCGTCTTACATACGACACACTGATCATGCGCATCTTCTCGAAAGACGACATGCGCCACTTACCAACTGCTCAGCAAAACAAAACGCAGATGCTGGAGCCTGACGACGTTCGTCCCTACCGCTACATTATGGCCGCCTTAGATCTATTGAAACCAGCCGACCTACGTTTTACCCTGCCTGCCGTTTTCCGAAAAGACGTTCGAACAGGTAAGGAAACTTTTGTAGGGTTTCCAACGCTCGACGTGAGTGTCAACTGCATGGGAGCACCAGATTTCTGCTCGTGGAGCGTGCGCTACAAGAAGATCAACTTTGGGTCACGGTCGGCGGCTGATATCATTGTTCCGGGTAGCACCAGAAAGGACATCGTTGCTCACAAGATGAGGGGGAGGATGGTTCTTGAAGGTGTGGAAAAGGCACGGGAGGCAAAGATACGGAAGACAAAGAGGAAGCAGTACCATGAGAAAGTCCACAGCGACACCCACACAAGACACAAGCGCATGGTACGTTTTGACGGAAGAGACAGCAGGAGAAGAGAGTGGAAAGCAGCTGCCGATGACGTGCAGAGAAGTATGCAAGCAGAAACAGATTCACTAAGCTTTCCAAAGGAGTAAAGTAAAAGGTAGGATATGTACCGTAAATGTAGCAATTGATACCCTATGCATTTAGATATGGTGGATCTTGGCTAGACTGTCCAAGTGCGGTGAAGTGTAAGAATTGTCCCGCCAGGCTAAAGCGATGACGTCGTGGGGATAGACACGTAAAGTGCATCCAGCCAAATGGGGAAGGCAGATATCGTGGGTGCCGTCTCCACCAACGCGCATCGCGCTCCTTCCCCGCCCTGCAGCGGCAGTCGAGCGCCATTGCTCTGAGCTTATTTTGACTGCTATTACTTTGCAGACCGCCTGTGGTGTTGGTGTTGGCTTTGTCATCGATTTTACACGGTGCATGGTTGGCTTATCTCGACTGGTAGGCGTGTTGCATCGATCGTGCAGACAAAAGACGGCCCCATGTTTCCTTGACTCAACAAAGAAGTGTACCCCAGCAGGGCGGGGAAGATTACCAGACTAGGGTAATGGAGTCGTCTTGATGTAGTGCTGCAGATACTTACACCGTACCTGACACGTGGTGCGAAATGTGGAAGAAAACCACAACCTCAACAAGTGTTGTATGGCTTGCTCGTGGTAAAAGTAGTCCTATACGCTATTGACGTTGACTCGTGCGGTGGATCCCGGCCGGGAGTCTTCGAGTAGCCACAAGCTCCGCGCTCCAGAGACAAGCGAGAGTAGTCAGGGACAGAAATCCACATTATTTTCGATCCTCAAAACCCTTTGCCATGTCTCGATTGATTGTTCAACTGGACTATCCACGTGTCAAAGCCATAGAGATGGTGGCTTGTAAGATATTAATTAATGTGTGGAGTCTGCTCATGGCAAACTTCTCAATGGCATTTAGCGTTTCAAAGTCATGAAACAGAGCGCGACATGACTTGGTGCACAAGGTCGCTCACGCCAGGCACAACGCCGCACGGAAGTGGTCAGCCTCTTGTCGCCAAATTTGCGCCCGGGTATCTGTGGCGGTGAGTGAGACGCGGATTGGATACGGTCATAATTATTGCCAGGGAGATCGTCTGCGGAGTTTTATCGAGTGCTCTGTGCGTACCGTGGTGTTGGGCAACAACCGCTGATGACAGGATGCAGATCTCAGTGGAATTTCTTTTGCGCGTCTCAGGTTTGACAGCTGTCGACATGTGTGGAGAGTTGCTGTTTAGTTGCAAGATGGGCGACTGTCTTGATACGAGAGATATGTAACAGGCGGCTTTTGGGTGTGGGAGGCTAGTCTATGGTGCTGCCCATGGTTGATGCCCCTTTCACGTGAGTGGGAATATTGAGCCGGCATTGCCCTAGCACACTGGCCAGGTGTTTTCGGCTGATCTGAGATGAAAGGCGACAATTCTGAAGAGTCAGTCCAACTTTAGCAATTTTCACTTCACCCGCTGTTGTGGAAGGCGGTGTCTGCAATCTCGATAACGACGATCAATGCTGTGATAGTTTGTGCAAAGTGGTAGAGGGTACCTAGGTACTGTGTTGACGCCATCGAAATGCCAGCCTCGTGAATATTTCGGATCAAAGAAAAGCAAGTTAAGCGTGCGTGAACGCCAGGAAGACCAAGGATGGCGGCACGTAGTCTCTTCGGCTGCATTCGCCAGTGTGAAGGTTAGCAATTTGGGCGCCAGGGTCTTGACGCCTTTTTGTAAACGGGGATCACGCTTGGAGGATGGTGGCGTGGCGCGATTCGTTACGTGCAGGCCGCTAGAAGTGTCTAGCCTTGGATACTCAGACGTGCTTGGCGTGGCGCGAAAGGTCGAGTTGTGCAGAGTTCGCGATGGCGCGACTAAAGACGGCTGTGGTGTAGCACAGAGTTGGAGAAGTGGTGACAAAGGTGTTCACAGCAGCCGTTGAGCCGCCCTTTTTATTTTGTGTCGAGTGAGGCTCGAGAAAGGCTCGGGTGATGATGTGCATGTTGTGGGTTGGCTGCAGAATAGGGATGCCGATCACGGTTATACTCATCATGGCAGATGATGCGAAAGCTGGATGTACAGTGTAGTGATGCTGACGGTTGATCGATGACAAAGGCCTGGCTGGAGACGAGATGCCCTAACAGATAGCTACATGTTTACCACGACGGCGCCGATTAATCCTGTCCCGTCGCCGCCTAACCGTGTCTCGTGAGCGATCAAAGATAGCAGAGTCTCAGGCTCTTTCCTAGGGTTGGCGATCTCTTCAGCAAGTGGTGAAGAGGGGCAGACAGATCATGCGACCACGTTCCAAGGGTCTGTTGACCACGAGCTTATCAGACGCGTGGGCGCCAACCATAACAATCCGCCATGTGCCGATGAGCGACACAATCCAGCTTCTGCTCACCGTGGCCTTGTTCCTGAACGACGGGTTGATGCTGGATGCACAGTCGCTGTTTCAGAGCTGCTCAGTGCATAACGTTGGTGAATGGTGCTATTCGGGCGGGCTAGGTGCAGGCGGGTCCGTCTAAGTGGACGTGCAGCCGCGAAAGCCAATTTCGTTGCTAACATCCCTGCCTGGCGAACCCCTACCTAGCAACAGCCCTCACCTTAAAGTTCTCCCATTCCTTGATCGTCTGAGATTTTCTATCCTTCTTTCCTCCTCACCGCCCTTCACATCCTTAACAAGGTCGTGCCTGCTTGTCTGCCGCTGCACTTTGCGAGCGTAGAACTTTCCCTTTCCGTACATCTTGTAATACCCCAAACATTGAGCTTGCCTCGACAACACTCCTCTTTTCGAACCCACTTACCCCCCACACAAACACTTCTGCTCCCAAAACAAACAGCAATACACAACATGTCTGCCCCCGTCGACGCCCCCAAGCCGGTTGAGGTCCCCGAGGTTGGCACTGCTGGCACCGTTGAGCCTGCGCCAGCACCAGTTGTCGCTACCGAGCCTGTTGTCGCAGCGCCAGTAGTAGAGGAGGCGCCAAAGACGGAGGAGGTGCCCAAGACTGAGGGCGAAGCTGCGGCCGCAGCGCCAGTTGAGGAGGTCAAGGAGGAGAAGGTGGTTGAACCCATCTACAGCGGTGCGCTTGGCTACAAGGCACCCGGTCTGAAGAAGTGAGTCTTGGAGCATGTCACCGCCGACGATGGTTTATTGACAAACTTGCAGCGCTTTCCGCTTCGCCAAGAAGTACTTCTGGTTCGGCGAGGAGCCAGTTGCCGCTGACAACCTGAGGGAGTACCTCCGTGGCGAGAAGCCCGAGGTTGCCCACCCCGTTGCCGCGTGGTCCAGCCAGACCGGAAAGGGTCTTCTTTTCTTCGTTAAGCACGCTGACCAGAAGGAGCACCCAGCCGGTGTGCTCAACTTGGTAGGACACAATCTCTTCCCGACAGGAAGCCACAACTAACATGCATCAGGCCTATGCCACTGACCTCGCCAAGGACGGCGCTGTCGCTTTCGCGTTCAAGATCTCTGGCCACAAGCACACCTTCGAGGCCACCACCGCTGCCGAGCGCGATGGATGGTTCGTCGCCGTTGAGAAGGCCATCACCGAGGCCAAGGCCTCCAAGGACACGATCGAGTCGAGCGAGGGCTACAAGGAGAACAAGGAGAAGATTGGTAAGTTTACACTTTGTCCAGGTCGCGTCGCGTCGCGATGGCACTAGTGGACGATCTGGCCGTGTTGCTGCAGTAGGCTAACATCCCGCAGGCAAGCCCACCGCGCTAGCGGGAGCTACATCCTCCGCCCCCAAGAAGAGCATGGACGCTACCCCCAAGCTCGCCGAGGGTGAGACCGCCGCCGCTGGCGAGCCCGTCGCTGCTCGTGCTGGATCTTCCTCCAGCTCCTCTTCCGACGAGGAGAAGCGCAAGAAGGCTGCTAAGAGCAAGTCTCGCTCTGTCTCCCGTGGCAAGCGCGCCAGCCTCTTCGGCGGCCTGCTCGGAAAGAAGGACAAGGAGCCCAAGGAGGAGACCGACGCCGTCAAGACCGAGCCTGAGGTCAAGACTGAGGAGCCTGCTGCTGTTCCTGCCGTCGTTCCCCACCTTGACGAGATTCCTGCCACCACTCCCGTCAACGCCAACGATGTTACTCACCCCGCTGAGACCACAACCGAGCCCACTGCTGCCGTTGTTGCTGCCCCTACTGAGGAGGCTGTCAAGGTTGACGAGGCTGCTGCTCCCGTAACCCAGGAGAAGCCCAAGCCCCAGAAGCGCGGCTCCATCTTCGGATCTTTCGTCGAGAAGCTCAAGTCTCCTACCACCGAGAAGAAGGAGCACGAGGCTGGTCTCGCCGCCACTCCCGTCAAGGAGAACGAGACCATTCCCGAGGCCTCCAAGCCTCTCGAGGAGGCCCAGGTCGCCGCACCCGTCGTTCCTGAGACCACCACCACTGCCACTGAGCCAGTGGTCAAGCCTGAGGAGGTCAAGGCTGTCTCCACTCCTTCCAAGGAGAAGGACCACTTCAAGTTCGGAAAGTTCTTTGGCTCCAAGGACCGTGCCAAGTCGCCAGCTCCCGAGCCCAAGGTCGACGCTGCCGCTCCTCAGATTGCGGACACCACCGCTGATCCCGTTCAGGCTGTCGAGCCTGTCCCTGTCGCTGAGACCAAGGTCGAGGCTACCCCAGAGACTGAGGCTCCCAAGCAAGACAAGCGCAAGTCGTTCTTCGGCAACCTCGGACGCTCCCTGTCCAAGGCCACCGGTAACAAGGCGCCCAAGGACAAGAAGGAGGCTGTCAGTCCCGCTCCCGTCACCGAGGAGGAGACCGCTGCTCCCGTCGTTGAGGAGAAGAAGGAGGAGACCGCTACCCCGGTTGTTGGTGATGTTCCCGCTGAGGCCAGCGTGGCCGACGCTTCGAAAAGCGCCAACCCGACTGTCGCTACAACTGCGTAAGGTGTGGTGGGAAGATGTCAGCCTTTGCAACGACAGCCACGACGGAATGACGGAAAAGCAAAGACAACGTAAATCCCTTCTTTGACCGCCCGACCAACTCTGATACCCCCAAAAATTTGCTTTGGATCTCGTACATGGATTCAGGCGTGTTCATTTGGATCAAGTTTCTTCACATATCCCCTCTCATATTCGATTTCTCCTTGCATCTGGACCAACTCTTTGTCACTCTCTTTTGTGGATGGATCGCGATGGTTTAGACTGATACCACTTTAGCTGTTTCTCTCGTTTTGATACCACTGGCGGATCTCGGACGCACCTTGTTTTATCGCGCAATACCCCGGATACCCTCTGCGTACCGCCTTGTTAGAAGGAGTACACAAGCGGCCACTAGGGCACACATCGACGTAATAATCTCTAATAAACTGTCGTTGCTCTTAACCTGATTGTTCATGTGCAGTGTGATGTCCTGAGATTTACGTGTCTATACCGTGCAGTGTGAATAAGCCTTATTCAGAATGTGGTTTTATGTCCGTCTTGTGTATGATTGGAATGCGCTTTCTGAGAACAATCATGGTGTCAATTGTGTTCACAACTTAGCCAAATGAAGAAGCGGTGGTTGACTGCTTGTTGCACGCGTGAATATCGTTTCCAGTGATGACATGCTTTACATGGTACGCTATACTATCTTACTTCTTCTTGCCATCCAGATCCGAGTAGAAATTCCATCCAAAGTTAGCACTCGGATCGTTGAACCTCAACTTTTTGTCAATCTTGGCAATCTCCTCAACATCCTCACTAGGCAATTCAAAATCACCCTCCAAATTTGCCTTGATCCTCGACTCTGTCTTACTCTTTGGGATAACAGAGTGGCCCATGGCAATACCCCAAGCCAGCGCAACCTGCGCGCCTGTCTTACCATGCTTCTTTCCTATCTCAACGAGCACTGGGTCGTCCATGAGTTTGTTCATATTCTTCCCGGAGTCGTAGATTTCATTCTGGTTTCCAAAAGGTGAATACTGTGTTACATGGATGCCTTGCTGCTTGTGGTAGTCCGAGAAGGCGTTTTGCTGGAGGTAGGGATGACATTCTATCTGATGGACAGCAGGAACGACGGTAGTTTCCTTGATCAGCCGCTCGAGTTCACCTTTGCTGAAGTTGGAAATGCCGATTGCGCGGGCTTTCCCGCTCTTGAAGCATTTCTCCATGGCTTTGTATGTGTCGACGTAGTCGCTGTCGCCGGGCTTGGTCTTACCGTTGGCGTCTTTCGGGAACATCTCTGAACTGCGAGCGAAGGGAGAGGGCCAATGCATGAGGTAGAGATCGAGGTAGTCGGTTCCCAAGTCTTTGAGCGAAGCGTCGAGAGCAGCTTCTACGTCATCGGGGTGGTGCGAGTTGTTCCATAGCTTAGTCGTGATGAATAGCTCGGAACGAGGGATGCCAGATTTCTTAATGGCGGCGGCTACTGCCGGTTCGGTGCCGTAAATGCGTGCTGTATCAATGTGGCGGTAGCCGGACTTGAGGGCTATGGTGACGGCTCTGATGCACGTGTCAGTGAACGTCCGGCTTCTTGTCGATGGCAGGGAGGCTTACGGCTCCTGAGCCTCCTTGTCCTGCCATGTTCCAAATCCAACAGCTGGGATCTTTGCACCCGTGTTGAGAGTAAAGGTTGTGCCATTGTGTGCCATTCTGACTTGTTGTGGGTGAAGTTGTCGCGTTATTTGCGATAGTCTGTTTGTGGATGTTGTGCGTAAGGAACGCGAAGCGGATGATGCGAGCATGTCGGCGCTATTCGTGTTTTTTAAATGTACAATACTGTTCTCTTAGTGGGTTTTTATGGTACTCATATTAAGAGTAATTCGTCGTCATGGCGGCCTATGTTACCTCGGGGAAAATGCCGATGATGTCACAGGGTTCACGGCACCCATCACGGTATCGGTAGATGATGTAGTGACCTTTGAGCTAGATGGGACGGCATCGAACACTTGACGAATAGCTCAGAGTAGGATCAGTCCATTCCATGAGATTGGCTCAATCAGCACTCTGTTGAATGGACGTGGTGATGTTGCTAACCCGGGTTTAAGCACAGGCCGGAGATACTGACCTAATGTTCGAGTGCGAACGAACTCACACTCGTCTAACGTATGCATTGTTATATCACTCACTGGTAAAACGAGCCCTTTATATACGGCGTGAGCATCTGTTGTGCCGCAAGGAAAGGAATCAATGGTACGCGGTACCATATGTGCGATGGCCCAGCTATATGCAGTATATTCACCATCATTCTCATCTCAATATTCTTTACAGATGAAATGTGGAACTCAGACGATCAATGGGTAAGATTATGTTTTATTCGGGTGGGATAGGCACCGCTTCAGACCTGGCCTGGCGACTACAATTACAAGCTCGCAATCACTACATCAAAGAGAGAAACTAACCTCCTCTTTAGGGCAGAGTACTTCTTCCTACTACAATAAAGCATATTAGATTTATATAGATATGAATAGAAACCCTAGAAGACTACAATACTATTAATCTTTATAAGTTTTCTTATGAGGAGACGATGTAGACTTTAAGCTATACCTTGTTATTGACAGAAGTGAAACGAAAAGGAAGGGTATCAAACAATAAACACAAGCCCGGTGATGACGAAGTTATTAGCAAAGTCCCAGTAAGAATGAGATTCCAACGTCTCGGTGTCTTGGTAGACGCGTCCACCATAGGCGAGGCGGACTTTGACGGTGGAATCGAGCTGTGTATTGTTAGCAATGTGCTTGCTTTGCGCAGGCTGTGTAGCGGGGAGAGAGAAGGCGTACCTTTGCTCGCTGCTTCAGCTTCTCAACGATGATTGCGACAGTGTCTCGTATCCGAATTACGACCGGAACATCCTTCTGGTCATGGCTCGTCCTTATTCGCACACGTATGAGGCCGTTGGAATCGTCGTCGACCAGGTCGTCCAGCGTCTCCTGGATAGCACTGGAGCCGGCATCTCCAGCTACGTCCTTGTCGTCCATATCATCTTCTTCTGCCAGTCCCTCTGGCTCAACAACCACCCATTCGGGAATTTTGTATTGGACACCAGTCGGATCGTATACGCCTCGCCAAAGTAGTCCCGTTGGACACGTGCAGTCATTGGCATCCAGCATCGTCTGAGCCTCTTGCAGCTCCCCAGCCTGTAGGTAGTGCGCCACGAGGCGTACAGCGCGCCATATCTGCTCCGAACCTGTGACTTGTGTGTCCCACCAGTCCCCGCGCTCCTTCTCCAATCGCGATCGCGTCCATTTGAGGTTCGTGGAGTCCGTCAGAGGCTTGACGCGGCTGCTGGTCTTGGTGGTGATAGAAGCGAGCGTATTCGGCAGGCGCGAGCGCTGAGCAGAGGGGATGGGCTTCAGCGGGGTGTTTGGGTGGTTGTCGGCTCGTGGTGGGTGGACATTTCCCTGCGAGGCATGGGAGGCGCGTGGTGAAGGAATGGAGCTTGGTCGCGTCGAAGGCGCCGTGATGTTGCGCGACGAAGAATGCGCGTGGACAGCAGGCGGACTGTCGTCGCTCGTGCGTGAGGCGCAACAACCCTAATGACGTGTGTTAGAGCGTGCGAAACAAAGGAATATGCGCTGAGGCATGCGATCTGCATCCAACCTACCATTGTGGAATCCTACCCCTCAACCGTGGGCTGAGCCGACATGTGTGAGCTAATAATGCGCAGAGCGAGCGTGGGACTACAACAACAATACTAGAGGGGGATGAATGTAAGTGAATGATGATCGCATGAGCATATTGTTCCTCGGATAGGAGTGTAGGAGGCGAGTTGAGGCGAGGCTGTAGGATTCAGGGAAGTATCAATCGATAGCAGGAAGGCGCAGTCTACAACCTCTGGATGGTTGCATGGTTGCCGCGGTACGCCTTCCGCTCCTCCCGTGACCAGAGTATCAGACTATTACGAATGTCTTGCCACGCATCTCCATGTGCACAAGGAAGGCTGGGCCGGTCCATTTGAGAGTGGTGTCTAGTCACTTGGCCAGCACACAGTCGTTGTGAAGTGAGCGTCATGCAACCGCGTCGATCCACGCGGCATGCCGCTCCGCACAAACCAACCTTCCGAGCTGCGCCGCCTACCGCGTGCCCCTTTGCCAATCATCATCATGTTTTTTGAGGCAAGTGCAACAATAACATTAATCTGAATACATTCATAAAATCGAGGTGATGTACTAAGTACGACGAAATCAAGCATAGCTCCCTGCCGCCCAACTCTTCCTACTCTCCCGACGATCCTCACCCTCAAAGAAGATAGCGACGCGATTTGGCTCTCCTTTTCCTCCCTCATGATAGTCGTACTTGATCTTCTTGAACTTGAGTGCCTTGCTATCTTTGATCTCACTCCCGCTCATCACCATAGCCGCCTCGCTTTTGATGCGGCTTACAACAGGATTCAACAGCATAGCCATACTGAAGTAACTTTCATCCCGCACAATCGTACGGTTAGCAAAAAGGACCATTAGGCACAATGCCAGAAATTGGATAAAACAAATCCCACCTAGGATACTAAAGATGTAAGACCAGTCTACGTTGAGCTGTTGACCTTGTGAGGGAACGACAGTTTGCTCGGTGGCGCTGTAGCGGATGCCGTGGTCGTCGAACGCGGCTACAGCACCGATCGTGAAGCGCATTAGCAAGTCTTCCAGCTGTTGTTCCTTGAGCTCTTTCGCTGGAGACCACTTAGAGCCCTGACTGTAGGATCGCGTTTGTCGGTAGTCCGAATTAGCCCAGGCAATGCCAGTCCAGGCTATTGCCCCAGCGGCTATACGAGCGAAGTCGTCGCTACCAAACACTGCGCCAAAATCGGCAGGGTCTCGCAGTGTGATATCATGTTTTGCGTCGCGGCTGGATGTTACGTTTCCGAGAGTGTTTTCGCAAGCGAACAAGGACGTATCGTTTACATACTTGTCGTCGGGCAGTCGGACGACAGTGAAATTTGTACACCTCGGGCCACAGATTTCATCAACAGATGCCATCCAGGTGACAGATCCCCAAGCTGTCTCAGTGACAATGTAGGGGCTATATTCTTCAGTGCCCGGCTTTCTTCCCATGAGATACCCCTCTCCATCTTCAGTAACTTGCAGAGTGGTGTTTTCTATCTCAAGTTTGTCACACGTTGCCTGGACACTTATGATGCGGGAACTAGCTGCATAGTTGACCCAAGGATGCTTTGGGTCGCGGTTGAAGAAGCGATAGTGCCAGGCATCGTCGCCTTTGTAGATGGGTGCACCTTGCAAACCGGAGAGGTCGGTTGTCATATTTTCAAAGGTTGTGAAGTTGCTTTCAGGGTAAGCCGTAGCCTCCGTGCCGAACATCCAAGCCGCTTCGAGAGAGCTCTCGGTGAATCGGGGTTTGTCCTCGATAATGACAGGTGAGGTAGCGTCATTAGACCAAGTATCTAAGTTGGCAACGATCACAGTTCCATAGGAAAAAAGTGGGAGAAGCGAGTTCTCCATAGGCCAGAACAGACTCAGTAATGCAACCAAGATCTGAGAGCCAATGTTGAGAGACAGCCAAGCTAGGCACGCAAGCCACATCCACTTGGTCCCATCGTCTCTGACGTCCTTGAACCAGCCAAACTTCCGTAGCCAAGTCTTGCCACGAAATCCAGGTGAGCTGAGGATCATCAACTTTGTGACTTTGGCGAGCGAGCCTAGGTGTAGTATGAGATCAAATACCTCCAGACTGACATATCGTCTAGTGAGGAAGGACCATCGAAACACGGATGCGTAGTGCTTCAACGAGGCCAAGATGTTCAAACCCAGGCACAGCGAAACCCCAATCGTGAGTGAGTTGAAGATTCGGACTTCGAGATTAGAAAGGACGATGGGTCCGCGCCATCCTTCCCACGATTTGAGTGTGACACACATCGCTGCACTGAAGAACAGTGTTACAAGAAGCTTCATTGCTCCAGTCTTCAAAAGTGTTTTCCGAGCTTCACGGTGGTCAAAACGCTTGACTCGATTGTGATGTTTGTGGTGGTGATAAGTCCCGTCTTCTACGTCGAACGTTGAGCTGGGGGTACGTGGGGTATTCAGGGTGGTGTAGGCACCACCCTTGGACTCCATGATTTCGGGCGACAAGACCATCGGTGGTGAGTACGACGTGTCGTCGGGTGCGTACGATGTATCGTGTCGCATCGCTATATCTCCACTGTCGTAACCTGGCGGTTCGGCTGAGCTCATTAATGGTGCATTGTCGGAATGCCCACCACTAACTGTACGATTGCGGTCCATCGCTTCTTGCCTCGTTTCGGGAAGACGATGTATCAGAGCTTTACCCCACACCTGTGAAAGTGGGTTTGCGCAGCTCCAGATCTCGTACCCAGCCCGATGGGACGGTACAAGCGTTTTGGATGGATCTAGCCTAACCAAGTAGCGAGTAGGGCTGTATGCGTATTCGGCAGCGAAATCGGAGTTACTGATATACTGGTAGAAGTCGTGGTTCCTGGATATCTGAGGACAAACAAGAGCTATCGCGGGGTAGATTTGCAAGGCTTCGCCTAGGGAAGGTGCAGGAAGTATGATCGAAGGCAGAGAAGATGAACAATTCCCATGGAGCGCACATGGCGTTCTTATCGATCCCTCCCGACAAGTTCCCGCACGGCGATCCAGGAAGCATTGGTGGCTCTGGGGGCTGAAAGTTTGGGGGCCACAACAAGCGCAGCTGCAGGCCTCTTGAGCGGCACAAGACAGGCGAAGCAACTGGATAGTCCCGCGGAGAGGCAGAAGAAAAGATGAAAAGAGGTATCAGGATGTAATAATAGAAGTCGGAACAGTCGTTCTGCTACTTACCATGCGCCTATCGTGAAGCAGCCCTCGATACAGAAGCGTGATCCAGCTCATGACCTCTTCGTCTTGCATTCTGCCGAGCAAAAGGCTAAGCCTTACACTAGAGCCAGTGATTGTAGGGATCAGTAGTACTATTGTTAGCTCTAACTGCCTGTTGAGTGCACATCGTTTTATCGAGGCGCACCTAGCCTTGTGAGTGTGCAGGTGGCCTGAAGCCACGAGGGGGGCTGAACTCCCCATTCGCCTAGGATGCAACAGCGGGAAGGTACTTGAGTAGCGCGGAAAGCGCAAGGCGGAAAGCTTTTAGTATGTCGCAGAATACGCCTGAACTCGGTCATGCACTTATGGAAATTACGCGAGGGTGTATGAAGCTTGAATCAGTATTGTTGTGAATGTTGTTGTATTCGACGCGACTGCCCGGGTGGGAAGGAGTTCCTGAGCTTCGGCCGCGGCTCGCTCGCTTGACGTCTCTGCCAGCTTGCACCCATGCGAGTACTCACCAATCTCGGAACTGCTGACAGACATTACAATCGTTCTGTACTGCTTTGTACAACGACTCCGTCATCACGAGACTACAGCGAGGTCGGATTAGCGACGATCCGCGCGCGAGAGAGCTTCAAGCCAACTAGCTTCAGATATTCCCCACACGGAACTACCGGTCGATTACAAATGACTGTGGAGAAGATAGCTCAAAGGGCGTAATGTCAATTGACCTCAAACATCTACTTTTTTTCATATCTATCCTCGTCTTGCTCGCAGCTATCGATCATCACAGTTAAGCAACAATGTCGTCGTCAAAGGTAATCCTGTTTGACCTCCCTAGCAGAGACGGCGCCGCGTGGTCGTTGAACCCATGGAAGAGTACGTTTTATTTTCAAGTTAACTATGGTACGTTGGAAACACTAACAAGCTTGCAGCTCGCATGATCTTGAACTACAAGAAGATTGACTACACGACCGAATGGGTGGAATATCCCGATCTCGCACCCAAGTTCAAATCCCTCGGCATTCCCCCGAATCCCAAGGACGCACATGGCTATTTCACCGACTACAGCAGTCCTGCTATCAAGCATGCAGACGGAACCTACCAAATGGACTCATGGCCCATTGCTCTCGAGCTCGAGAAGCAGCACCCGAGCCCTTCTTTACATTTCGACGATCCGATTGTTGTGAAGATCAGGGACCTCCAACCCAATTTAATGGATCCGCTCAGATCCCTAATTATCCCTCGGGTGCCAGTAGCATTCTTGAATAAGCCAAGTGCTGATTACTTCTACAAGACGAGGCAGGAGTTGTTCGGGAAGCCGCTGGAACAAGTAGAAAAGGATGCTAATGCTGAGGAGTGCTGGGAGAAGGCCAAAGCGCCAGCGAAGGAGATGGGTGATCTGCTGAGGAAGAACGGTGGCCCGTATTTCCTTGGTCAGACTGGTATGTGAAGACGACTTCAGTGGAAGATCTGAATTATGCATGCTAATCAGAAAGCAGTCTCCTATGCAGACTTCATTCTTGTGTCAATGATGCATTTCATCAAGCGCGTAAGCGAGGATCATTTCAAGAAGCTTATGTCTCTTGATGATGCCTTCCCAAAGCTCTTCGAGGCGAACAAGCAGTGGTTGGAGAGAGAAGATTAGTTCGTCCTTTGCACGTGACTTGGAGGATCAGTCGACTCAGTCTAGATTCCCAACAAGTACCTTGGCCTTGCGCAACACTTCTCGATCTGTCTCATAGAACAGCAACTCTTCAGCATCAGGATACGAGAACAAGCCTGTCTCAACCCCCTCTTCACCAGGCCCCTTTGTTTCACCAGCACTTTCATACATTATCGCAATATACCACCAAATAATCTTGACACCCTGACCCTCTCTCACGGTTCTGACAGTAACCATGAAAGGCTCCACTGAATTGTGTAACGTGCGCGGCACATCAGGAGCATCCGCTGCATCACCTACAACAGGCGTTCTAGCAACCATGTCCACAGGCAGGATATGACATCTATACCCAGTTTCCTCGTACACCTCGCGCAGTGCGGCCTCTCGATGCGCTTCTCCGACGTTTCGCCGTCCTTTCGGTAGTACCCACATATTTGATTGAGCGAGGTGGATGAGACAAATCTTCTGGCGAGTGGGATCGTGGGCAATGGCGCCGCAGCTCTCGATGAAGTTTTCCGAGGTATATTGGCGTGTCGGACAGGGCGATTGCGCCATGTTGTGTGTGTTTGAAGATACACCTGGTGTGGATGGTGAGAAAGTGAATCGTGGAGGTGCATGATCGACGCCTAAACTGTAGCTTGTTGGTAGTCGCGTCGGACCAATGAAATCATGGTCAGCGTAAGGATGCAAAGAACCTCGTATTCGGTGACTCCAATACTCTAGTACAAATTCTACTAGCAAATTGCCGCAAGTAGAAGGTCCGATAAGGCTAGCCTATGACTCCCAGCCTCGAGTAACCTACCTGTCGTGAGTAGGGCGTGGTGCTCTAAAACATGGAAATATCTCTAGACTTGGCTCGACATCGCTTCTTTGTACCACTTTCAACATGCCATCTACCCAGGATATCGTCATACGTCCAGTTCCCTTCGACCATCCAGATAGCGTTCAACTCCGTACCACCCAACAAGCCGAGATAACTGCTCAATGGGGTCCAGATTACTGTGATCTACCATCAGCTGCTGACGTTGCAGTCTTTCTTATTGCATATCACGACGGCAAACCAGTAGGATGCGGTGGCCTACGTCCTCTTTCTTCAGCTTCGGAAAATGCACGCAAGAGTTCCGCTGAGATAAAACGGATGTTTGTTGCCCCAGCATACCGGGGCCGATTGGGCGGGGATGACGGGGCACGCACTTCGGTTGCGCAGCTGATACTTGAACAGCTGGAAGGCGAATCACGTAAAAGAGGATTGCCGTGGTTGTTACTGGAGACAGGCGTCGATATGACAACGGCGAGGCGTTTTTATGAGAGATGCGGATTCGTCCAGCGGGGGATGTTTGGGAAATATTCGTTGGCTGAGGCGAGTGTTTGCTATGAAAAGTGGCTTGGTGGTTCTGTGTCGTGATTCTGGCCTGGCGGAGATGCTAATTTGGAGAGAAGAAAAATTGCTTCTTGCTTAAATGTGTTCTCCGCGAACAGACAATGGCAAATGGGTCCTCTCCAGAATATATACAAAATTGCCCACCTTTGGTCTGTGTGTTACCGCATCGTTGGTCCTCTCGTTCCGTACTTGCCAGTCATTGTCCTCAATCTCGCGCTTCTCTACTAGATGCCACAGATCAGCTGGATGTGGGAAAGCTACATCTTGGGGTATCACGTCCTTTGCGGACGCATCCAGGAAATAGAAACGATCGCTTGAATAAGACAGAGCGATCCAGCGCGCCCCAGGTTTTGTCACGAGCGCTAAATTCACAGCCATGACGACCAAAGGATGAATAAGTTCCGGAGACTTGGCGGGATCCAAATGGAGGGATTCATAGGATCGAACTGCTAGCGGATACGGTGAAGGAACAAGGACGTCGTCTGCACAGGCAATGGAGTCGGATGTTGACTTGTCAACTATAACCGAATAGGTAGCGCGCTTGCATACGCGCATCACAGACTTGTAGTCGAGCAGATCTACAGCATCCCAGCGCATGCACGCGACATTGGCCCTCGGATCCTGGTAGATCTCCTGTTCGCGGATCTTGCCAACCTCAATGGCAACTTCCGAATAGTCCAAGTTGTGTATCTGTTGTGGGCTGTCTACATGAGCGCGCAAATGGTAGGATAGTAGCGAGGTGCCGCAACCTATGTGGACAAGTTGGGGCTTGGGCGTGGGTGTAGCGTCTAAAGAATCGACAATGTAGGGATCCAGGACATTGGGAGCCTCGAGCCATTCAAAAGGATCCGTGTTGGAAGCGAAGCGAAGGTTCCAGTAGGCTTGCGATCCGAACGAGGGCGGTTGCTTAGAAGGCATTGCGACCTGGGACACACTGGCGTCAATACTACTCTGCGATTAGTCGTCGTCTCTCCACTAACAGATCGAAGGTGAGTTGCAGCCGAAGCGCGTGTACACGCGCGATATGAGTGAAAAGGGGCTTGTTGCCGTGAGGAAAGAAGTGAGGAGAGGCGATGATGCCCAAACGATTAATTGTAGGTATGCGCCGGCCCGAGCTTTCTCCGGCACCTGAAGATCTTCATCCCACGGTTCTGCGGACTCCCGAGACGACGAGCATCACCACCCACAGCCATGGCCACCCTCCAATCGATACCGCGCTTCCTTCTTCCCCGGGGCCCGCTGCTCCTGCGACCTCAAGCACGCGCCTTCCTCCCACTGCCCTCACCCACCAGTGTCCGCCATGCCTCCATTACCCCCAAGGGCCTGTCAGAAGAGTTCCGGAGACGGCGAGAAGCACAGCAGCAGAGGGGAGCGCCCGTAATACCGCAGCCCGACAAGTACCGACCGCCGTCACACAGCAAGCGAGCCCCGAACCGGAATCTGGAGAACAAGATCTATGGCGCGCCCGTATCGGAAGAAGACAAGAAGCGCATGGCATCCAAGAAATACCCCAATATGATGAGTCCAGAGGGCACCTTCTCGCATTGGTTCCTCCACAATCGGGCAATTCATCTGTGGATCACAATGGTAGTGCTCCCTCTAATACCCCGCCTCATTGTCCAAACGTCCCCCCAGGCTAACCCCACTTTGTTCAACAGGGCATACTCGTCTCCCTCGCCATAGCCGCATGGTACATGGACTTCATCTCCAAGACCGTCTTCGGCCACTTGCTTCCTACACGCAAAGACTTTGTCCGCCACCCCTTCGAATCCACCTCGCGCTTCATTGAAGTCTACAAGATGCACATGGCGCAGACGTCGCAGCAGTACCAGCAGCAGAGGCTGCAGAAGGCCGAAGAGGTTGAGAAGAGGAAGCAGTTCCGATTGGAGAGAAAGAGGGAGGCCGAGGAGAGGGGTGAGGAATATGTTGAGGACCCAAGGTATTACGTTGGTGAGGATGGTATCAGGAGGAGGAGGGTGAAGAAGTGGTTTGGCATCTGGGAGTGAGGTTGTCTTTGGGCAAATCATTCGATCACTGAAAAGCACACCAGCGACAGGTGTAGTGGCGAAGATTGGACCGTATCGTATTCGAGGACAGTGTAGGATATGAGTCATGAGCGACAACAAGTCGTAGGACCGTGATGACAGGAGAAGTCAACAACCCAATGTTCGAGCCCCAACTTCATTTTCGAAATGTGGGCTATCGTTGTAACGAGACGTGTACATGGAAGTATGTATATTAGAGATTTTGATCTCATCTATCAACAGGAATGAGAAATCAGGCACATCTCCTAGCAGTTCAGCAACAATAATGCTGCGCATTCCAAAGAGATGCCTAGACTGCTACGATAATCTATCAATCCCACCTCTCCTTTCTTCTTCCCTCCTGCCAACCCAGACATCATCATCTGGCGCCATACCCCTCTCTACTCCTTCCAGCCCACACAACCCATCAACTTCCTCAGGTACCTTCCAACCCCTCATCTCTTGCGTCCTAGTGGCAAACACCATCATCAAGCCAGCCTCGGTATGCCAGCCTATATGGCAATGAAACGCCCACATTCCTGGATTATCCGCCACAAATGATATCAACAGCCACCCGTATGCTTCTACACTTGCCGTATCCCTCCGCAGCGGATTAGTCAGATTGAGATGACTTCCAACATAGTCGGGTTCGAGAAGGGAAGAAGGTGGATACCCGTGTCCCTGAGCGAGGACGAAGAACTTGTAGCCATGGAGATGGAAGGGGTGGTTTCCGTCGTCTAGATTCTGTATTAGGATCGTTATGGTCCGCGTCGATTGCGTCTGATAAATGAGTTGGTGCAAAGGGTCAAACGTGTCCGTGTCTAGAATTCTTTCGTGAACACTCGACTCGACGGTCCGTGTCGAAAGCATGGTGTTTAGGATCGGCGAGGTAGCATTTGTGCGAAAAGAACTATCGTTCAAATAACCTCGCGAGAGTCTCCAATCCCCGATCTGGAACGAGGAGCGGAGGTAGAGGGCGTATTGAGTATCAATCTCCGGTGGTGCTATTGCGATGACAGGCTCCAGAGTCGAAGTGTTCAGGTCCCGACATTCGACATCGATAATCTCAGGCCAATCCTTGCTCTTTGGTACAAGCTCCTTCGTTCCATTATCCGTTGTAGGATAGTATAGTATACCCCTAACTTCTTCTTGCAATTCCGGCTCTTCATACGCAAAACAGTGCGTCACCATCCTTGCACGCATCCAATACGCCTCTTTGTTCCCGTCCTCACTGGGTGGAGTGAGGACTATACTGTACCGCTGCGCAGGGTTGATGTTCAGCCGATGAACTGATTGAGGGTACACATCCGTGCCATCTACTTCTGTGACCTGGAACTCATGTTCGTCAATTTGCAAGGCAAATTCTGCAAAAGCCCCAACGTTGATAATGCGAAGTCGTGTATTGCTCGTGCGCGACAAGCTAAACAAAGCATTGCTAATGCCAGATGATGAACAGTTTCGATTCGGTAAACCGGCGCAGTCTCGCACGTTTCGTCCGTTGATCAGGGCAGATGGGGGAACAGGCTCATCGTTTTCACTGCCGGGGGAGAGGTACTGCATAAGTAGGTCGGAGGAAAGGTCGTAGTAGAAGTCCGACAGTAGAACTACGCGGTCCTGTTCATACGGTACCTTTTGCAATTCCATCTTCTCTTCTCCGTCCTGGGCGTGTATGATGAGCGGTCCCACGAGTCCATCTGACGCTTGCATGCTAACGTGCGAGTGATACCAGTACGTTCCCGTTTGCCCCGTTACATTGAACCGGTATGTGAATGAATGGCCTGGGGCAATCGGACACTGCGTGACTCCCACTGTTCCGTCCATCCAGTTTGTGCCGTTCTGGTAGAGACCGTGCCAGTGGATAGATGTGGCATTGGTGGCTTGGTTGCGGACATGGACAACAAGCTCATCGCCTTCGTTGCACTCGATCAGAGGCCCAGGAAAGGTGCCATTGATGAGTATCATAGGGCGATACACTCCGTCAGGATTGAGAATGTGGTCGGTTACCTCCCAAGTATACTCCCGGGTCGTAGGTGGAGCGTTAAAATCCCATCCTGAAGAGAGTATGTAGTCTTCTTCCGGTCGAAGTCTTGCAAGACTAGAGGTAGTGGATGGCGAATCAGTGTGCTCGCTGCCGGTTAGTCCTCGGTGCACCAAGACGATAATTGTGGAAATGAGGAGAAAAGCAACGGTGGTGACTCTGATCCATGGCCGCCGAGGTTTGTGGTGCTGTGCGGTTTCGTGCTTATCGGTCCAGCGCGGTCCCCGATCATCTTCTGTGTGTTCGCTATCGTCGTCGGTAGATGCATGTAGCAAGCCAACTTGCTCCTCGGGCTCACGTGCGTTCGAATTAGACATGTCTCTCATGCCAAAGCTTTGGTCTCGGCCCATCGCGGCTAGCTTCCACAGTCCTTCATCAATTTCCGGCCAGTCTCATAAGAGCGTTACACAGTGTTCGTGTAGCTGTAATCTCTTCGATGTTTGATGTCACTGCCCTCAAATCCCTGATCGTCCCTGTAAGTTGGTGGCAACCGTCACTACCTGTCATCTCATCCAGGGAGCCTGTGAATGCCATCGCCACCATCAGAACAGCCGCTGCACGAGTGCAGGAGATCATCCCGCCACGCCGCTTTATCTGCAGCGTGGTCATGTCCTGCGTCCGCGGGTCGTGCCATCAATCAACGCAGATTTGCCGAGTTCGACCTTGCCCAGGGTGTGTGTCCAATCAACTTCGCACGTTGATCTCGCGAACCCATCCAAAGCTTGTCCACCTTCCCGAAAAGCTTAACCTCCCGCGTTCAGTGCATCGATGTGCGAAGTACCTGTTCCAATAGTGTGCACATGTGCGATACACATACCGCAATTGGTGGGAATGTGGCAGCTTTGCTGCAATTAGTTTTCACGAGGTGTCCAGACCCTTTAGATACTAGCAAAAGCGGCATCCCATGACCCTGACAGATGGGATGAAAAGCCCGCTGGCAGATGGCATGCGTGTCTACCTGCTGTCATTTCATTTGGGCGTCTCTTTGTTCTTGCTGTGACGTTCTTTGGTAAGAAGGCATCGAAAAAGTGCATCACCACCAAGACTAACTGGATTGTCAGCGTGGTTAAACCATCATGATTACTTCCTTCGTTTTATCACTAGCATTGCTAGCGAACCTCAGCCCAGTACATGCTATAGTCAAAGGCAAGGCATTCGACCGCATTGCCATAATATGGCTTGAAAACACCGACTACGACCTCGCAGCAGGGGATCCGAACCTAGCATGGCTCGCAAAGAAAGGCATCAGCCTTACGAACTACTTTGCTGTAACCCACCCCTCTATGCCCAACTACGCCGCATCGATATCGGGTGACTACTATGGCATCAACCACGACGACATGGTTGCGATTCCCTCCAACGTATCCACATTGGTAGACCTCCTCGAAGACAAAGGTGTGAGCTGGGGCGAGTACCAAGAAGACATGCCGTCGGTTGGCTTCCAAGGAAAATCCTACACGAACCCTAAAACTGGAGCCAACATGTACGTCCGCAAGCATAACCCAGCCGTGCTGTACGATTCGGTAGCGCAGAAGACGGACAGATTGGCCAAGACGAAGCCTCTGACCATGTTCAAGCAAGACATGGACAAGAACCAATTGCCGCAGTGGATGTTCGTTACACCCAACATGACAAGCGATGGTGAGTATCCCCAAAGCACGGTATATTCATTCGGAAACATACTCACGGTGTACAGGACACGACACTACCGTGACTGTAGCAGGAACTTGGACGCGGAAATTCCTCGAACCCCTCCTCACCAACAAGAACTTCATGAACAACACACTTGTCATGGTAACTTTCGACGAGAACCACACCTACGGCAAACAGAACCGCGTCGTAAGCATCCTTCTCGGAGATGCCGTTCCTGCTAATCTGGTCGGTACCACGGATAATGCCTATTACAACCATTACAGCGAGATCTCTACTGTACAAGCGAATTGGGGCTTGCACACACTAGGCCGTTGGGACGTAGGTGCTAACGTGTTCAAATTCGTAGCTGCAAAGACTGGCGATACTGTGCGAGCATGGTCTGGGAAGGTTCCCTTCAGCAATATGTACTTCAATGCGTCCTACGCTGGAAAGTTGAGCAACAAGAATACGTCGGTTCCTTGGCCTGTACCGAACACCAATGCGGTATTTGCGGGAAGGAGTGTGTTGCCAGCTATTGCGGATACGTGGGGGAAGCAGGTCGGACAATCTGCGTATACGACTGCTTTGGAGATTCCAGACGGCATGCATCCAGAGGCCGAATTCAAGTAAGGATTTGACAAGCATTGGCCATTGGACTGTAAATTTCCTCTTCAATCTTATAATCAATATTATACTGCCCATCGTCTGCGCGTCTCTGATTTTACCTCGTCCATACTCCGAGCATTCCGACGCAACACAGCTCCAACGACTTGTATCCTGCACACATCCGCGTAGGCACCCTTTCCAATCTCTTCTGGCCACATGTCTGGATGCAGGATTGTGTACTCAGCAAGCTCCACACCTTCTACTTGTTGGAGCTTCTCTAAGAAAGCATCGCGGCCAGGGTCGGCCATGGGCATGGCGACGCCCGTATATACCACAATGACACCAGTCGAGGATAGGATTTTCACCCCTTCCTCCACGATACGCAAGGATATATCTAGGCCGAATCCAGCACCACCATCTGCGTATATGGGCAGGTCCTTACCGTCGGTGCTGGATGCGATGTAGGGCGGATTACTCACGATGAGATCGACGCCGTAGTGCTTCATTTCCTCAGGTACGGTTGCATAGAGGTTTGACTCGGAAAAGCCAACCTTCACACCAGCCAGCTGTGCATTGACATCGCCCAGGCTCAGCGCACGTGGATTCAGGTCCAGTCCTAATGTCTTTGCCTGAGGATATGTCCTTGCCATATGTATCGCCCCTGCGCCCGACCCGCAGCAGACATCTATAATGCTACTAGGTGCTTGTGGAAGATGTCGTGTTATATTTTGCAGGAATGAAACGAAGAGGTATGTGTCAGGTCCGAAGAAGACGGAATCTGAGGATGCAGGGAAGGACGAGTGGATGTAATAGGGTGACGCGGCACCAATTTCGTAATTCGGGAGGTTGGGAAGGTAGAAGTTGGATACGCGGATAGTGGAGCGGTAGCCCCCATCATCACTTTGAGTGATTATGGAGGCTTTGTGGAGGTTTTCGAATACATCGTCAGGTATTATTGATCGTAGAGCTTCCCTGTCAGGTTGTTAGCATGGCAAGGTGAAAGAAAGACAACATGTATATCGTACCTGGTACACGGTAGATTCCATCCAAAGAAATCATACGCGTTCTGGGCATCTTCTGTCGAAACATTGGAACGTCTCTTATTTACCACCCTGGCCTGTGTCTCTGGAGAAGGACATAAAAAGACATACTTCTCCTTGGCCAGGTGCTTAGTGAGAGCCTGGTAGGCAGTCGTGATTTCAGTCATGGTTGAAGAAGTGGTACAAGTCTAGCTCCGCGGGTGGCTTCATTGCGCAACGCTTTCTGAGACACAGCCAGCAGATGCAGCTGTCAAGGCACATGATACCAAGAGTTGCTTGAGCCGCGGAACAAACGTAGGGGTCAGTGTGACGTTGTTGTTAGTAATGACAGGTCGGTTAGAGGCACCGCGTATGTCGTGCTCGAGCCTTGGTGTCCACAATTGGAAGCTGGCCAGATGTACAATACCGGTCAATGCAAAGAGCCGTCCCTTTTGCCTATAGTGTGCTGCGCCGCTTGCGTTGCAACCAACAAAATGATGTCGCGAAAGTGTTAGGTCCCACTTGTACGGATCCTGCGAACTGTGGGGTACGCTTGGCCTAGCTGCAAGCGGTTTAGTCTCAGATCTCGTCATGGATCGCCTTCAGGGCGATGACATGGACAGTCCAGGTACTGACCATGTACGTATTCATCGTCAGCATGATTCACTGCGTATACTCACATGGGTGTGGCTACTTTGCCACAACTGCGCTAACAACAGTCAAAACAGCTGCGCTCCCCAATGGCTGAGCGACGGAATGTAGTTCGGTGTGCGCTAAACGAACATTACGATTCCTCTCAGCATGTTCATTCTACAAACAACCACAGCGATACTAATCGCGTTCCTTGCACTTGTCGCGTATAACGAAGTTCGAAATCGTCTCGCCAAAGGCCGGTCAAGAAGGAAAGATCTCGAAACTCCAGGCAGTCCAACGATACCCACTACCAACGACGTCAAACCACCGCCGCAAGATGCGAACTTGGAAAAGGACCATGTTCTCGAAACAACCCGGCTGAGCAATGAAGAGCTAGAGAGATACAAGCAAATCTACTACAAACTACACCGTCTCGAGAATCACCCTGAGATTTTGCCAGAGTGCAACGAGCTCCTTCTCAGTCTACTCTCTTCAACAATCGTGGATGCAGTCAAGGAACCAGGAAATGGCATTCTGTCCGTTAAGAGATTCTCACGTGAATCATTAGATGAATTTCTCAAAGCCAAAGATGTCGACGTCACCAACCGGTGGGAGGAGTATCTTTCGCGCCGAAGAGCTGGTGGATCCCGAGAGATGTTTGCCGACAAGGAGGAGGCAAAGTGGTGGCTCAAGCAAGCAGCGCCAGTCAAATACGTTGATGGTGCGTGGCTCGGACACATCAACAAGATCACCACACCATTCCAGTACCGTCAGATTACCAAGAACGCATGGCAGGTCATGTCCGAAGAGCTTGGCGACGGCGACCTTGCAAAGAACCATGTACATGTGTATCGACAATTGATGAACGACATCGACGCTGGTCTTCCTGCTGCTGACTCGGAGGACTTTATCAATCCTCGCCATGGATTAACAGAAACGCGATGCTGGAAAGCTGCCATGGCGCAGCTTACCATCTCCCTGTTCTCTCACGATTTTCTTCCCGAGACTTTGGGCTTCAACATGGCTTATGAAAGCCTGCCACTCCACTTGTTGAAGACCGTCAAGGAGCTTCGCGAACTTCGGCTGAATCCGTACTATTTCGAACTCCACATATCTATCGACAATGCCGATTCTGGTCATGCTGCTATGGCAATGGCTGCAGTTACCAACTACATTGAGATGGTAGCTGAGAAGGAAGGAGAGGAAGCTGCGCATGTCGCGTGGAGACGCGTGCAGGCTGGCTACATCCTCGCTGAGGGCTTGCCCACTACCCCAGAAAGTCCGTCACTGAAGGTCCAGGCTGAAGAGCCTTTTCCTCGTAACAATACTGAGGCGGCGCTAATCGAAATCTTTGCTGCAAAAAGCTTTGTCGCCCACAAGATCCATTGCAACAGTCGCCTGAAGATTGGTCGCCGTTCTTTAGTGGATTGGCTAGAGCCGAATGCTTTCAAAGATGCACAGTGGCAAAGAGAGTTCCTACAGGACCTTGGCAATTGCAGACCTTGGGTAATCAAGGGTAGCAGTGGAAGGAGTAGATTAGTGACAGAGTTGTCCTGGGAAGGCAAGATGTTTGGAAGTTTCACCGAGAAGGAGGTGGAAATCGTAAAAGCGTGGATAGACGAACTTGGCTTGCCTATTCAGAGCCCAGAGTCAGATCCAAACGCATATTTTGAGTTCACAGGACGGTCTTTTAGTCCTCTAGTGGAACCGATGACACGGCATCTGGACATCCTTGTCGACTACCCAGTCCTTGCGACGCCTGAGCCGGACACTCCTTTCAAGAACACCAACGCCAACGATCTGAACATCGATGATGCACCGACTCTTGATCTCAGTAGGCTCAACATCTCTAATTTCCTCCCTTTGTGGTTCACATCACCTACTCTACTCGAAACGCTCCCTGCCGTACCTGTCCGAGCTGCCGACGAATTCGGCTCTGCCATCGTACGCGTACTTCGCGCTCAGACTGGATTCAGTGCTGAAGGCCCCGGTGTAGCCGGCATGGACGAAGTTCACCGTACTGACGACGGTCAAGCTATTGGCCTGATTGAAGTTGGCCTGGAAATGTGCCGTAGCGCAGGCATGAGGATACCCTCGAGCTTGGAGGAGGCAGTCGCTATGGGCAATGATGAATCAGTTTCGTTCTCGCAGTGGATGGTTTGGATGGGTATGCGATGGCTGACCCACCAGGATCTACTCGTGGGTATGACCTGGGCATTCATGGAGGTGCATGAAGCAATTGCCAGAGGTCAGGGAGACATGGCGTTGTTGTGTGAGGAGAGTCGGTGCGTGCTGCAGGAAATCGTCATCAGGGAGAGAACAGGCTTGGATATCTGCAAAGAAGAGATATTCCAGGACCAGAAACGTAAGCAGGAGTTTTGCACGGGACTTTGCATAGCGAGAAGAGCGATTCAAGCATGTTTCACGAAGTAGCAATCATAGATAGAAATAGGGATCTAAAGATGCCCTGTAAATTCATTTGTTGCTAAAAGAGACCCTCTGGGTCAAAGGAAAAGAAGAGAAATCAAACTGGCCATCTATATACATCGTCCAGCTCAAATGTATGTACAACGAAAGACTTTTAGCAAGTCAAGTAGTCCCACTCTACTTCTTGAGGGTGAGGAGACCGGGCCTGTAGGGGAGACGGTCGTAGTCACCACCGGAGTTGGGGTTGCGGCCCTGGTACAACAACTGCAGGTTGCAAGGGTCGACAGTCATGGTCTGGTCGTTGGTAACCTTGACCAAGTCACCGTGAGAGATGTCGTTGGTCCAGGTAGCACCGCTGTTGGCCTTGCCGGCGAAGGGGTTGCTCTCGGTAGCAGCGTTGGGGGTCCAGTTGCCGCCGAGGCTGGAGGCAGTGAAAGAGCGGAAGTAACGTCCCTGAGAACCAACAGCCTCAACAATCATGAGGTACTTGGCGGTGGTTCCTCCCTTGACGGTGTAGACCTGGACAGCCTCGAAGAGGTTGTTGGTGCTGTCGCTCATGACGACGGTGGAGGCGGTGCCGAAGTCGCCTGGGAAGTTGCCAATGGGCATGCTAGCACGGTAGATCTTGCCGTTGTCACCCGCGAAGAACAGGTACATGTTCTTGTCGTCACCGATAACGGTCTGGTCAATTGGGCCAGTGCTTGAGCCAGTAATCTTGCCGGAGAAGAGAGGCTTAGCCGCGCTCCAACCGTTGGCGTTGGTAGGGTCGGAGGAAGTCTTGTAGGAGAAAGCGGTAGCTCCCCACTGGTAGGCGATAACCCAGGTGTTCTTGGGCTTGAAGAAGAAGAGGGTAGGGGCGACGAGACCCTGGCTCATGGCGTTCTGGGGAGCAGATGCCAACTCGTTGAAGTTGGAGACGAGACCGAAGTTCATGGAGCCGTAGTTGCTGCCAGTGTCGTGGTTGGTGGCGTAGACGAGGTGCTTGCCGTTAACCATCTGGGTGGTGAAGTCCTTGAGGTTGGCCCATCCTGCCTTGGGCTGAGCAAGCGCGTTGGAAGAAGTCCACTTGTAGCTGGTGGGAAGCTGGCAGCTCTGGGCTGAAGCAGTCGATGCCAAGAAGGCGATCGCAGCAGCGGGAAGGCTGAGGTCGGTAGGAGTGAAACGCATGGTTGCTGATGTGAGGGATAGGAAGCTTGTGTTGTTTGGAAGAGAAGCTTGGCTGTGTGGAGTGAGGCCTTAAAGAGGGCTATCGACAGGATACTTATATGTTCATACCAGCATCAGAACTACCAACCATACTTGCAAGGCACTGTCACACCGTCTCCACTCCATGAACCACCTCATTGTCTCGACCGTTCACATTGGCCTCGGTACCATAGCTCATCCTAGCACTGGAAATTGATCGTCCATGCCATGCGGCCGTTTGGGGCCTGGTATATTGTTCCGTTGTTGTGGGTATATTAATGACATGATGTTTCAAGGGATTTTGCGTACCTGCACGGACAGCAATTCTCCGTAATGCGGGGAGTGCCCGGCAAAGGGTTACTTTGCCGCGCATGAAGCCCGGTTGGGGAAGACGCGCCAAGTCGTGGTGGGTATATGCTTAAATCCTATGCAGGCTTGTGCGGCAACTAATGGTTTGATCGCTGAGGCTTGGTAGCTTTATTTCAACGTCAATTCATCCTTTGCTGTAGGCAGAGCGATTGCATCTGGTAGACTTTTTGTTTCAACAATTCGTTGTGACGGCAGGGTGGACTGACGCGTTGATTGCTGGAAACAAAATCTCGGCGGTATTCCCTGAAATGCGAGTGGTAGTGAGCTTTGTGATACAGAAACTCCCACCGGGTGTTTACCAGAACCCACCATTTCGGCCCTTTAAGGTTTAGTGCCCGCCATGTTCGTATGTCAAAACGCTTTGAAACACCCGGTGGCCGGATTCTAGAAGCAGGGTCGACAGGAGCGACAGTGGCGCAAATGTGTTAGCGGTGGGAATGCCAGTGTTTGGAACGATCGCGGGTAGCCAGACGGGATCTTAGCGAGGTTGAAGTTGGCATTGCTTATGCTGCGGCGCATTGATACTCATCGTGGCGAGATTGCTACTACGTCAACGGTAGTGGATCTCTGTTTCGTTTCTCGTCTGCGTCGCACAGTGGAAGACATCAACCGGTTCTGCACCGCCTTCGAGTCGGTGAGCGATCGGAAGCAGTTGGTCTTGATCGCGCATAGACCATGAAGCCCAATGTCCGACTGTATGTTCTAGATGGACAGGACATGGTCGCCGAGTAGACCTACCACGAATTCCTACCGCAATTCATCCAAGATTCGTATGGAGACAAGGCGGTAGGGTCGGTTTCTCAGTCGACTCGTGGAAATTCTCTGCCCGTTGATATGAAGAGTGGCGGTAGGGGCGCCACCGAGCACTGTTCGCAGCCAAGTCAACTAAGACCGTTGCCGAGCAGCCAAAGTTGACCAGCTGCTCCAGGTGACCTACTCGAAATGGTCTAGTAGTGAAGGTTGCAAGCGTGGCGCAATATCCAAGTGAGGAATCGAATCTGGTATAGATTGGACAGATTGAATCTCCAACTCAGTACAGGCACACAGAGTAAGCCTTCCGATGGTTTAGAGGGATTGCTTACATGTGAAGATATCTCCACGTAAACAGGTAGCGCTCGCTTGTACGAAAAAGGAACAGAGTCGATCATATGAGCCAGGATTCCTTCCGAACCCACTGTACCCCATACCAAGCCTCGTAAAGCTCGATAGCATACTGGGCGCCCAAGACACTAAACATCCCCCAAGACTGCCGAAAACGTTCCCAAGACGGATAGTGGCACGGATCAGGCACATACGAGCCCCATGGGGTAGTAAAAAACGTTGTTTGCGGTGTATGTGTTGTCCATCTAATCTGGCTTCTGTTCAGGCAGAGACGAGTCTTACAGCCGTTTAAGCTTTCTCGTGCGCCGTGTAACTTCTTCTGATAATCAACTTGTGCAAGCGCCGGCTATTGAGTTCTTCTTAAGGTCAGCGATAAATCCTACACGCGGGGTTCAGAGAGAGTGGCGTGTCGGATAATGTTCAAAAGCGCCAGCATGTTAGTCCAGAGTACCAATGTCTGAGGGGGATCTGGCTGCTGTAAGGCTGAGCTGACCTGCCAATGACCGAAACCTCCACTATGCAGATCGTAGAGTGCAAACCTCAAGGTTCAAGTGTTGCTGCACCGCTAAACAAGAATATTGTGGTTTAGGTGAAAAGCACATGTGTTGGAGATGATGACGTTGTGTTGTTGGCGAGCCGAGAGCTTACTCAGCCACTGCCCATTTGGTATTACATATTCTTCACGCAATTAGTAGTATAACTCATCTTGATCTCACACTCTTGCGCTACGAGTTGTGGCTCTGCTAGATTCTTGGATGAACGACACAGATCACAAACCTTGATCGACATGGCTGTAGCATTCTACGCATGTATAACGGATGACTGTATTGCAGGCATCACAAGATAATCAATTTAGCCATATGGCACCCCTCTCTCTTCGCCAGCTTCTCTTGCCTATAGTAACTCTACCATGTCTTTAGAACGAAACACTCGAAATGTACCATTATGGCCTAAACTATGCATCTCCACTGAGAACGACAGAATGCACCTGTCCAGTACTCAAAGCTTCTCCAGGACGCTTTGAAATTTCTACGTACCTCAAAGCCTGGTGTTTTCGATCCGCAGGTGCTTTAGGGGATACTGCACTGCCATAGACGTCGTCCGTGTGGAGCTATATCTTAATCGAAGTGCCAACCAAGCGCTATGCTTCCACGCGATCCCGAAATCGTTGAAGTTGATCGTGTTTATACTACAGATTTGTGAGTGGGGAAAAACAGGTAAGCATGGAAATACGTACTTTTGTTGATCATTTGATTTATGTCCCATTGAGATTTCGGCGGCTACCGAAGCACTTGCTTGTGCATCACCTTGACACTCTCCGGTAGCCATCCCGCATCTTGTACATCGCATTGAAATCCTGACCTGATCAAAGATATACGCCATCGTCTGCCTCTGGCGCCGACGCATCACCATTCCTTTGCTCTTCCGCTGCCGTACCATTTGTCGCCGTAGTCGCATGACCGTTCACCGCAGCACCATCAACCTTCTCCTCTTCCCTCGGTCTCCACGGTAGACCCCTCACGTCCTTGACCTCGTTCTTGATTGCCTCCCTCCTCTCCTCGAACCTCTTTATAACCTGCTTGTTCTCCATAAGTGCCTCGTAGCAGTCGCGGTCATCATTCTCGCGCGCAAACTCCTCGAGCTGCTTGTTGCTGGACTCAAGATGGGTGAGTTGGTTGGTAAGCTCGGAGTATTTGGCGTAGAGCGATTCGACAGAGAGGTCTTCAAGCGCCTTGGAAAAGCGCGTGAAGGTGATCGGAGCGGCGTCGGCGGACATGCTTGTACCGTGTTCTACGTGTGTCGCGTCGAGTGAGAATACTTTTGTGTTCGGCAATAGAGCCAGAGATGCGCAGTGAGTCGTGAAGTTGAGAGTACGCGAGGCTCAGTGTTGGGTGGAGTTGTGGCGGAAATCAGTAAGCAAGACGCGTCGGAGAGCTTGAGGTTGGTGGGGTAGCTTGACAGCTTACCCCGCCATCATCACGCATATAACGACAGACTGGTGCCTAGAATGCCTCCACTGACACGATCGCGCACGGGGAGTCGAAGGATCTCATCTTGATCGCTGCTGTTTGCTCATGCTCCAGAGATCTTATCGCGAATATATTGCAGCAATTTGGTGGATAGTTAAAATAGCAACCTCTGGCACTTTGGCGGAGTGGTTAACGCGCTGGCCTGCTAGTCCTTCACCGGAAAGTTAGCCAGTTCCTTCGGGAGCGTGTGTTCGAATCACACAGGTGTCGCACGAACCAATCTTTTTGCCAACGTGGACAACTTGAGGTCACACATTCCAGAACCTATGACAACCTTTTTGCCGTCCTCGGCTACCCGTGTCATGTATGCGGAACTATTCAGAGTCTCTTGTTTTTGCGATATCTCCTATGCATTTGCTCCTTTTTGGTATGATATGACATGTGGGGCGGGATCCACAAGCGGCTTGCCTGCATGGTAGAGAATGTTTAACATATAGTTTGTCTGAGTGTCCAGTGCTTTGGTGCTACTGCTACTACCGCTAAACTATCTTCCAGGGTTCATACCAGGCATCAGATCTGGCTTGTCAAGAACCATACCCCGGAGCAAGATCCACTGCCTCAAACCCTCCCAGTCCTCGCCCTCTTCATCACCTCGCCTCCACACTTCCTTGAAACCCCACGCACAGGCTATGCGGTCCAAGGCCGCTCGCTCGTCCTCTCTCAGATATCGATCAAGCAGTGGAACACCAGGTCGCCAGACAACTCGGTCGTGGTGATCGTTGTATGTCGTCAGGGCCACGAATCCGAGCGTTCCCGTACACATAACATACGTGCTCATGCCCATGAAAGCGTATAGCTTAAAAGTCCAAGGGTCGATAAAGCCGCTGTATACGGATAGTTCCTGGGCGATCATGTAGAGAGCAAGTGGGGTGATAGCCGTCAAGATACCGGGCAACCCCAGCTTTGTGACTATGCGGTGCCGCCGCCACGCAGGAGCGCGATAACTGTGGTCAACAACATCCAGGGCTAAAGAAAGATCTTTCGCGTCGATTGCCGCGGTGAGCGCTGCGTCGGCGAGATCGGCTGGAATAGCCTGCTTTGCTGACTTGGGAGAGGGTCGTGAGAACTTGGGAGGCGAAGAACCTTCGACGGGGACTGGTTTGTTCGCGTAGAGGTAGAGCGCTTCTGGGATGGTCTTGGGTCGGGCAAGGAGTCGCTGTATGTGGATGTATATCGCGAGGATGTTTGGTGATAGGAAGACCTTCTCGTGCTTGAGAAGGCCCTCCGCGAGCTTCGAGAGATACGATGGCGAGGGTAACGCATCCAGTCCAAAAAGCTTCGAACTTTTTTTCGCTTCCGTCTTTGCCTCCTCTTCACCACCCAATCCAGAGAGTATAGCCCCAGCACTACTTTGCCTTATATGCGCCTGCGTCGCTTGAGGCTGTCTTAAACGTATCGCTATTGCTTCTTGTGCAATGTAGCTCAATCCCTCAAATGCTTCCATTATGACCGCCTCCTGCTCGACTTTGGGTGAATTGTATATCTCTTGTATCCGAGCCTCTACTTGGGCGAGTTTGCTCTTCAACGACACTATTCTCTCCGAATATTGTCGCACGCCATCGTCGCTAGTGTCTACCACTGCTGCCTTCCGGCTTGTCGTCGTAATGTTTCGTGGACGGGCTGCAGACGTATTGCGATATGCATTCGGGGTTGACGCGGTTTGTCGTCGTATCGAAGGCGCTCGGAATGATGTGGATAGGAAAGTCCGGCGACTCCCAGGCTGTTGTAGTATATAGTTGCACAGTTGGCACACCGACCGCGACTGAGCGCGCACTGGCATGCTGCCGGGCTTCATTGCGCTTGTTGAATTGGCTGTGGTTTGGCAGTCGATGTCGCGATTCAATGTTCGATGATGCCTCTCGTGCAGCAGTCGACAAGTGTGGAACGGGTTTAGTGCGGCTCGGCATAATTTCTCCACCGACTAAAGATGGGATTGAGGAAAACAACCTGCACTATGTATCTTGCCAGATGTCTTCGTGGAATATGAGGATACCGCCAATTCCCCTGGAACTTCTTCTGGAGTATACGAACGACGCCGTAGAGCGTGTTGTGTCTCCCCATGTCCACTACCACGAATACTGATCGTGATTCTCGACAGCCTGCGCTGCCCCGCGCTACATCGTCCAAGGGGAGCTTCGGTACAGTCTACTCTGCTACGTGTACATATAGAGATGACTTGCAGATCGCAGGTGGTGAACTGATACCTGTCGACTAGCCAAAGATTACACGCGCTCAATGTAGTATCGTACTTTTGAGTGTATACGAACACGCTCATCGTTCCGCTGATCGATTACTCACCCACAACAAATTTCTCATGTCAGTGTTATCTCTGGAACAGGTAGCATCATTCTGGTCTTTTGGAAGTATTGACGTCAACTCCTCGCTGATGGTTTGTGAGAACGGCTCCTTCCTTGCGTTTGCTCTTTCCGCTTGGAGCTGTGACGCGACGCGCGCACGTCCCACACTACAATACAACCTGAGCTTTCAGACCATCTTCTCTTCTCCATCTTCCTCGTGGCGGTTGAGGCCCGTCAGGGTGCTTTAGCTTGCTTTTGCACTTGAGAATCATCGTCGCTCTTAGCTGTAGCGCCTCTAGTACTGTGCTCTTTGTTGTAGCACGTCTAGAAGACTCTCTTACAACGGCCTAGGCAGCTCTTACTTGTCCCTGTGGCAGTACGGTCTTCCTAACGCCCTTGCATGGTTTTCGTTGGTCCTTGGGGCCCGAATCCGTTTTCTCTCTCTACTATCATGTCTTCTCATGCCATTCACCGAAAGGTCAGTGTCCACTACCCTCATTGGGTGCTATAGGTTTGGTTTGTGGTTTAACACCCATGAATCGACCGACCTGAGACCTCGCTGCATGACGCGAATGTATGCGCCACACTGCCCCGCCAATTGCAGCAGACTGAGCTTACACCTGCGAAAACGCTCGACCAATCTGATGATGGTCGCGCCTTTGACTGCAGCCTGCCGACAGCAGTGCTGCCTAGCAGCTGATTTAGCCAGCATAGACATGGTGCTTGCCAGCACATACTCGCAGCGTGAGCCTTTCGCGTTTTGAACCACAGTGGACAAGAGGGCTTTGACGATTCCTCCGAAATACTGCATTTCTCTTGTCGCACAACGTTAATGCCCCAGCATACGCTCGCTATCTCCCTGACATGAGCGCGAAGACTACACCGGGTCCACGCCAAGCTGCAAGCGTGTTTCGGGCGAACGACGACTACTCTGACGATGACGGCTTCACTGTAGGCAGTGACCTCGATGACTTCATACCTGAATCGTCACACGAAACCCCGACTCTGGTTTCAACGGTCGTAGAAGGAACAAAGCAAGAAGAAGGGATGAACTTGGCCAGGGACGATCGAGATCTGCGATTGAACTACGATAATCCACATCATGCGAGGAGATGCAGAGACCTTGATAGCGCAAAAGAGGAGTTAGATGATAGTGTGAACGTCGATCTCATTGCATATGAGAAAGACTGGGCACTCGCTGACTCGATCCGTAAGCGTCACATCGACAACATAGCACTTTTGCTAGAAAGGGGCGCCGATGCGAACTTTCAAATCATCGGTTTACCTCTGATATTCCATGCGGTCAAGCAGAAAGAACACGCACCTCAAATCATCCAACTTCTCTTAGATCATGGCGCTGACCTGGAAGCTACTTCTGGACCGACTGATGCGACCGGTAATGACGATATAAATGCTTTGCACTGGGCTGCTGGGAAAGGAATGATACACGCGGCTGATTTTTTAATCAGTAAAGGCGTCGACATCAGCAAACCCTGCTCGAGCGGGAAGACGCCTCTCATCCTTGCGGCAGAGAGAGGACATCTTGAAGTCGTCAAGCTGCTGCTTGCAAAGGGAGCAGGGCTGCATGAAAGATATGCGAACGGTGGTTCTGCTTTGATGTGGGCAGCGAGTCAAGGGCAGCTTGAGGTCGTTGATTATTTGCTGAACCAGGGATCTAGAGTCGATGATTGTAGTGAAGACGGGTTGAGTAAGTCACAATACTCAACAAGAAACAACGCACAGAAACTGACTCTAGCAGCCTGTCTATCCGTCGCCAGCATGTCAGGTCACCTAGCAATTGTAGAACTACTGATCAAGAAGGGCGCAAACATCAACGCACGGAGTATTTCGCCGGAAGACTGGACTCCGGCGGTTTTCGCGGCAGATGAGGGTCATACCGAAGTACTACAGGCCCTGCTGTCACATGGAGCAGATCCCAATGTCTTAACCAGTGATGGCGACACTATTCTCGAACTTGCTATGGAGAAAGGCCACCTGACCACTGCCAAGGTCCTCTTAGAAGCTGTTGGCGGACCCGGATACCCAAAGGATAGTGTTGCACTCCAGATAGCAACTGCACAATCCGAGACAACGGTAAAATCAATAATGAACACCGTCTCTATCATGTATCGGTATGTTGACTCCAGGTCTACCGGATCCGAGTGGCAAGGCTGGATTCCATGGGTCTTGGATCAAGGTGGCAAGCTTGTCAGATCACAGGCTATGATCAATATGCTACGCGCCGCACTGGCTTACGAGGATACTGAAATCACTGCACAGCTACTCAAATTAGGAGCGGATCCAAGTATGGTCTTCTCCACTGGATACACGCCACTCACTATCGCAATATCCAAGCACAACTTGAAACTCATTGAAACACTCCTCGAAGCAGGCGCCGATCCAGCTAAGCTCTCGAAAGATGCCACAGGCTGCGAACTTACGCCACTGCATCAAGCAATAATTGGTTGGGAGTATGGCCAGAAGAAAGGCACGTCTGTCGTGAAGATGCTGCTAGCGAGTGGTCGATGCAGAATAATGGACGGACAGAATGCTCAGTCCAGCGCTTTCGCCCGTGTAGTACGCAAATTTGACAGTTGCGACGACGAAATCGTCCTAGAGGCCGCAGACATAGCCCGCCAAATGCTTGATTTCACGAACGTAAACGAAGATCGATCCGAGGATGGGTCTACTCTAATGCACGTTGCTGTCTATTACAAGCAGAAGGGCTTGATAGATCAACTTCGACGAGTAGGGGCCAATATTAACGCCAAGGACAACGATGGCCATACACCTTTTCTTATTGCATGCAAGAGTAATGTTGAGCTGGTCAACTTCTTGGCTACGCGCTGTGCAGATGTATCGGACACGAACAACCGCGGCTATGGAGCTCTGCAAATCGCCGCTGCTCATGGTAAAATTGAAGTGATCGAGTTCCTCCTTGGTCTGAATGTTGATGATGAAGAACCACTGATGGACATCAACTCCTGCGATCCCGCCGGTTATACGCCTTTCATCGTCGCGATATTGGCGGGCAATGAAGATGCAGCATTGTATCTGCTCGAACGAGGAGCGTACCCCTCATCTTTTACGCACGACAATGGAAGATGTGCGCTACATTACGCAGCAGGCAAGAGTATGCTGCGTGTACTCGAGAAGATTTTACCACGCCGCTCCATGGGTGGCATCGACAGACAAGACAACAAAGGTTACACACCTCTTGCACTCGCTTGCATGGCACCTTCTCCAACCAGTGTATCCCTCTTGCTATCCCTTTTCTCATATCAACCTGGCGTGGATGTTAACATTGTCAACCCCATAACAGGCGACAGTGCTCTACACATCGCGCTTAAACGACCTCTGCACATGTCGCCCATGGACGCCAGATACGGCCACCCAGCTCTCGATCTGCTCCACTATATATATACCGATATCGCAGTCCGCGACGCCAATGGCCGTACACCACTTCATCTCGCAGCCGAGTTTCATAATTTCTCTGCAGCAAAACTCCTCTTATCCAGGGGTGTATCACTACACTGCGAAGACAAGAAGGGACGAACGCCACTGTGTCTGTGTTCAAATCCTGAAATCGCACAAGCGCTCATCACTCATGGTGCGGATGTCAACCACGGTGATGAAGACGGGTGGACACCATTGCACTACGCTGTATCGAGGTGCTGGGTCAAGACTTTTGCGGTGCTGAGACAAGCGGGGGCTGATATGGAAACTAGGACACGAGATGATGGTCTGAGTGTGAAGGAACGATTGGACAAGTTCGGTACGTGGGACGATTGGGTGAATGCAGAAATTGATTATGTATGTGACGATGCACAAAGGGAGAAAACGAGGGAAGCCGAGATGGAGGCTGAATTTGAGTGACGGAGAATATGTGTCAGTTGTAATTTAGTGCTAGAGCAGCCTTCAAGCGTCTGTCTTATGAACTCATGCGATATAGAAACCCGCAAGTACAGTTTGAAAGTGATTGACCTTGACATTAGCACATGTAATCCTTGTAGAGTCATGTTAATGTATCTATACCTACTTGAACCACTTCACCACCAGTCTCTGGGCTTCGTCAATTTTCAATGCATAAACATGTGCACACAGATTCAAAGGGTGTATAAGCCTCGCAGGGCAATCGTTGCTTGGTATCTACCCCATCGCCCTCATCGTATCGACGATTAGACAATAAGGTTAAAGGAAAAGTGATGTTGCTTGCTAAAGCCACTTAAAGCAAGCATAGGTTATAAAGACGATAACCAGACCAATGAAGAAGCCAATATGGACAAACGCCCTCGCTAATGCAGAAACACCCATAGCAGAATGCCCAACCAACCGACAGTGGCTATACGAGAGAGAACTCCCTGCCCGACAAAAGGAAAGAAAAAGGTGGGATAGGTACCCTATGTCAACGTCCCATTCAAACTTCCCAAGAGACGCTAGCGGGAAGTGGAACGGAGGAAGGAAGAACCATACAGTCTTTGGGTCGTTAAGAACTTGTAGTATAGGCCATGATATGAGATGGAAGAGAGGCGGGTCATCTCTAAGGCTCAGAGAAGTTGAATTGTCGGAAAGGTGCAGCTCCCGTAGTCGAGCAGCCCGGTGCTAGAGTAAAAGGACTGACACCAGAGCCTGTGGAAAAGGTGCTTAGATTAGGCGCACCGCTGATAGTGGAATCGAGACTAGCTCTATGTATGGAAAGCCGACGAGCCACTATACACCATCAGCCAACAGTGTCAAAACCTTGGACACAGCTTGATGATGGAGGCGTCAGGAACTAGTTGTAGTTAGAGTTTTGCCTACTACTCTGTGGTGTTCCGCTGCTCGAATTGCTATCACTTGGCGTTGCTGGCTCCAGGCTGAGCTGGGCACGGAGCGTCATGATCCATTCATGTTGAAGCAGCTCGACGGCGCTCGCTCGCTTGTTCGGGTCGCGATCGAAACACTTCTTGAGGAAGTCGATACCAGTGTCACTGAGTTGCTCCTTGGACGGCAGTTGTGGTGGGTCACCCTGGGCAATGTGGTACATGATGGCCCACTCATTATCCATGGAAGCCCAAGGGCGGCGACCGGTAGCCATCTCGAGGATTACGCAGCCGAGCGACCATATGTCGACAGCGCCGTGACGCCCTGTGCTTCCACCTCGAATGACTTCGGGTGACATGTACATTGGTGTTCCGGTCATGGAGCCTTGACGGCCCTGGCGTGTGGCGTTGTGTTCCGCGGCGAGGGTCCGACCTTGGCGAGCAATAAGTTTAGCAGCGCCGAAATCGACGAACTTGATAACTCCGTTGTGATCGAGCAGGATGTCTATCCGCGTTAGTAAAAGTCAACAATAGCATGCCTCGATAGACTCACTCTCAGGTTTGATGTCGCGGTGCACGACACCAGCGTCGTGTAGGTAGGCAAGACCCTCCAACATTTGGAGCGCGTAAACCATAATGACAGTCTCGTCTTCGATTCTTCCATGTTCAAGAAGTCCAGCAAGCGAACCGCCAGAGCAGTATTCCATGAAGATGTACACCTTGTCTCGATGTGGTTCGATACCATAGTAGGACACAATGTTCGGGTGGTCGAGCACTTGTAGTACGCCCATCTCATCTCTGATCTGTGCAACGATGGTGGGAATAAGCTGTGGATCTTGTAGACGGATTTCCTTGACAGCCATGAGGTGATTAGAGTCGAGGTTCATAGCCGCATAAACGGATCCGAATGTACCGCCACCAACGAACTGGCCTTGCTGCCATCGAAGTGTGACGTTTGTCGCAGAGGAAGACAGGTAGGTCAAAGCTCGATCAGCTTCGTTAGAGTCTTCCAGCACCCTACCAAGGGCTTGACGTTCGGCCTCCTTGTCTTTGCGGAAGGAATCAATCTCTTCAAGGCTTTGCATCCACTGCTGTTGCGTCATCTCAATAGACTCGTCATCGTCCTTTGCATTCTTAGGGTCGAGCAAGCTCTTGCCAGCAATAGCGTTCAGACGCTGTCGCTCAGCTTGAGCTGCGATAGTGGATCTCGCGCCCATGATGTCGAAATGAGAGATGAGGACGGACATACAGCCAGCAACCTTGAGTCGTAGTTGCGAATACTCTTCATCACTGATGGAAAGTATGTTTTGACCACGAGTCATCATCATAGCAAACTCCAAAGCGACGACAGCCCATCGAAATGTCTTGCGATCCGAGGCAATGCAGTCATCGCAAATGAAACTGACCCAATCAAGTGCCAGTCTAGTTAGCTTGATGTTGTTCATGGCCCTTCGGTTGTAGTCCATGTAAAGAACGGAACGTTGACCGAATTCGGTTGCGAAAGCGAAACAAGTCTGGATGAGATCCTGGCAGTCAAGACCCACAGTCTGCCTGCGGACAATCTCAACGCTGTCCATGATGGTGTTGGATAGCTTGTATGCCGTCTTCTTGATCTTCTGCAATTCCGCATTGACGCGAGGTAGGTTGGCGCGCTGATCGATCAGAGTGGTCAATTCGAATCCTATTGATGATAGGAACGACATGTTTGCGTTTGCTAGGCGTTGCTGTGAGCCATCCGCGACGAGCCGTAATCGCCCGGGCTTGAGGTCGAGATGAGGCTCAATGATGTTTGCTGACATCTTCTTGCCAGGCCAGTACAGGGGCTGCTCTGGTCGGATGATCAGAACATACGGGTTGGAGGGGTCTTCCGGAGCTTCTTCGGCGTGATAGCAGGTTGTGAGGAGTGACTGAATGTCATTTGGTCGGTCCAATGCAGTCGGTGATGCAACGATGTAGATGCCAGTGTTGTTTCCGCCAGTAGTCTCAACGAGGAAGTGGCCGGTAGCAACCAGGGATTCGTACAGCTCTTGCAATTGCTCTTCATCCAGGTCGATGTTGTTGATGTTGAACTCGGTGCAGTTCTCGAAACGCTGTGTGAGAATCCTGGAGAAACGGAACAGCTTACGCTGTCGAACACGGACAGAGTCCAGAATCTGCTTGTATCGCTTCTCCATCTCGGAGCCTGTAAGCTCGTCTGGCCGACGTTGCAGTTCTCGCTCGAAATGGGCGCTGAGACGAGTGAGCGACTTGGATGTAAGAACACTAAACTGCTCCGCGGTCTCGACGTCACCACCTTGGAGCTGTCGACCGAGCTTGTTGCAAAAGTCCCATTCTTGTTCCAAGATTTCGGCTTCCTTGAAGGTGTTCTTGTTGGCTGCCAACTTCCAGTTCAGCATCTTGAAGTAAAACTTGAGAGCGTCTAGGACGACCAGATCAAAGTTCTCCTCGATGCACGGTGGCAGGTCCCAGCCAGGCTCCGGTCGGGAGATAATCATATAGCTCTCCTTGACCTGACCAGCCATGGCAAGCAGAATCTGGAACTGCGCAATCATCTGTTCAGCCATCATGACGCCCTGTTGTGATGGATCCTTGATCTTCTTGGCGTATGAGAGGCGGACGCGGATGATCTCCTGGAGGAGGCGGGAGGGGAAGTTGATGAGGGTAAGCAGCTCCTCGATGTAAGGGGGAAGATGTCTCTCTGCGAAACCTTCGGCATTGGCGATCAGTGTAGCCTTGGCCTTCTGGATGACCTTCTCGAGGGGGGCCAGCAGATTGGTGTCGCCCTGCAGGGACTTGAGACCATCCTCCTTGAGTATCCGGTCAATAAACGAAGAGTCGTCGGTCAGATGGTGATCCTGGGACGAGCGCGGGCGGGGTTTGGTGAAGTCGAGCTCCTCGTTGCCGACCCACTTCTTGAGAATGGACATCTCAGTGTTGATGAGGGTGATGGTGTTGTGCCAGGCGATGACGGCTTCGCAGGCGTCCTTGTAGGGCTGCGAGGCAGCGCGTGGGTAGGCGGCCTCGAGGGCCTGGCGGGTGGGGTAGACGCTCTCGACCTTTTCGATCTTCTTGACGATGTCCTCGACCTGCTGGGCTGCCGTCTGGCCGGCCTCGGCCTCGCCGCCGACCTCGAAGGAAATGATGCTCTCGAGCATGGCCCTGATCTTGCCGCGCGTGTCATCGACGATGCGGCGCTGTGCCTGCAGCGAGCGGCCGCAGACCTTGGCGCGGATGCCCATCCAGATCTCGGCCTTCATGGTGCTGTCGCCCTGCTGCTCGGTGCTGCCAATCAGGCGCTTCTTCTCCTGCTTGACTACGTCGCCCGTCAGCACGCTGGCCAGCATCGAGTGCCACTCGAGGCGCTCGCGGTTGGCGGGGATCTTGAGCTCCTCGATCGAGGGCTGCATGTCGTCGTTGCCATAGTAGAGCAGCGTCTCCTGGTCGTAGGGGTCGTTCTCGACATACTCGGCCGTCGAGGGGGATTCATCGTCCGTCTCCGAGTCGGTGCTGTAGCCCAGGCTCGGGGTGCGCAGAGCCGGGTCGAAGAATTCGTCCTGCTGGTCCTCCTGGCGGATGCGCTGCACGTAGGCCTTTTCCTGGGCGCGGTACTCGGCGTTGGGGTTGCGGCGCGAGCGCGTGGCCGAGTTGTTGCGCTGGCGGTGCGACGTGTTGGAGTTGAGGGAGAACTGCTGGGGGCGGCGGGCAGGCGCATATGCGTTGCTCGGGGTGCGGACGGCGGACGGGCGTGGTCCTCTGGTGCTGGAGCTGGGCCCGCTGCTGGAGCTGCTGCCACCGTTGGACTGCGTTTGCGTGGCAGGCGGCAGGTCCGTCATGATGGCGGGACCGCGGGCGCGCGACGACGAGGCGTTGCTGTTCCACGAGTACTGGGGCTCGCGCAGAGGAGCGACTTGGTCGTGCTGCTGCTGCTCGCCGGCGGAAAATGAGTATTCTTCGATGCCACCGACGCCAAGGTGGGCATCGTTCAGATCCGAGTCGCCTGATGAGCCGCTTCCCGAGCTCTCGAGGCCGGGGCGCTGCGCTGCCCCGGGGGCATTGACTACTACTGGCTTCGTCCCGTCGGCCATGGCGTCTGGTAGCAGTGGGTTGTCGTGAGCTTGGAAGCGCACTCGAGCCTGGCTGCCCATGATCGTATAACGTTAATCGACGACGGCCGGCTTCTTTTCCCTCCGCGGAAGGGATCAGCGCTGGAACCTGTTTGCGGGATGCTGTGGCGGTGCAGCACAGACGACCTTTATCCAGCCCATTCACTCGCGCTTATCCAACCCATTCACTCGCGCTTATCCAACCCATTCACTCTGGCACTAGTCTTTGTGCGCCTTCCGCTGCCTTCCACGCCCTACTGCATTACTGTATGCCTTCGCTCACGCCAACAACAAGCGGCAGCCTGCGCCCGCTCTCCTCGCAGCCTGTCGTTCACGAGGTTGCCACCACGGCACGCTACGCTACGCTAGCCGCCTTGGGCCTAACCACGCTGCTCTGCCATGGCCCCCAGGACTCCCCAGCTGCTGCCACCCTGCGAATCCCAAAGCAGCACCGTCCCGACATCATTTTTCTTGGATATCAGGGTCCAGCCACTTCTACACCTCCTATTCAGCGTCATCGCCGTCGCAAAGTTGAATTGCCCATTTGTCTAGAGTCTGTCTCGAATGTGTCTAGACCTCGGAACCTCCGACACACTACCCAGGTAGGCCACTTTGTAGATAGCCGTTGGACGCTCGGCAACCCACATCACTCCCATTCTGAAGTCATAACAACGTCTGCCGTTTCAATAACCTCTGCTCGCCAAAGCATTGCGTCTTTGCTTATGCCGAAGGAACACACCCTCTCGCAGGCCCACCCATGCGGCACGAGTCGCGGAAAAAGTAACTTGCGCCGCCTATCATGATGACGTCGACCATGTTTCAAGCACACCTGGGGAACACAATGCTTCTTTGAACAAATAAACATTACCGTCCTATAGGACCTTGCATTACATACACACTCGTATCGCATACACCACCCCCTTAGATATCCTTCCTCGCCAACTTGCTCTTGTGTCTGATCTGCTTGCCCCACTTGTAAAGCGCAAATGGGATCGGGATAAAAGCGATACCCAGGAACGCCAACGTACTACTCGCCCAGTTGATGCCCAAGTTCTTGAACATGGCACTGGCGAACAGCGGGAAACCGGCACCGAATGCAGACCTCATCAAGTCGTTGCCCGCCAGTACACTAGCGACTGAGTCTGGGTACGCGTCCGATAGGTAGGGTAAAACTGCTTGGAACAGCGTAAAGGCTGCGACACCAAAGAAGCCCGATCCAATGATGGGCACAATCCAGTGCACATCTGACCTAGACGTCCATCCGAACCAAAAGAGACAGATGGGTACGGCGAAGCAGCCCACCATGGCAGGGATAAGGCGCTTCTCTGGCTCAATGTTGCCGTTCTCATCAAACTGCTTCTCCAGGTAATAGTAGTTCCACGCAAAGAGCACGATGACCGCAACGAAGGTGCCGACGAGGATACCGAGGAATGCCACACCTTCAAGGCCAAGGTTGAAGCCGTACAGCCCCTCAAAGACCAAGGGGAATGACTCGAACCAGATGTAAAGGAGTCCGTAGATGAGCGCAATGTATAGGTTCAGTAGAAACACGATGGGTTCCGTGAACATGAGGGTGAAGGGCTTGAGAAGACTCATGTTGACAATCTACGACAATGTTAGCAGTGCATCGCAGTGGGGTAATTTCAATACGTACGTCCTTCGCTGACATCTCCTGGGACATGATGTCCGCCTCACAAGTAAGACGGTCGTCACCAGTCAACTTCTTTAACCTTCGTGTCCTACGGTGCAGAATGTTTGGTGCACTCGTCTCAGGGAAGAAGAAAAACAGGAATACCCAGCAGAAGCCAGATAGCCACATGAGCTCCCAGATAGTCCATGTCCAGCCCTTGGCCATAACAGCGAAGCCGCCGACAAGGGGACCGAGTACTGGTCCGCAAACAGCTCCAATTCCCCACACAGCCAAGCCATATACTTGTTTCTTCGGTCGATACATGTCGGCAATGGAGGCACCACCTGTGGCGAGCGCTGGCGAACCGAAGAACCCAGTCAAGAACCGGAAGGCAAGAAGCATGCCAAAGTTGATCGAAAAGACAGTCGGCAGCTGAAGAAGGACGAAAATTACTAGTGGCCACTATGTTAGCATATCTCTTCCTCATGCAAAATGACGGCGAACTTACGAAGTGTAATAATATACACCCAAAGACGACCAATTTGAGGAATCTCGCTCATAGGCGACCAGAGCAGAGGCCCAAGACCGTATCCAGCAACGTACAGCGTCAATCCCAATGTTGCGGGAACCTGAGCGACGCCAAAATCTGCCATTACATCCATGAGACCGGGTGTGTAAATGGCTGAGCCGATGTATACGGAGAAAGTAAGAAAGCAAATTTCAAAGGTAACAAAGTACCGCTTTCCACGCGACCAGTTTCGCGGGTTCTAATAACTTGTCAGCAATGATCGAGCATCCCGAGCTGCGGCGAGCATACCTGGGGGTCGTCTGGTCCATACCAATCGACAACGTGAAGGTCCTTGCCCTTTTCAGGATCCACTCTCACACCACTGGCTTCATTGACACCATTGCCGATTGTGCGTGACGATGTCTCAGAGTCGTGTCTATCATCGCGGCTTCTGACTCCATGTGCCTGGGTGAGTTCATCAATCTCATCCGCGTTCTCGGGCGGTTGTGTAGATCCATGGTATGCGGCGTATCCAGATTTCTCATGACTGACATATTTCTTCCAGATCTCGGGGTCCTTCTCTTCAGGATATTGAAGGTACTTGTTCCGCGTCACAAGTCGAACGATGTGGCCAAAGGCCGAGTCGCGAATGAGATCCAGCATGATCCTCACTCACGGAAAAGTGTAGATGTTGAAAAGCTTAGAGGCACAAGTGATACGATATTGTCCACCAAGCCCTGGCATCGAATGCTTAAGTTCGATACACATATGTGACATCATCGTCGACATCAGTGCTCACACAAAAGCCTAACAAAGCTTATCCGTCCCTGGCGCCGCAAATGGTGCACACGGATGCCGAAAATGCCCCTTGTAGTAGCAACGCCAAGAAAACTGCGGCTCGAAAAGCTTAGCTTGACACAATGTTTGCGTTGATGGGGTTTTCAGACGAGGCTATCGACAAGTCAATGACGATGCTAGATCTTCATCGGTTGTGATGATCGGCGCCAGCCGTGCAGAGATCAGGCGTTTTACCTAACTCGTCCGGAGGCTCGCGGAATGACTTCGACGGTGTATCTAAAGAAGTCGAATGCGCTGGCGATGGGCGAATGGAGGCTTGAAGAATTTTGGTATTCTAATCTTTAAGGTTGTTTGTAATGTTCTGGACTCACAGTTTCGATCTGATGACGTCAATCAACAAAGACAATGGAAGTGGCTGGCAAGTGACTCATGTGCGCTGCAACTTCCTAGATCCATGACTAGCGTACTCGCGAGCAGGCAATCCTTCTAGATGCAGGTAGCATGTATATTTGCATAGGGCTACGATGACAATATCCAAAACTTCAAACATATCCTTACCATGGTCAATCATCACCATCACTACATACTCAAGACCCATGTACCCGAACACGATAGCAGATATTCTCCATCGTGACCAAACCGTGACATCCATCAAGCCTCCTAGACTGCCCACTGGCTCAAGATCTCTTCCTCCACGTCACGCACCAGCACATGCACATGCTCTAGGCTCCTCACACTTTGCAAGTTTGTCGTGTTCTTGAACCAGATGACCTTGCTCCCCTCTTCCTGCTCTTCCGCCTTTTCCCTAAACTCCCTCTTCACAAAGTCCTTGACCATATCCCTGCCCACATCACTCAATGCGCCCGCGGCATCCACCGGCAGTCGCTGCTTCAGCCAAACCACAATGTGACGAATACCAGGCTCAAACGAATAAGTCCAGTCGTTCCTCAGGATCTTGTAGTCATCAGGATCCGCAAAAGGTGTAGTGTTGCGTACGTTAAATCGCAGCGCTCCTGTTTCATCTTCGATTGGTTCCCAAAACAGTCGCTGATCAAGCAGATATGTCATAACACTGCCATATTTTTCCTTGACATGCGCTGTCCAAGCAAGGTAGGCTTTCAATGAGCTGGGCCAGCGTTTCAGCTCTTCAAGTTGGTTTGTGGAGATAAGATGGTGTAGATTTGACCACGAATGCGGTGTGAAGTCTGCATCTCTCAGGGACAGTTGATGCCAATCAATAGCTGTGAGCGGGAAAGGCGGGTTGTTGCGCGGGAAGGGAAGTGCCGTCGGATCTGGATTGGATCGCCATTGGGCCTGGAAGACGGACGGAAGCGACGCTTCGTCAGTGACAACTTCTCGCGGCATTGTGTTGTGCCTGCGATTGAGGTAAGATGCGCGTCGTGAATGTCGTGAGTTATATGTGTATTTTGGACGCACAATTTTTGTTCTCGTGCAGCGTTGGGAAGTACACACCCACAATCGTTGGATACTATTTATGGAAGCAGCTAATGAGTGACCAAGACAATTAAACGTGGTGAGCGAATGCATCGAGTAAGGTAGTTGACATTTGTGGTAAGAGCGAAAGGTGCATGTTCGCGTGGGTGCTTACCTGCCTACTTGGTTGGTGGGATACTTGGCTCTACACATGGCCTTACCGCCTCCACCCCGTGACCTACCAGCAGGCTTCCATCAGCGAGGACAACCCACTGTAATGTAGTTCTTCATGATAGCTGCTGCGCCTCATTTCTCGTAATATCTCTTGACGAGAGTGAAGCATGCGGCCTAGCGTAGTATATGCCTCAACCTTCTCTTCCTAGATTTTGCAAGGCACGGAAAACCGGCGTTTTCAATGGGTATATGGCACGTCTGCAACAAAGGATGCACAAAGGAAGCCTTAAATGGGTATCATCATACATGTTCAGATAGTAAATACGCTACTCTACAACTTTTCAAGCAAGATCTTTGCGCCCGCGTTTCCTCTAGGAGCGCTGTCCGATTTATCACCCTTCTTCTGCTTCTTGCCCTTTGATTCCCCATTCTGTGCACCAGGAGGATTGGCAGCCGCCTCGAGTGCCTTCTTCTCCTTCTTCAGCGCCTTTAGTACCTCGTCCTTCTTTCCAAAGCCTTCGGCTTCTGTCAAGGCAACCACCACAAAAGATCCCTGGCCAGTCGCCCAGTCCACAATGTTGGTCTTGATCTGAGGCCAGAGCAAGTCTGCGAAACCAAGTGCAGGTTCTACAGGGATGACCTTCTTGGTGACAGGGTCGAATTTGCCACCTTGCACCAGCATCTTCAACATGTTCTTTCCGTGGCTGGTAGCCTTGTTGTCGCCAGCGGAGGCGGGAAGAGCAGAGTCCAATATCGATTGGGAGAGGCGGGCAACCTCTGCCAACGCCTCTTTGCGCTTCGCTGGCTCCACCTCTGGAGCTCCAACGAGGACCTCACCCATAAATTGCAAGCCGAATGTGAATGAGGCAAAGTCTGCAGCGCGAGCAGTGACTGCGGTCAGTAGCTGTGGTTCAATGTTCTTTGCAATCTCTTGTAGACGGATGTTGGGGTCCTTCTTTGATGTAGTCTGGCGGATCGCGTACAACTCATTTAGTCGCTCACGGGTGTTGTCGTCTAATAGCCATTTCGCATCCCCAACGAATGGATATAATAAGACTGTGCGTGCACGAGCATCATTGACGAGATTCAACACCTTTTCGGGGAGAGCGTCGTTGCTTGGTAGAAGCTCACTGAAGATGGATTTGGCCGAAAGCTTGGTATCGTCAGTGACTGCCATGGCAGCAAGCAGAACGTGATGAGCGTGTTGGTCAAAGGCCATTGTCTCGACTGTGTCTTTGTACGGTCGCAGGAAGAGCTTGCGGTCCTTGGCAGTTCCATATGCAAAGCAAAGTGACATCAGCCGCGATCCTGATTTTGTGAAAGCAAGGTTCTTCAAGAGATCCACGTTATCGGCCTCTTCACCCTCCTTGGTTGTTGGATCCGGCTTGAGATGTTCAAGGAAGTCACTCGCTTGTTCAGTGCCGGGCTCGCAGACTAGGAAGTACTGCAACATAGCGTCGTGCAGCATGGTGAAGCCGGTGAGCTTCTTCTGGATGAGGGAGTTGATCTGGTTCTCCAGGTAGCCCATGATGGGCTTCCTCTTGTCTGGGGAATCTTTGAGAATGGCCGATAGCTCTGCGCTGTCCGTACCCTCGGGAGACAGACCCTTAATTGAGAACTCAGGCCCATACCATTCCCGGAGAAGACGGTTCTTCTGCTCTGGTGTGGCTACAGCTCGGTAGATGTCGTCTACTATCCATGCGGCTTCGGGATGGTTGATCATGCGCTTGACGTGGCTGTAGAACTCGGTGATTACCAGGTCGCGGATTTCAGGGTCACTAAAGTCGGTTAGATGCGCGATGCAGTCGTCTATGATGGTTGTGCTTACCCCTTCTCCACCAGCTTGGCAATCAAGAACTTGGAGTACTTGCCCTCGGCCAAGACCTTGAACTCTCCCTTCAACTCCCTGGCAATCATGCGCCTCTGCTCCATTGTTGAGTACTTGATCGCCGTCTGGATGACACGCACTGAGTCATGCTTGAAGACGAAGTCCTTGACCCTGCCGGTAATGATTTCGAACAGCTCCTTGACGAGCCCTTTCCTCTCCTCCTTGTCAACGTGCGACTTCAGCCTCAGTTTCTCCCAAAGCTTCTTGGATCGCTCGATGATGTCGGCGTTCGGCTTCGCGGCTTTTCGTTCTCTGGCGAGAGCCTTTTGTTTCGCATGCGCTTCTCGCGAATTGGTTGCTGGAAGAATAATTAGCAAGAAACCATAGAATAGACACACTGCTGCAATTTACAGTTGAGACCCGCCAATTTGGACTCTGCCGCATCGCTTGTGGGCTTCTTCGATGGTTCCTTCTGCGCCTTGCCGTTGGGCTTTGCTGATTCTTCGCTGCTTTCGGCGTCGCTCATGTCGACATCGGCACCGTCAGCCGCGGAAAAGCCGTAGAATCCATTGTCCTGCTCGCTGGTATCGGACTCCTCGATGTCAGAACTCTCTTCCTTGGCCTTCTTTGCCTTCTTGACCGGCTTGACGTCGTGCTTCGCCTCGCGCTTCGTGGTGGGCTTGTCGACCTTGACCTTTTTGCTCTTGTCTTTGACTTCAGGCGCGCCTGCGCCCGCGGATTTGCGTTTGATTCCGGTCATTGTAAATTGTGGTTGTTGTGTCGCAATCCTCAAGCTCGGGATCGCAAAAGCTCGCGACTTCCTGAACTTTTTCTGACCAGGGTTCTGCTTCCCACTTAGCCTGATCAAGACTAGCTCGAACCATGTCCCACATGCGCGCGCCGCCTCTCTCCATCTCATATCCACTCGCAACCTGCTGCACTGCACATTTCCTAGATTTCTGCTCTTATCGACACAGCCAACGAGTTTATGCTCTCAACCAGACTCGCAATTTCAGAACTGATTAGAGCACTTATGAAGAAAGCAGATATCGAGTTCACTACACCCTGAGGTCCACACATGGCGTTCTACCTTGAAAGATCTTTCCAGACAGTAACATTGTATACCTTTCATGAGGGCTTGATACGTGTACAGCTCAACCGAAACGCGCCTCTTCGCTTACCTGGCACGCTGGCTACGACCTATGACGAGAACAACTACGCGTTGCACAGCGGACTTGCCGTTTCCACACATTCTGGCATTGCATGCTCATCAGCTGCTTGACACATTCTTGCCTGGCTACCTATTGCGCCAGACAACACACTCTGGCGTGCTTGCTCGCAGCCCGGATATGCTTATTGTTCCTGTGCGCACAACATTCATCCGTCAAATTACAGCATACGCGTCTCTTTACCCAGGAACCTGGTTGGGCCGCTGAAATTGGCTCATCTGTGTTCAAGTCACTCTGCAGGAATTACCGCAATGCTGTGGTGATTGGTAAACAGTTTATCTGTGATCTGTTCGGTCGTTCTGCAGCATGACCGATGCTGTCAAAAACTTGCATCCGTACTTCACGGGGTACGTCTTGTTACATATTAATTGCAACGTCCTTGCGCCCGACACAGGCTTCTCCGCAGTTTCCCGGATGGCCATTCTTCAATTATCCTATGATGGCGCTTTCTTGATGCGTACCAGGCTTCGGCTAATTGCTTGACAAACGCTTAAGTCTACATCTTCGGGCATACATACATCGCATAAGGCAAAAGTTTGACATCAGTAGGGTCGAAATCGGATTCTGTCGTTCTCTTGACATTGACCATGTGGGGAATGCGAGTTATTCGGCCAGAACTATATCAAGCATTGCCTGAGCTCAAAGTATCCCACTTCATGCAAGAGCCCTGCTCAGTATAATAGATGAGGACGCTGCACCACGGGTCGAATCTTTGATCGCTATAAGGATGAACGGTTAACCAGGCCTCTCCCAAAGACTCTAGAGACACTCGATTCAGCTTCGAAGATCTGCATGGCCGAGTGAGATCTTCTGGAAAGTAGCATGACGCACAGCCAATCTTCACAGCCAGGCGCCTATCTCAGAGTCTACATGGTAGAGAGTATACGACTAATGTATTAAGATTTGAGGTGTGTGAACTTCGAGAGTATCGGTCCAGATTTCGTGACACACCCACTTTCTCGGGAGATCATCAGGTTCCTGGCTATCCAAATCCTGGAAGAGGAGTCTGGCCTCAGGCCCACTGCAGCAACCCAGGTTTTCATACCGACATCAGCGTAGCCTGTGGTGTATTTCCAGACCTTTGTGGAAATTGGCCTCATATCGACCTTTGCTAGAGCCAGGAGAAACGGATGGCATACTGTCGCTCTCACTGGGCCTGCATATCTTTTCGGGCTAGCTGACGACATGCGTGCTTGGAATTAGCAAGAGTGTTGAGCGTTTGTGATATCGCATTTACGCCGGGCAATACTATTGTTGGCAGCTGCGATTTAACCGGGAGTCGTCGTAGACACCCTGGATACAAAAGATTTCATATCACACATTGGAGTTTCGAATACGTATAAAGCCAGCAGTGTTTGCATCTTGTGCTCAGCGTCAGTTTCAGTCTACATTTCAGACACCTATCAATTTCGGAAAAGAAACGGCATCATGAAGTTTTCGACTGTTCTTTATGTGATGGGAATGACTAGGTACAACTCAGCTCTTCATTGTTATTCAAGAGCGTGATTGACAGATCCGTAGCCTTGTATCGGCCGCTCCCCAGGACGATGACGACGAGCCAGAAGTCCCTTCATTCCCCAGCTTCTCCCGCCAGCCGATACCAAGCTTCTCGCGCGGCCCTCTCCCAAGCTTCAGTCTTCCTACAGCCCTTCCTCCCTTTCCGACCGGACCTGCGGCACCACCTCGCCCTACCGGAGGGTTTCCTCCTCGTCCCTCAGTCAGCCGCGGCCCAGTTCCCAGCTTCTCGCGCACGCCGTAAGTATTTTGACGGTTCGTTATGGAATCGGTTGTACTGATATCGGGATCAGTCGCCCAACAGCAACCCGCTCTTTCGTAATCTCAGTCCGCCCAACTCCGTCTCCTCGTCCTTCTCGCTCGGCCGTTCCTGTGCCATCTCCTCCCACTAGGCCCTCCCGCAGCGTTGGCCTACCGTTTCCTCCACGACCCACTCCTACTCCTGGTGACGACGACGATGACGACGACGAGGATGATTCTTCATAGACGAGAGGAGCGTCGTGATGCCTACTAGTGGATATCTAGCGGTGAATGTACCGTCAATATTGTGTGCAGTAGGCTACCTGAATAGGCCAGTAGTATGTCTCCATAGCGATGCGCGCTGTCATTACCGCCTGAAGCATTGTAAATGAATCTCCATAGCAAGCTTCAGATATTCTTTCCAGCATCAATCATGTGCGAGATACTAATGACTGTTACCAAAGCATTCTCACATGAGGTCAATCGGCGAGCGACGAAATGAAAGCACTTGTAGTTCATGCACCATGCGATTTTTAGAAGTTGGACCATCCCACAACGAACAGGTTGCGCATACGTTTGTTACATGTGTGTGCATTTAGTAAAGAAAAAAAAAGAATAAGTCTTCTGCTACTAAGCAGACGGAGAGTAGATACCATATAGTGTGCTCACAACGGCAAAAAAGAAACCTGGGGTATCTGACTGCAGCCAGACGAATGCTGATGAGAGTGGGACTCGAACCCACGCCACTTTCGTGACCAGGAATATGTGTTAAGATAACCTTAACCTGGCGCCATAACCAACTCGGCCATCTCACCAAGGTGATTTTGATGGAGGGTTGATCGCGGTATCTATATATATACCGCTACGTCGATCGGTCGGCCGTAATATTCAAAAGTGCGGGGTAGCCAGGTCGTTGCATCGGGCGAAACTATTAGATCACGGCAACACCATCAGTCAATCAAAACGAGTCTAGTTAGTCGAATCATGTGCAGACGTAGTTTAAACAAGGATTCACGGCAATAGTTGTTACTTTGTCAGAGTGTTCGGCAGATATGCAGCATGAATGAAGTGTTTCAGTGCGCTCATACAGTACAACACGCAGTGCCCCGCATGCTATTTCATCTACTATACCTCACTACCAATATACTCACTGATACGATGCAAGCTATCGATCGACCACTCCAGCGATTCTGATTGGTTTAGTTATAATGTCGACAAGGAGGCGCGTTGTGCTGCCTTTGGCTTATGCATGTGCTCAAATGCGCATCTGCGTGCAGTGACCGACGGTGATTTTTCTTACTCGAACCGGTAATTCGACCACCACTTGGCTCAAATCTTATGCATACGCCTCATACAAGGGGAAACCTCAACATTGGTAGGAATGACAAGTACTTTGTTGCGATAACAAGTCCTTTGTAGGCGACACATTAGGACGCTCTAGTACCGTTGCGAAAGCTAGACTTGGCTAGAGGCGTTGTAATGTCAAGCACGGGCCTAGCGCCACACTGCTGCGCCTCGCGTTGACGCACGATTTCACCGCCATACTCCACAGCCAGCCTCCCCTGCATCCCGCCAGCTAGCATGAGCTTCGTGAAGCATACATCCCCGCATTGAGATGGGCGCGCGCAAATGCAGCCTTCGCTTGCGGTAGACCGCCATGACGTATTGGCCTATCTCGTCGCCCTCCGTCTTCGCGGCCACTAAACGTACGGATCCCGGGCGCGCGCACACCTCACACGATGACGCCGAACACCAGCAACCAGGCGAACAAGATGCCGACAAACCATCGCAGACGCATCCTGGAGATGGGGCGTCTGCGCAAAGTAAGAGTGAGGTAGAGGACAAGAATGGCGCGTCGGTAGAAGACGACATACATGGCACCATCATTGCCATCAGAGTGACCAGGAGTGGGCACATGTTTGCGACCCTCACCAGAACAACGCTCACGGTCTGGCAGACAAAGGCATGTCTCATTGCCAACGTGACGCCTCAGGTGCTAACTCTTCGTAGCCTACGATTGTTCTAGCTTCAGTATTGCGTTCAGAGCAATCCGTCAGAACATACGGACCCAACACCGACGTCCTACTGCGCCCTGACTCCCAGATCTTCGTCGTGCAGACCACGCTTGGCTTCCTCATCACGTACTCGCTCGCGACAGACCACTCGTCCCGCATCTACCAGGCTCAATTCACTAACACGCACGGGGGCCACACCAGGAGAAGCAGTGCAATCACTGGCTTTAAGATTCAGCGTCAGCACGATGTCAATGCGGGGCCAGGAGAAGGCAGCGGCTTGAAAGAGCTCAGCCTACGCTTTCGCATGGTCATACGGGTTGATGCTGGCATCATCAGGGCTCTGGCTCTGGACGACGAATTGATTGTCGCAACTGGGAAGCCCGCTGCTGTACAATGTATCCGTTGGGCGCCAGACAGCACTGGTAGTCAAACGAGCACTGAACTACTGGCAAAGATGTCATGGTTGGGAAACAATGCATCGCTGCGTGAAATGGTCCATGATCGGCCTATGAACCTGTCGTGTTGGATCACAGGCGACGGACGAGCCTTTGCAGTCCAAAAAGCGGCTCGAAAAGACGCCGTTGCTCCCAGTCTCTTCCGTGGTTATGGTTTCCATACACCCGAAACAGATGCTGATCACGGAGTGAAAGCTGCAATCAATGCAAGGTTTTCGTTACTTGCTGTTGGCTGCGCCAGTGGTGAAATCTATGTTTACACCGCACGCGACTACACTGGCAACATTCCCCTCTCTCATAAGCTACGACCAAACGTTACATCCCCCGGAAAGATGACTGTCTTGACTTACTCGCCAGATGGATACTGTCTTTTTGCTGGCTACGAACGTGGTTGGGCGATGTGGAGTGTATACGGAAAGCCTGGAGCAACGAGCTTCACAGCAGAAAGAACACTTTCCAAGACAAACAACGAAGAATGGCTTCTAAGCATCAAAGAAGCATTCTGGATTGGGGGTGGTGCAGAACTGTTAATGTTGAGCAACGACGACAATCGTTTCTTTGTATTAGAGATGGCTCGAAGTGCAGTAACCGGCTGCTTCTCCTCGGCTAACGTATCACGGTCTTTGATGCAGACAAGCACCGGATTCATGATCTACCGTGGTTACGACTTGCCAGACTTGACGACAATTTCTGCCGATGTCTCCCTGTGGCATCATGTTCAGATTCCTTCGGCCTACCTTGTCGACCAATGGCCAATTAGAAGTGCGGTCATCTCAAACGATGGTCGGTATGTGGCGATAGCGGGCAAGAGAGGGCTTGCCCACTACAGTGTAAACAGCGGGCGTTGGAAGATGTTTGACGACCCTTTCATAGAGAACGAGTTCACAGTTCGAGGGGGTATGTGCTGGTTTCAGCATGTTCTGATTGCAGCGATCGAATGTCGCGATTCCCATGAGGTATGTGTGTCATCTATTTGCCTTTTCGTCGAAACTGACATTGTGTTTCCAAGGTTCGCGTGTACTCACGCGAGGCAGCGCTCGATAATAGCCACATCATGCATACACAGAAGCTACCTGCGCCCATTGTCCTCATTGCACCCTCTGGCGAAGATTCACTTCTCGTCTACACCTACGAGAACATATTATATCACTACGTTATTAGTGTTTCAGATGCAAGCGTAAAGTTGGTACAAGTTGGTCAAATCGCGCTACACGGTATCATTCGTGCACCTACTCGAGTGCGAGCACTTAGCTGGATATTACCAGAGGACCAGATCCGTAAGTGCTCAACATCTGTCACTACAAATTTGCTAACAACTTACAGACAACGGCGATCCATCACAAGATGTCGCTGTCGCAACTATCCTGTTCCTAGTGGATGGCAAACTCGTGCTTCTCCAACCGACGACAACCGAGAGTGGCGACCTCAAGTACGAAATGCGCATCATCGCGCAGAATGTAGAGACGTATGCGCTCATGCGCGACCACCCTGCTTTCGCATTGGATCGGCATGCCGATTCGTTACCGGCGAGTCCGTCCATGGAACTGACGATGGAAGGGGTACACGGCCACGATCTCCGTGACTCACTCTGGTTCTTTGATGGTCACGACATGCGAGTTTGGATAGATATGCAGGATGTTCTTGCCTCCGCTTCACCAGAAATTGGTCGAGAACTCCCAACACCTGTTCAGATTCCTGTCGACTTTTATCCTCTCTCGGCATTGATCAACAAAGCGATTATATTCGGTGTGGAGTCGGAGTTGATCCAACGTAGGGATACAAACTTCGCCTTCCTGCGTTTCGGCACTAGAGTAAGCTGTCGCGCCCTGCTCCGCGCCTAATAGCCGGCTCGTCAATCTTATGCTGACACACATGCTAGACACACCTCTTTCTTCCCGCACTGCTGCGGTCCCACTTGGCGCAATTCAACCACCCCGCAGCCTTACATCTTAGCCATCATTATCAGCACTTGCTTTACTTCCCCCATGCTCTAGAAATCTTACTGCATGAAGTCCTGGACGAGGAGGTGGATACCCAGCCACCACCTGAGCAAGCGCTATTGCCAAGTGTGCTATCGTTCCTGAGCTCTTTTCCTCGATATCTCGACATCGTTGTGCAATGTACCCGCAAAACCGAAGTGCGTTCATGGCGGACGTTGTTTTCAAACTTGCCTCCACCGGAAGAACTATTTGAAGAATCACTGCAGAAAGGGAATCTGAAGACCGCTGGTGGTTATCTGCTGGTCCTCCATACATTTGAAGAATTGCGGCCAACAGGCGATCAAGTTGTCCGCCTACTCCAACGTGCCAAGGACGAACAAGATTGGGAGCTATGCAAGGAACTCGCACGTTTTCTCATGGCTCTTGATGAGTCTGGTGCAACATTGCGAAGTACGTTGGAGCTTGTGGAGCTGAAGACTCCGTCAGCAGAGCCAGGCCTTGGCCAGTCACACTTTACGTTCGACACTGCCCGACTAAATGTACCCTTGCGCAGTCGCAATAACGGGACTAGGTCGTTGGGCGGACCAGGCGTCGATTTTGGGTCCGACGGCGCTGGCAGGACCTCACGGGAGAATGGCGACATTAGTCCTGGTGTGAGTGACGTGAGTGCTAGTAGTGATACAAGCCCTTCACAAGTACCGGGGGACTACTTTGGCCTTGGCATGAACAGTTTGCGCCAGTAGTTGTAGCTGGGACATTGAGATAGTTTCATTGAATGTAGTTGTATAATTTTTCACAAGCGTTCCCTATACTCAATGCTGCCATACTCACAACAGCAACATTAAGCGACCAAGGTACTCAGGGTGCGGTAGACCATCCGACGGTCCCAAGTTCCTGGTCTGGTCCTGCTCCTTCAGACCCCAAGCCATGCAGGAGGGTCGTATTGGCCCCACAGGGCTGCTTACAGGACCTCACGACGGGCTGGAGAAGCATAGCGATTGGTGATGGCGACCGGCCTACCTCCGTCTACCGTATCTTTCACAGGCTTCCGAAGTATGGCGTGCCCATGTAGCTGGTACACTTGTAAGCGAAACGCTTAAATTGTGGTAGCATTTGCGGCCTCTGCATCTCCGTCCAACGTAGTATCGCTTGATTTCTTGTGTCTTGTAGTTCAAAGGTACGTAGCTGAGCTAAGCCGTTTCAATAGAGCAAGATGCCATGGCAGATGGTTTGATGTTGTCTGCTACTGAACCAAGGTTTGACCAGGTATGCGACAACAAGGTTGGCGGTCGCTTGGAAGATGTGGTGTAATCGCCCGGGCGGTGAGATGCGCGTGGTCTTCCCTCTGTTTCCACGGCTTGGTGGTCAGCTACAGCACGTGTGAAGCAGCATCCAATGGACTGTGGTCTTGCCACAAGGCAATAGCTGCAGATAGGGGTCCCTCTCATCGTTGGAAAAACGGATAGGGCGCAAATACACCAATGTGCCCTCCCATGGGCAATGCGCACATGGTGACAAACATCTGCGTCCGACGTGACGTATCCATCAAGACATTGATGAAGCCTCGAAAGCCCCATGTCTCCATGATATTTCGTCTCCATCGCGTCCCGCGCTGAAGGGAGTGCCAGTGCAATGGGCCGGCTTTCAGGCAACCAGCAATCCCTCCATCCCCGGCGCGCTGGCCTCCTGTTCGCTCGTCAATGTAAAGACGGCAAAACACAGCCACGGCTGCCTCACCGTATTCTCACGTTGCTGCGCATGCTCAACACACGCTTTATGACGCACAATTGCTTGCTCTCTGCTTCATACTATAACACAGGGCTTTTGAACGGCCGGCATTGCGCCTGTTTTGAATCGACTCCCCGGCGGCAAGGCATACTGTCGCCAACCGCGTATATAATCGTCTGGCCCCATTACCCTCAGCCCTATCCGAACCGATCGATCACCTCTCCTCTGCACTAGGAATGACCAAGACACTTGGTTCATCGTATCGAACATCATCGCGCTTGCCAATCTATCCTGAGTATCGAGCTAGCTAAGACGACAACAATGACTGCCCCTCCAGCCGCACGACCACTGTTCTCCACCGCCCACTCCATGCCATTCGCCTATCCTTCACCAGCATCCACTATTGCATCGGACACGAGCTACTTGCATTGTAACGTAATGTCACCTCGGCAGGAATTCAATGGTAAGCGTACCTTTTTCGTGTTGTCGAATATACCGGTTGCGCGTACCACATGCAGAGGCGCTCCTGCTGCCGAGGTCCACTGCTTGCCTGCTGCACCTACACAGATGGTGTAACGCGATCACCAATGTCAACGACCGTCTTTACTGCCATGACTAGCTCACTCCAGCGATACATCATGCTAAGATGAAGCAGATATCACATACTCGCGGAAGTCAGTGAGCTCTTCGCCGACTGCGCAGTCAGCCGGCAGTGGAGGTTTCCAATGGATTACCGGCAACAAGCCGGACGACTTTAAAACCAAGCATGTAATGCAGAAAGTGCGTCAAACTGCTATGGGCAGTTATCTGCAAGGCGCAAGGAGTCAGGCAAGCAACAAGTCTAGATCTAACAGTGAAGCCTCGGATAAATCCCAATCGAGTGTTGGCGATCAAGGCGCAACGAAACCCCGGCCTACGAAGACACCAAAAGGCAAAGGAAAGACTGATAGCGAGAAGAAGGGGTTGGTACCTAACAAACAACTCCAGCCTAACAGCAACGTCCAGGGCACCTCGGATCCTGCTTCACAAGTTGCACGCCAATCCACACTTCCTAGGAGATCCATCGTTGTCCCGATAATGGACAACATGAGAGGATATTATCCATTCGATCTGTATCCGGTACCAGAGCTATACTCCCTAGGAAAAGGTCTAGACCCTTTCGGCACCATGTTTCAGTCAAGAGACGCGCGCGTCAATGTCGAGGGATTGAAGTTCCAATGCGCCAGCTACTTCGGTACAGAAGGTCTGGGAAGATACTGGATTCCCCTATGCCTAAGCCACCCGCATGCCTTCCTGAGTACCCTCTACATGGCTTCTGCGTTCAAAGACGTCATTGAGAACAGCAGAGTAGAGAGTTTGGAAACGGCGGCACTGCGCCAAGATGTTATACATTTTGTCAGCGAACATCTTACTAATAGGGAGCAGTGTGTGGCGGACCACAACATTATAGCAGTCAGCCAGCTGATACTGGGAAACGTCATTACCCGGATGGATGCAGGTTTGACCTTCCACCAGAACGGAATCGAGACTATGATCAGACAGCGCGGTGGGCTCAGCAAGCTGGGTGTACATGGACAATTAGCATCCGCAGTTTCTTGGGCCAACCTTGCGATTGCCATTTTGCGGGAAAAGGAACCTACTCAGATGTATGTCGAGTACTGTACTAGTCGCTCGGCAAAGAAATACGCTCGGGACATTGTGATACCGGAATCACCACTCTATCGGCCTCATGGCAGATACGTAACGCTCGCGAATTCGACCAAATGCACACCAAGAGCACGAAAGCTCTTGGATGAGGTCCAAGCGATGGTAGAGCTATTTATTGAAAGCCAGCACTCGAATCGCCAGAGTAACGCCTCTAAGCTGAGGAACTTTTACCACTCTATCAATCAGTACCCACCTGGTTCAAGGGGGGATGGTTGGAGGTACGAAGCGATCCGCCTCACCGCTCGCGTCCAAGCTCAAGCTATCATCGACCAAGTACCATTGTCAGAGGCACTCAAAAGGGTGCAATCGTCTGAGACACAACCGACCATGTACAGCTCCTCGATAGCCTCGCGTTCCAATGATTCGATCTCTTCAACACTTGAATTCCAACAAGTGACTCCGGTTACTGAAAGTTCTGAGAGTCCTAACTTTGCCCCGTATAACGGAATGAACCCACAACAACAAGTCGGCTTTCCTTTCAACCACCGGGATTCAACCTCCTCGACATATTCACAACGTCCTTCGCCTTTGTCGATACAATCGAGTTCATCAGCGATATCTCCTCAACTATGGATCTCTACATCCACATCTGGTAGATCTACCATACTCCAACAACTTCGAGACGCCCTCGAAAAATCTGATCTTTCAGAGTGCTGGTCCGACATGGCTGGTGTGCTGCTATGGATTGGACTGGTCATGGGAGCAGCAAGTAACGAAAACGAGGACAAGGTCTTAGCAAGATACTTTTCTGCGACAACCATGAGGGCATGTATTATGCTCTGCTTCGAGCATCCTGAAGCAGTACATTCTACCATGCTGAAAATGACCGACATCGTTGGAGCGTTGAACAAGAGGCCTGTTGATGCACAACTGGCCAGAAAAGACAGCGGCATTTCAAGAAAGCGAGCGAAGGCATGAAGAGCTGTGAAGAGAATTGTTCAGAAAAATTCGAGGTTGCGATAAGCTTTCTCCACAGTGGCGATGTCTTTCGGCGAAGCCGATTGATCCACTTCGATACGATATCCGTGCACATACAGGGCTGCAAGGCTTAGACTGCAAGGCTTAGGCTGTAGGCTGACATGAAGCTGCCCATGATGCTCTCATCTCAAAATCTTCAGCGACTGCTAGGGCGTCAGGTTCTCTGTTTGATCATATGTACATACTTCTGCCTTCACTGTACCATAGCATTGCAGATTCGAGCACTGGTGTTGGGGTGTTAGGCGTTCGTCATCTTCGCAAAGGCGAATCTTCGGAGTTCTATGTCAAATGAAGGCATTGTCATCGATTACCACACATCACTGTGATTATCTGGCATTGTACGAGAGTCTTGTGTAGTTCCATGACTTGAACGCGTCCTATTATGGCTTCCGTAAGAGCCCGAACCCTGATCTATGTGTGTTCATGGCTTCATTCTTCATTTCTGCATTCCGACTGGTATACCCATCCCGTCTTCGTAGCTATTCCAGACAGGGGGACCCTAACCCTTAGTAACCTTCTTGACGGTGCCGTCTTCATCAACATGGACGTTCAACCTTTCGGGCTGGAAGTCCATGGTTTGCATCGAGTCGGGCTTGAGGACGCGGTGTTGTTGGGGAAGATCGGTCTTCGCGAAGGTCTGGTTGTAATAAGAAGTCAGCGCTAACATCTAGACTGAATAGAATGTAGTGTAGTCTTGGACTACGTAGTATGGGAGAGGAAGAGCAAAGGAGGGAAGAGGTGGACGTACCATCTCATCATGTTGGTCACCAAGCTTCTTGCCCATGAGCTTGCTCATCCAGTCATCACCAGAGTTTCCGTCCTTTGACTGCAGACCGGGAACTACGAGAGGCATGTTGTGTAATGTTGTTAAGGTTGTGTAGTGTTTGTGTATGTGTATGTTTTTGGTCGCGCGTAGTCTCGAAAGGCGTGTTATCGTGAACGTCAGTCGTGTCTAGATGGTTTAGTTACTTGAGAGGATAGCGGGGTGAGGGGGGACGCAGTACTTATACAAGTAGACCCTGGCTGACACTTGTGTGAACTAACTTGTTTGTTTGAGCTTTGCGTGTCACCAGGCTGCAAGATGGGTTATGGTGGTGCTTGGATAGGAAGGCTGACGTCATCCGTGTCTAGCCGCGTAAGTGGGGTTGTGTAATGTTTCTAGAGCGCAGGATTGGCATGTGTCGGCCTGCTATAGCTTCGGTGTCTTATCTTCCACTAATTGGAGGTAGTGTAAGCGTGTGAAAGTAGAGATTATGGAGCAGTATTATCGACGGTTACGTGTCTCATCACTGATGCAAGGCGATATGCAAAGTCTGACATAGGGAAGTTTCGCTGAGGCTCTGTCAATCTCGCATCACTCTAAGAGGTGAAGGGAAGACACGCATATCTCCAAAATTGTAGGGCAATGGATGATGCGATTTGACCTTGCCTTGCTGATGTAGCAGCAGCGGATATAGGATACGTGGTCTATGTCTCAGTTTCCTGTTCCGCTCTAGAGTGCTCGAAGTGATCCAAAGACTACGCTGACCGATCACAAACCAGTTCTCGTTTATTTGCCGTCGCGCATGTTGCGGAAGAAGTCCATGACACCGGTGAAGACAACTAAGAGGATACCACCTCCGGGGCCCAGTCTCAGCACCTTGGGCAAGAAACCCTTGTAAAGCGCACCAAAACCTTCCTCCTTCATGACGGTACCAAGAGCCGGCCATGCCCAGTTGTACTTGGGTACTGATCCCGCGACCTTGGGGGAGTTCTGGATGCGCGACTTGACAACGTCCATTGGGGTGTTGAGAATGGTACCGACAGTGCCACCGATAGCACCAGACATGAGGTCGTTGGTGATCTGGCTCTTCTTGGTGGTTGCTGCGGGCAAGAGCGCGCGGACCTGGAAGATGCAGCCAAAGTATCCAGCATTCCACAGAATGTGCCTCCACATGGTCGACTCAAGACCTTGGTAGAGGGTGAGAGGACCTTCCTGCTTGACAATCTTTGTGACACAGTCCACCATGCCGTTGTACTTGTGGGCTTGCGCCTTGTCTTGTAACCGGATCTTGACGAGCTCGAAGGGGACGACGACAAAGGCTTCGGTGGCACCTGCGGTTGCGCCAGTGAGGATAGAGAGAGACTGGTTCATCTTGGACTGGCCGAACAGGTTGCGGTAGAAGGAGCCCCATGAGTCATTGGCTGCGAACTTGGTGGCCCTGTGTCGCGTGAGACGAGTCCTTTTACACACTGGACAGGCAAGTAGGAAAGTATGCGTACCTCTTGGGGGCTTCCATAAGGATAGGCGCGGTGATACCGCGGTACAATCTTGAAGCACTGCCAGACGTCAGCCCCTCTTGCTCATGATCGCAAGAGTGTCATAGCGCGTACCCCTCATTCTTGATGATCTTCCTGAAGCAGTCTACCATGCCATTGTAGCTATCTTCTCCTACAGACTTGCTGGTCTGAAGCTGTCTGCGAATATTTAGACGCGATTTAGGATTGGTCCTGTATGCGGTTGCTTACACTCGGGTCTTGACGACGTCCAGCGGGTACCTTGAGATGATGTTAGCGTCTCGAACTCGATGTCTGGACGTTGGAAGATGCCTACATGAGCAGAATCTACACACATGACTGCATCAGCACTGGCAGTCTCACGCGAGCATCTTCAAGAATGCGCACTCACTTCTGACACACCAGCCACGGCACCTGTACATGGTTAGCGCCAATTCGAAATCCTGAAGCTCAGTCCGGTCGCAAAGCTGCTCTGCTGCAAATTTGAGCGGAAGCGACATCGCATGGGAGCTTTGAGCGAGATGCGGAAATCCCTCGGATAGCCGTCGCATCGGAGCTGGGCGGTTTTAAGACAATTGGAACTTACCGGCCGCGAACTGGTAGACGAAAGGCAATGGCTTCGCATCGGCAGCAGACATGTTGGCGGTAGTGCTGTTAGGGAACGGAGGGACCGAGGGGGAGTGAAAAGACAAGAGGGCTGCCGTTGAGTGAGCGTTTCCCGGTCGGCGCACACAATCTGGGGAAAGAGCCCAAGAGCGTGGGATGAATGTCCAAACTCCGCTTAGGCTTGGCCCTAGCTTCCCGTCTTCGGTTGACGCATTTTCGATTGGCGCAAAAGCACCCTGACGTGATCATAGTTTGATACGCGGAGCCGCCTTTGATGTGCCAAGTAATGTCAATTCAGTGACTGTACTGATTAGGCGGTCCAAGCAGATCAGGATGGTAGTTGGCAAGGGCTGAGCAGTTGTTACATGCAGATTCTCTATTGTTCAAGATAGCGTCTAGTCTGTTTGTGATGATGCAGCAAAAGCCCATCGCATTGTACTTGCTAAAGCTGATGCAAAATTGGGTTCAAGGTAGACGCAGGTCCCATCCGCGCTCGGAGCTGTATCGCGCGTCGCGGCGAGATGGCCGGTTTATCGCCACGTGATGACGAGCCCTCGCCTCGTTCATTGTGATTGGCCACTCACGACGCGTCTTCGCGTTCAACCCATTCCAGACGCTTACGCTACCTACCATCTCCATGTCCACGCGACAGAAGTCCTTCTTTGACCAGAACCAGAAGCCACAGGTACTTGAACAACCGACTGTATTCACTGCCGTCGCGTACTCATCTCTCATCTTCGTAGCACTATAAGGGCCAATGGAACCGCTCACGCAACTTCCCCCACCAGAACAGTAATCAGGCGGCGCCGCAGGCTCGGCAAGTAGTAACGGGGCCTCCAATTATGCCTTCGACCCAGACTCGTACCAAGCTCAAAGCCTTCGCGTTCGCCGAGGGCACGCCTACCGCCGATTCTTTTCTCAAACGACGCGACGCTGAGAAGGAGAACCGACCCGCCCCGCTAGCAAAGACGCCGAATCCTATGGGTACACCAAAGGCGAACAGAGTTGTGAAAGATGTAGCTGCTCCGAATAAAACTCCCAAACTCCCTACCATCTCAGATTGTCCGCCACCGTCAACACCTGCCACGACGAGGCTGCCGCTTGCCGACTTGGTAGGGAATGTCGACGATTCCTCGAGACACGCGCCCCAACCTGTTGCCTCACCCGAAGAGCAATTGATATGGAGAGGATCGCAAGCAATAAATACACCTTTTCCACGCAAGAACAAGAAGCGCGCTAGGAGTTCGTCACCCGTTGCACCGTCGCAAGAGGAACACAGGCTGGACGCGACCAGACAGGACATCACAACCCCTCAGGCTGACCCTGCCCTGGAGCTGTGGTCGCGATACACCAACAACAAGGGCACCCCAAGCGCCAACAAGAGCGTGGCATTCGCGCACCTCATCAACGAGTCATCCCCAAGATCGCAAGCTGCTGCTGGAAGCATCAGTGGGCTGCGGAGGTGGGCAAGCTGCGGCGTCGAGTTCCCAGCGTCGCATCGGAAAAGAAGAAGAACACATGGCGTGTTTCAACCGGACAAGGAAAGCACAGAGGACGTCTTCGCCGGTGCTTCTAGTTCAGATGGCATGATGCTCGGGCAACCAACGAAACCAAATCTTGCGAGTATGGTGCAGCGCATGCGAGAATGCGTCTCCAAATCACAAACACGCGTCTCTTCGTCAATGCCAGTAAGTTCTTCACCATTACCTGGGGCTGGAGATCGTCAAGACCCGTCGTCGGGCTCCCCTCTCCAGCGACGCGCACGAGAACGGCATGCGGATAGTTCCGAGACACTACAACACGATGCAGCACTTCTACATGACACACTGGATATCGATGACGAGCCCGTACAAGCAAACGAACCAGTCGATATGGTACAGAAGCCACAGGCGTCTCAAGAATCATCCGACGATTTTGGAGACGACTTCGATGCGGACATGGTGGATTCCCTGGACATAACGCCTCAACCTGCACCTGCCAATCCGCTTCCACAGCAACGCCCTGCGCCGGCTCCGACTTTACAACAAGGCAGTGATGACGACGAGTTTGGAATGGACGATGAGGAAGACTTCGCCGCCGATCTAGAACAGGTAGCATCGCTGTACGACACAAGGTCTGTGGAAACTCAAAGGGGAGATCAGGCGTCTACAGGACAATCGAGACAACCTCCAGCTACTGCAAGTGAGACACCAGCACCTATCATCAGCCTCTTGGATGACGATGACGATGATGAGGATGAATTTGGGGAAGACATAGACGCCGACGAGTTCGCTGCCGCTGAAGTTGCAGCCACACAAGTACCTGCCAATACTGTAAGTAGAATGCAAATTCACCTGTGATCATCAGCCGTGCTAACTCTCGAAGAGTCAACAGGACAATAGAGCCATCCAACGCTATCTCATCAAACGAGTGGATGAAAACTCGTATACCACCGACCGAGGCTATTCGATGCCTGAAAAGGTGAGTGGATGTTGCTGAAGTCGCTGTGACACTGCAGCTAACATGACGTAGGTTCTGCTAGTCGAAGAAGAGAAGACGAAACTGTTCAAAGCGATCACTCTTCGACAGGCTTGGTTCGACACTCCCTGTACGACAGGCTCGTTTGTGCATGTCATTGGTGATTTTACAGGTACCGGACAATGCATCATCGACGATCACCACAATATGCTCATACTTCACCCGGATCATCTCATCTCGTCTACTGTTGTCGCAGACTCTTTTGGTTGTTTGAGGCGAGCGGTGCTTCAGGATCGTGTCAAAGCCACCAACAGGGCCAACGCTCCTATGCTTTACGGAACATTACTGCACGAACTATTCCAGGAGGCCATGAAGGCGAACCAATGGGACTCCGTATTCCTATTCGAGACTATCGAAAAGCTCATGCCGAGCCACCTGGAAACCATACTAGAGATCAACTCGACCTGCGAAGCTGTCAAAGAGCATCTCAGTAGCAAATTGCCCGAGTTACAGGCTTGGGCCAAAATATTCGTTCGCGCGGACCCTCAAGCGGACGCTATCGTTCGAGAACGAAATGGACGACAGTCGACCATGAGCATTAACAAGCTGCTTGACGTGGAAGAGCACGTCTGGTCTCCAATGTATGGTCTGAAAGGCAACATCGATGCCACTGTACAAGTGACAATGCGAGATGACCAAGGTGAACGGACATTAACGGTGCCATTTGAGGTCAAAACTGGCAAGAACTCCTCGAATGCTGCACACATCGCACAGACCGCCTTGTATAACTTGTTGTTGTCTGATCGATACGGTATGTCCTTCACAACCACAGGCATTCCTAGCTGACGTTTATAGATGTTGATATTGCTTACGGTATCCTCTATTATCTGGAGACTTCGGAGATTAGTCGGATTCCTGCTGTTCGTAACGACATCATCCATATGATCATCAAGCGCAACGAGCTGGCCTGCTTCGTCCGAGACCGCATCGAGCTGCCTCCAATCTTGAAAGAGGACTTCAAGTGTCAGAAGTGCTACGCGCAGGAGCCTTGCTTCTTATATCACAATCTTGTCGAAGATGGGAAGGGCGAGATGCTGAACAAGAAGGCGAAAGAGAAATATGACGACCTCGTCAAGCCGCTTCAGCCTTCCCATCGGGAGTTTATGAAAAAGTGGGACACTCTATTAACCAAAGAGGAGACAGATATGATGAAGTTCAGACGAGAGTTGTGGACAATGTTGAGTACAGAACGTGAAAAGCTGGGTCGCTGCTTCTCAAATGTCATACTGGAACCGGGGTCCGGACATGAGGACAAAACTGGCCAAAAGATCAACCGCTACAACTACACGTTCATAAAACAACAGCCAGCTCCTGGCTTCTCCTTCACTGAATCTCAGCTCATCATCGGAGAGCCTGTTGTAGTGTCGGATGAGCAAGGTCATTTCGCGTTGGCCAATGGTTATGTAACGAACGTTAAAAAACGTCGCATCACAGTGGCTGTTGATAGACGCCTGCACAATTCTCGAACCAAGTTGCCGGGATTCCATTCACAAAACAATCAAACATTTGCCGGTATCATGGAAGTGGCCAAGGTGGGCGAGACAATCACTGAATACGAAGCTGATGAGGAGCCGGTATTGTACCGCCTAGACAAAGATGAGTTCAGCAACGGCATGGCTGCAGCTCGCAACAATTTGATCCAGATCATGGACAACAGCGTCTACAAGGCTCATGACCTCCGTGCGCTGATCGTGGATGGGCGGGCTCCTGCATTCAGGCCTATGCCAGATGCGATCTCACTGCCTCAATCGTCACAGATGTCTATGAACTCTGATCAGCGTGCTGCTGTCGCAAAAGTCATGTCCGCAAAAGATTACGCTCTTGTGTTGGGTATGCCAGGGACTGGCAAAACCACTACCATCGCGCACATCATTCGTACATTGGTTGCGAAGGGCAAGAGCGTTCTGCTTACTTCGTATACCCACACTGCCGTCGACAATATCCTCCTCAAGATCCGGGATGACCGGATTGGCATATTGCGCCTCGGCGCTGCCAAGAAAATTCATCCTGAAGTCAGAGAATTCGCTACTCTTGCTGCCGAATCAAAAGACAGTCTCGAAGAGCTCGAACGATCGTGGATGCAGCCGCCTGTCGTGGCTACAACGTGTCTCACCATCAATCATCCCCTCTTCAACCGCCGCGTCTTCGACTACTGTATTGTCGATGAAGCATCTCAAATTACCCTCCCTGTTTGTTTGGGACCTATCCGCATGGCGCAGAAGTTCATCTTAGTAGGCGACCACTACCAGCTACCTCCGCTGGTGCAGAACAAAGAAGCCATGGAAGGCGGACTGGATGTTTCACTGTTCAAGCTCCTTTGTGAGGCTCATCCACAAGCCGTCGTCAGTTTGGAGCATCAATACCGGATGTGTGCCGACGTCATGTTGTTGTCAAACACATTCATCTATTCAGGACGGCTGAAATGTGGCACGACCACTGTCGCTTCACGCAAGCTGGCACTTCCCAAAGCCGAAGGTCTCAATGCCTACCACCACAAGCCATATCAATCACGATACAACGCGGCACAGGCATGCACTGGTCCTGATGCTGCAGACTGTTGGCTTTCTCGTTCCTTGTCACCAGATCGCCCAGTCATCTTTATCAACACTGATCTCATTTCTTCGACCCTCGAAACGCAATCTGGATCCCGCATCACTAATACTCTTGAAGCGCGGCTAGTCACACAGCTTACAGTGTCTCTTCTCAGCCTTGGTGTCCCTGCTGGGGAGATTGGCATAATTGCTTTCTATCGTTCACAGCTCGCTTTGCTTCGACAAAGCCTGTCATCCGCATACACCCAAACGCAGTCATCCGAACTTGCTGCTCCGTCCGTAAGCGGACAAGGGTGCTCAGGAGTCGAGCTACATACTGCAGACAAGTTTCAGGGCCGCGATAAGGAAGTCGTCATCGTATCTAGCGTACGAAGCAACGAGAACGGCACAGTTGGTGATCTCTTGAAGGACCGCAGACGTGTCAACGTCGCTCTGACCCGCGCGCGATCGAAACTTGTCATTCTCGGTAGCGAAAAAACGTTATCGAGCAATGAACTGTTGCGCGATATGGTTGCCCTCTGCCGACAGAAAGACTGGGTAGTCGATCTCCAGCCCAGCATGGTGGAGTCGCATGCCTTTGAAGAAAGTGTTACACAAACGGGCAAAACACCAGTGAAGCAGCCATGCTCTTCTTCGCTTTCTAACGATGTCACGAAGAGTCCTAGTCTAACACCTAGTCCGTCGAAGAAACGCAAGGCACTGGGCGATCTTACAGCAAAACCCGAAAAAGTCAACGCCAGAAGTCCTAAGAGAAGGAACGATAACAAGAGTGCAAGTGGTAGTCCCGAGGTAAAGAGAGTGCCCGGGAAAGTTTTCACAGCAGGCAAACGGGGCATATTGGATCGCAGACCAATTCTGAGGGACATTTACAACGGCGCTATTTGAGAGCTGGGCATCTATGGGTCTCTTACAAGGAGTTTCACTAGAGGGTACTCCGACCCTATTGATTCATGAAGGGTTGGAATGACGAGGGTTTTATTTAGGATACCAGTGCTATTGGACATCAATGTAGTATGACAGTAAATGGAACAACGGAAGCATATACTATCAACCAGCAATAATTTCACGCAACCTGATTCCTCACCCCCTGTTCCACAGCAGAAGCGTGACCAATGTGCATGTGATTTGTTAGTAACCACGCTCTGCTCGGTGCAATTACGCGACGTTCACGGCCTCAATGTGCCGTTCCAGCTGGTGCATCACACAACTGCGTCTTCCCGCCACCACATAAAACGAGTACCCCAGAATCAGAACCAAGCTTTTCCGCTAACATCCATCAATCAGATGTATTGCACGAGCATTGCTCGATCAAGTCACAGATTGTCGCTACGCACTCAAAGATTACCTATGTTACGAGAAGAAGCAATCTTCTATCGCAAATTCTCCTCCGCATTCCATAGCGTCACCTTTGCTTGCGCGGCGTAGATAACCATCTAGGCGATGCATAAACCTCCATTCTTCTGATATACTTTGTCAAGGCCTGGAGGGACCACAGGCTAGATCAGGAGTCTGCTATGCTTCTCAATCTGTGTTCCCATCAGGGTTTTACCTTTTATTTTCTTATCATCAGGCACATCTTCAAAGACTTGGGGAACGAGCAATTCGCCGAGCCATGATTGCAACAAATGACCTTGAACAAGGCAGCTCTAGGATGGGGAGATTTTGTTCGATCTACGTCAGGTTTATCTCATGAAGCTATGCTTATATGCCCAGCTAGTCGCTCTTTGTTCCCCTTGTCATTATTGTTGCACATGAGCTCAGAGTATATGAGAAGAATCCTAGTGCAACAGATCCGAGCGCTACCTTTCAATTTGCCCCTTCCTTATGTTTGGAGTCAAAGTGAACATGACTAGTATAGTTTTTTACATGGTGAGAGAAAGTAAACCGCATGGCTGTGGTTCGTAGAGGCCACAATGGCATCGAAAGTGTTCTGTATAGATCCATACTATGACAGACTTATACCAGCATGATGTGCTGGCCATTCGATCAACTTACGGTGCTCTGATCCCAACGCTACCGCGATAGCCCTTACAAAGTTTGTACCTAGGCCCTCAAGCCACCATACCGTATTTGTCCGGATAAGCAATACGGCGAAGTGCGCTAGAATTACCAGCGCATCGCGGTCTTGGGCTTCGACGAGCTGAATGTATTCACGAGCAACACGCGTGACCCATGAGAACATCGCATCGCGATCGAGCAGAACACTAGTTCCATGACAATCTTTGGAAGCTCCCAGCTGAAGGAGTTGTGAGTTGAGAGCGTATGTTTCGCGAAGTTGATCCAAGGCTTGGCTAAGGTACTGCGAATGGGGACCATACTGCCGGTCTGTTTGGAGCCACAAGTCCTTGATACGCCGTAATCTTTCATCTTCATCGCGAGCAAGAGGTGATGCTGGCTTGCGCATCTTTGGCCATCCTTTCCTTGATGCCACGGGTTGTATACTGCTGTCAGCTATCCAGGTCCAACCTTTCATAAGAACCTCTAGTGGTCCCCTAAGTCCCCACATTGTTCTAACGATACAAGATATCATTTTGCCAGCCATCTCAGATGTATGAGCAGCACTCAGAGGGAAGGCGGCTTCTAAGTCTCCGAAATTCAGGACCGAGGTTCGGACAAAGTAAACGGCAGTCAACGCTGAGCTTGCAAACACAGCAGCGACATTATTTCGAGTGACCTTCTCAATCGCGTGACGATAACCCGCAAGCGCTTGGTTCATCTGAAAAGCGGCTACAGCGTTCCAGTGATTGAACTGCTTGGGCTGTTCTTCCGGTCTGGAAAGATATGCAATGTGTAGCGACGTGACTGAGAGGACGCAATGCGTGAGGAACTTATAGCCCGCAGCAATTTGAGGGATGCCAAGCTGCCAGACAGCTGTCTCTCGGTCGCCGTTTTCGATTGTAAGACTGGTGGTGTGTGTGTAATGGGAAAGTACGTTTTGTAGCGAGAAAGGGGATGCTCCTTGGCTGAATTTCCATGGGTCTTGAAGTCGGGCGTGTAGTGGGAGGAGATCTCGCTCATCTGGAGAGCTGGTGTCATGTCGCCGAGGTACTGTAACGGTGCAATGCTCACTATCTGCCGAACAACAATCCTCAATTGATGATGCAGATGGCGTGTCTGGTGAGCTGGAACACGGACCTGCGAATGTAATTTTGAGATGTTTAGGAGGCGCAGTTTGGAGGAAACTACACGTCTCCCCTTTCTTCACACATGTTCCGCAAGAAGGATGCTTGAAGTCGCACTGTGTTCTGTGTCAGTTGCAATCGTATGCGTAAAGTGCAGGTGCCCATTTAGACAGGCTACATCAGAAAATGCCGAAGGCGCGACTTGGTACGCATGTCGCGACCAGAATCTGGTATAGGCCCTGGGACATCGTACAAGACCCAAGGTATGTCTTGAAGGGATGGCTACCTTTATTCGCCTCTTCTTACATTGCTGACATCCGAATCTGGACTTTGTATGCGCTCGTCGTATGCGGTTTGGCATGAGGCCCTCAAGTTACACTGCTGGCGCAAGATCGAGCGGGTGAGATGATCGGATGCATCCAGCAACGACCGGATAAGACGCGAGATAAGATCGACGGCGGCACTACGGTGTCGACGGGCTAGGAAGAACGTATGAAGGGTTCACGCAAGCAGATAATGGAGGTGTCGGTTCATGAGACTTGTGTGGTAGTGGGTTCGTATGTACATCGAGCACATCCGCGTCGCCATGAGGAAGATAACATTAAACGTCGAGTCTCAAGATGTTTCCAGCATCATCGCAGCGGGTCGCCTCGAAAATTCGTGTCAGCAGAGGCTGAGCCCGCGAGATCGGACGAAATCGTGCTGTTCATCGCAGAGATCTTGTCAGGGGGGTAGTCTGTGCGCGACTGGGATGGGCAGTAATCATCGACCAATGAGCAGATGGCAAATGCGCAACATTTTGACCTATGCCGGATCTTCCGGCGGCGTATATTGTGATGTTGTTCGCGTACTTCACAGACTGCCAATGGTTCTTTTCGCTTTTCAGTCTGCGTTCAATGTGGGATCAAGATGGTTCAACGAATCAAGGACCCCGATGCGGTATATTCTTATCTCTTTGTACGAGCGCAAGGTCGCTGTCCAATACGGCAACACAGTAAACGAGAGCAGTCCTTATATATGATGAGTACTCGCACAGGACTGCCATTCTCGATATCTCGCATTCCAAGAATCTGTCTCTGTTGCAATACTCTCTAATTTCAACAATCGTCTGCCAAAACATTCTGTCTCGTTACAATACAGCTCCAGGGGCGTTCACTACACCATCTATTCGGACTCGCTTCAAATCCTTCCAGTATGAGCGAAGGAAAAGGGTACGAGGAATACGTCTTTTATCGTTACACGCCAACACTCGCGGGTGCAGTGATCTTCGTACTCTTATTCGGGTGCACGACTATCTATCATGTGTGGCAAACCTGTCGCAGGCGATCGTGGTTCATGGTCCCAATCATCATCGGCGGAATCTTTGAAACCATTGAGTATATTGGACGCGCGCTGTCGCATAACGATCGGGAAGCTCTTGGTCCCTACGTCATACAAACTCTACTCCTCCTTCTCGGACCCGCCCTTTTCGCCGCAAGCATCTACATGATCTTAGGTCGCATTATCTTGCTAACGGATGGAGAGCGATACTCGTTAATACGACGTACATGGCTCACGAAGATCTTCGTCGGTGGCGATGTCCTCTCATTCCTCACCCAATCTGGGGGTGGCGGTATCATGAGTGGTGCAGACGAGGATAACCCTGACAATATGAAGATCGGGGAGAAGGTGATCATCGTGGGTCTCTGTATCCAGGTTATCTTCTTCGGATTCTTTGTCCTCACGGCTTTTGTCTTCCAAAAGCGCGGACGCGGACATCTCCTGGCATTGGAGGGATGGGTGCCATGGAGAAAGCACTTATACGTGCTTTACGGCACATCGGTCTTGATCTTAGTCAGATCTGTCTTCCGAGTGGCCGAATATGCACAGGGTAATGACGGGTACTTACTACGACATGAGGCGTTTCTCTACGTATTCGATGCAGTGCTAATGCTCATTGTCATGGCCTGGCTAAATATTGTTCATCCCGGAGAGATCGCCGAGGTTTTGAAGGAGAAGAAGAAGGCTGAGGAAATAGGGAGGCAGCATGATATGGATCTTCTTGGTCACCATGACAGTTCAAACATCTAGAATTGGGGATACCGAGCTGGTTTCATATCATCAGGATAGCGGACTTTGGTAATGGAGAGTGAAAACTGTAATTTGTAGTCGCTAGTTGAGGGAGGACATTGCTATAGCGGCAACAATTGGCGCTACTATATAGAGCTCCTCGAAAATGCCGAGATATGATATCTCGCCCATGAATTTGGCGTGGCTAAGCTGAGAACAATACGATACAGTGTCCTACGTAAATCTACAGTTGTTATACCAAAGCTGAATATCGATGTAAGTAGTGTTTCTCCAATTGTAGAAGAGTTGTGGTAACTAGCGAGTATCTAGTGCTAAGAAATATTTCTTGAGGGTCTTCGAGCAGTATGCCCTATTTCCAGGACTGGGAGATGGACTGCGCCGAAGGAGCATGAACCGCTGCGGATTCACTCCTACGCCATGCTTGTACGACGAAATTTGTCAGACGGACCGAACGCTCGGAGCACAACGCCGTATGGGTGGCAAACTGGCTACTGACCAATGGGGCCCTCCCGTAAACGGGTCATCCGTGTGTAGACAACCGTACCATGGTCAACACATTACAAGCAAGGCGTACATCGTATACACCGTACTCAAGACACTCCGGCTCGAGCCGTGAAACGCAACGTCTTGAAGAAGACCGCTTTGACATACTCAATGAGAAAGTCTATATAAGTACGCAGGTAGCCTTTACTTTTACAGTATGTCGACTGTACCACTTCATCATCAACAAGATCGGTACATTCATATCATCTTCCTTCTTATTGACTACCACTTCACTTCGCCGAATCAGAATTTCATCAGGCGAGATGGCACTTCAAGGACAATTTTTCTTCTCATACAAACCCTCAGTTGCAGCAGTCGTGATAGCAGCCCTCGTCTTCAGTGCGATAACAGCAATACACGTATATCGGTTCGTGGAGAATTATAAGACAAAGCGCATCAGGATACTACTTGTGCTCTCCATGGCGTCATTTAGTAAGCATTGAGGATGCTCACGTCATACTTAGACTCAGACTGATCAAATCACTCACCAGATGAAGTGTTGGGCTACGTGCTACGCATCCCAGGAAGCAGGAGTAGTCGTACCGGTGCCATTCATGCATTGAGTCCACTTCTCTTACTTCTTACACCCCTGATGGTGACCTCAGTCATATACTACATTTTCTCCAAGATCTCCACAGCTGTCGCACCACATTGCGTTCCGCTTAAGTCTTCTTTGATGCTCAAGATCTTGAGCGGAGTAGATCTCGTATGCCAGCTTGCAATTTCAGCAGGTGTTATGGTAGCGGCTCGAGCGAACTCCAGCGCTGGTAAAGGAGTCTTGTTGGCTGCGATTGCTATACATGTCAGCAATACTATGGGCTTTATGATTGCTGTTGTTATCTGGCAGCGCCGAGTCGGTGGGAAATGGACTGAAGGTCTAGATCACCTGTCTATCTCCACGCAACGAGATGTCCTGGCAATTTACATTGCAACGGGTCTTATTATGTTACGCAGCTTATTACGCTTCATCGAGTTCGCATGCGGTCCTGTAAGCTCTAATATCATGCGATATTACTGGTCTGTAAGCTCACGCTCATAGAACGGACCCTTTCAGGACCACGAGGCTCCATTCTATATCTACGACTTTCTTCCTATGGCGGTCGTATTGATTACATGCATCCAATGGTATGACAGCGACAACATTCCAACTTCATATCGCTCAAGGGATAGGGAGTTAGAAGAAGTAGTTGTGCAAGATGCGTAACTTTCGTTGTTAGAAAAGAGATGGCAAGAGACTCTCAAAGGGTGCTAGCTTAGGCGTCCGGACTATGAGTGACTAGTCCTGGAATTGTTTTTCTGCGCAGTCCATGCCCTTGTGGTTTTGTCTCTTATATAAAACAAGTGCTTTTGTCAGTCTTTGTAGCAGCGAATGAGTTCTCCACTTGCGCGAAGCTTGCACGAACTCTCCGTAGGCTATGATACTTTCCAACACGCTACAGTAATCCACAACAGTGTATGCGACGCCCACCTTCATCTCTTGCCAACGTCGTCACTCGGAGTTTGCCAAGTACCAGAACACCCGAGGGTGCGGTGTGACTCGTATGTCTATCACGCCATACAACCATTATGGTGTGTACGACCAGAATCGTTTACATTCCAACAGGAAGGCGCATGGTGGATGCCCATCGAGCGTCGCCTCGCTTCCTTCTCCATGCAAACCCTGACTTCGCATAGCAGACACAGAGCATCCAGAAAGCGACAGACGATATTTGTCATGATTATAAAAAGAATGACTTTGGTTACTCGAAGCTCAGGCGCAAGTACGTTTGCTCACTTGGTGGTCAAAACATGTGGCACTCATATCAATAGCCCTAGCTGAGACATGCTGGTGTCCATGCACCACTTCCAAGAAGCAGACAAACAACCCTACACAACCTTGTTCAAATTGCACCATGCGGACAGACTCCGTGAGCAGGTTCGGCGTCGCCAATGATTGCGAAAGCCTCGATGGTCCCCAGAAACCTACGACCAATGATCGCGGAGGTGCCTGTTCAGGAAGACTCTGCCAACACGTCCGCTCTAATGATTGCAGTATCATACAGTGATTCCTCCATCGGTGAACAATCTAACCAGGTGACGCCATGCGTGGCTGGTATGCGTAGTGCATCGCGCACCATCACATGAAGCGCCGCTCAATGTCGCACCAAAAGATAGGCTGGAGGCACAAGACTGGTTGCATGACTGGAGCCAAGATCCCTATGCATGTTCAGTCCAGATTCGGGCCCCTTGTTACGGCTCGTAATGTTCCGTGCTAACGCGCTGCATGCAGGGGCCTCGCGTTGCCTATTATATTGGTGCGGACATGTTGAGCTCCGGTAAGAGTACTGTTCCAATGGCCGTCACTGTCACTTTCTTACTCCCCATGTCTTCTCTATGAATCTATGCAGTTAAAAGAGCGATCTCTAAAGCAACAGCTTGCATAGGCTATGTATGACAGATATTCTATGTGTACTCCAGTCACATGATGATTCGCTTAGATTTTCTACTTCCGGCGATGCATTTGCACCTGATGTCAGCACTAATGTCCTAGTAGCTGTCACGTATGCGCCTCCCTCAGAGGTTGGCGTAAAGTTGTTTCGTCGCCGTGAATCTTGGACTGGCGCTCATATAGTAGGGAGGGGCACCCAATTATATGATGCCGCATGATCATCAGGCGACCTTGGACGAGATAAGATCGCAGAGTTCTTCAGCTCGCTGGATAGATTGTGTTTTCTCAGATCTCATAATTCGCACTTAGCTTCTTTGATCACAAAGTCATAGCGTTCTGAGAGGCCTGCAAACCGGCAAACGAAGTCTTCCTTGGTGGCAAAATGCCTTCATATAGGGTGTACGACAACGGACAGCTCACTGCTGAATACACAACACACGTCGGCGGGAGAATTACGGCCACATACTACATCAAAATCACATCTCACGACGAGATTGCCAGAGCGAGGGGCGATATACAAGACAATCCGAATACGACGGTGTACTTATGGCGCATGGATTCTACTACAAACGAAAATGTCATTTGGAGGCAGGTCCCGAAGACTGAGGGCGCGCTCACACAGGATGAGTACGATATAGCCATGGACGAAATCGATAGACAAACGCGGGAACAAAAAGCCTCGACCCCTGAATCCTATACGCCTCCAACTACTCAATATAACACATTTCAGGAGATGGGCATTCCAACTTACAACACGCAAGGCGTGCTCATTGCTCAACCGGCTGAGGTTAGCAATGCTCAGCTCATAGGGGAAGACAACATGCACGAAACTCAGCGCTGGAGACCTGATCAGACATTCGATAAGAGGCGAGGATACTCATACAAATAACACTGTAGTAGAAATACACAGAAGTAGCATGTGTGTAATTTAGAGATTTTAGAGATAAGAACATAACAAGGCAGCGTAGCTACAGTACACAAATAAGCAATAATAAAAAGCAAAGCCTTACTACCCTACAGCTATAAATAGCTTAATATAACAATTAGCTAGAAGCTAAAGTAAGCTATAAATACAAATTTTGATAAATTGCTAGAGGTACTACTCTAACGCGATCTATAATATCTCT